CCACTTCGGCCTTCCAGAGTGCTAGGGTTACATGCATGAGCTACTGTACTCGGCCAAGAAAGTTGCTCTTTATGCTCCACAAATGTATTGTAAATGGCTGAGGGTAGGGAGGATCCAGATTAACAACTTCTAAATAGAAAACAGTAGATGGGCACGAGGGCTCACACCTGTAATCCCAGCATTTTAGAGGGTCAAGGTGGGCGGATCACCTGGGGTCAGGCATTTGAGACCAGCCTGGGCAACATGACAAAACTCCATCTCTACTAAAAATACAAAATTTATCTGGGCATGGTGGCGGGTGCCTGTAGTCCCAGCTACTTGGAAGGCTGAGACACAAGAATTGCTTGAACCCGAAAGGCAGAGGTTACAGTGAGCTGAGATGGAACCACTGTACTCCAGCCTGGGCAACAAAGCAAGACTCCGTCTCAAAAAACAAAAAAGAAAAAAAAGAAAAAGAAAAGAAAAGGAAAACCAGGCCGGGCACAGTGGCTCACGCCTATAATCCCAGCACTTTGGGAGGCCGAGGTGGGTGGATCACGAGGTCAGGAGATCGAGACCATCCTGGTCAACAAGATGAAACCCTGTCTCTACTAAAAATGCAAAAATTAGCTGGGCATGGTGGTGCACGCCTGTAGTCCCAGCTACTCGGGAGGCCGAGGCAGGAGAATTGCTTGAACCCAGGAGGCGGAGGTTGCAGTGAGCCGAGATCGTGCCATTGCACTCCAGTCTGGGTAACAACAGTGAAACTCCATCTCAAAAAAAAAAAAAAATGAAAGAAAAGAAAAGGAAAACCAATCGTAGATATCCAATTTGTTCCCTTCTCCTTTCCCAAAAGCCTTTTGTGCCCCCTCCAACCCAGTGGTTCCACCCTAGAAAAATGCTGGTACACATGCGTCAGGAAACTATACAAGAATATTCAGGCCAGGCGCAGTGGCTCTTTCCTGTATTGTCAGCACTTTGAGAAGCTGAGGTGCGAGGATCGCTTGAGCCCAGGAGTTTGAGACCAGCCTGGGCAACATAGCAAGACCTTTTCTCTATTTAAAAAAAAAAAATGCTAGGCATGCTGGCTCACGTATGTCATCCCAGCACTTTGGGAGGCTGAGATCACTTGCGGTCAGGAGTTCTCGACCAACCTGGCCAACGTATAATGAAACCCCATCTCTACTAAAAATACAAAAATGAACCAGGTGTGGTAGCAGGTGTCTGTATTACCAGCTACTTGGGAGGCAGGAGAATTATTTGAACCCGGGAGGCAGAGGTTGCAGTTGAGCTGAGACCTGGACATTGCACTCCAGCCTGAGCAACAAGAGCGAAACTCTGTCTCAAAAAAAAAAAAAACTTTAAAAAAGACTGTTCATAGTAGTGATTTACATAATGGAGGGAGAAAAGAAAGGAAACAATTTAAATGTTTGTGATAGGAAAATTGGTAATGAATGATGTATTCATATAATGAATGCTGTGTAGCAAAGAAAATAAACCACAACTATGTTCAACAGGGATTTCAAAGGCATAATGTTGGCTAAGCACAGTGGCTTACACCTGTAATCCCAGTACTTTGGGAGGCCGAGGCAGGCAGATCTCCTGAAGTCAGGAGTCTGAGATCATCCTGGCCAACTAAAAATACAAAAAATTAGCTGGGCATGGTGGTGGGCACCTGTAATCCCAGCTACTTGGGAGGCTGAGGCAGGAAAATTGCTTGAACCCAGAAGGCAGAGGTTGCAGTGAGCTGAGATCATGACACTGTACTCCAGCCTGGGCAACAGAGGGACGCTCCATCTAAAAAAAAAAAAAAAAAAAAAAAAAGCATCGTGTTGAAAACAAACAGCAGTATAATACAGCAGGGAAATAACTTTATAAAATGCAAAAAGAAATAAAAGTAAATATAGTGCATTGTTTAGGAGTATAAATATGGTAGCTACAGGAAGAAAAGCCAAAATGACTTTTAAAAATCATGATTGTGACTACTTTTGGGAGGAAAGCAGGTGGAAGGTGGGATCCCAGAGCAACACGTGGTAAGCTTCAATTGTCCTGGTTAATGTTCGGCTGCTTTAATTGGGTGGTACATTCACAGGTGTTATGTTTATTTTTTATTTTTTGTTTTTGATATGGTTCGTTATGTTTATTTTTTATATTTTGTTTTTGAGACGGAGTTTCGCTCTTGTTGCCCAGGCTGGAGTGCAATGGTGCGATATCAGCTCACCAAAACCTCCACCTCTCTGGTTCAAGCAATTCTCCTGCCTCAGCCTCCCAAGTAGCTGGGATTACAGGCATGCATGCCACCACGCCCAGCCTCATTATGTTTTTATAACTTACATTAATATATTCTTTTGTACATGTCAAACTTTTTTTTCCTTTTTTTTTTTTTTTTAGAGATGAGATTTTGCTTTGTCACCCAGGCTGGAGAGTGTAGTGGCTCAGTCATAGCTCATCGCAGCCTCCAACTCCTGGGCTCAAGTGATTCTCCCAGCTCTGTCTCCCAAAAAACTGGGATTACAGGCATGTGCTGCCATGCTTGGGTAACTTTTTAAAAAGTATTATTTGTAGAGATGGAGTCTGGCTTTGTTGCCCTGCTGGTCTCATTCTGGCTTCCAGTTCTTCTTCTGCCTCAGCCTCCCCAAGCTCTGGCATTGCAGGCAGAAGCCACCATATCCAGACTCAGACTTTTTTTTTTTTTTTTGAGATGGAGTCTTGCTCTGTCTCTCAGGCTGAAGTGTAATCATGAATTCTTGGCTCACTGCAACCTCCGCCCAGGTTTAAGTGATTCTCCTGCCTAAGCCTCCCAAGTAGCTGGGATTACAGGCACCTGCTACTGTGCCTAGTTAATTTTTATTTATTTTTTAGTAGTGATGGGGTTTCGCCATGTTGGCCAGGCTGGCCTCAAACTCCTGACCTCAGGTGATCCACTCACCTTTGCCTTGTGAGCTGGGGTGCAATAATTTCTTCTATCCTTGAGACATATAGATGATTCCTGTCCAGCATTCCCAAGGAACTCAGTAAGGACCAAATGGAGACTCAAGACTGACACCTACTGATTTTACACTGTTACAAAACAGAACTATGGTTCTTGCTTAACAAATTGCTGGCTCAGCAAGGTGGTTCATGCCTGTAATCCCAGCATTTTGGGAGTCCAAGGTGGGCAAATCACTTGAGGTCAAGAGTTCAAGACCAGTCTAGCCTGGCCAACATGGTAAAACCCCATCTCTACTAAAAATACGAAAATTAGCTGGATGTGGTGACAAATGCCTGTAATCCTAGCTACTGGGGAAGCTGAGGCACAAGAATTGCTTGAACTCAGGAGATGGAGGTTGTAGTGAGCCGATATCATGACACTGCACTCCAGCCTGGGTGACAGAACAATACTTCATCTTAAAAAAAACCAAACCAAATCGCTGTGTTTTATTTTGTGAAATAGGGTATAGCTCTATCGCCCAGGCTGGAGTACAGTGGTGCAATCATAGCTCACTGTAGCCTTGAACTCCAGAGCTTAAGCAATCCCCCCGCCTCAGCTTCTGAGTAGCTCGGACTACAGGTATGTGCCACCCTATGTTGCCTAGGCTGGTCTTGAACTCCTGGAGATACAACACACACACACACACACACACACACACACACACACAGTTTTTTTTTGAGATGAAGTTTTGCTTTTCTCGCCCAAACAGGAGTACAGTGTCCTGATCTCGGCTCACTGCAACCTCTGCCTCCGAGGTTCAAGCAATCCTCCTGCCTCAGCTTCCCAGGTAGCTGGGATTACAGGTGCCGCCACCACGCCTGGCTAATTTTGTATTTTTAGTAGAGACAGGGTTTCATCATGTTGGCCAGGCTGGTCTCAAACTCCTGGCCTCAGGTGATCCACCTGTTTTGGCCTCTTAAAGTGCTGGGATAAGAGGCATGAGCCACTGGGCTTGGCCCACTCATATACATTTTTTTAAAAAATTGATTAATTAATTAAATTTATTTATTTCTAGATGGGGTCTTGCTCTGTTTCCCAGGTGGGAGTGCAGTGGTGCTATCTCTTGGGCTTAAGCAATCCTCAGCCTCCCAAGTAGCTGGGACCATAGGTGTGTGCCACCACACCCATATAATTTTTATTATTTTTCATTTTTAAAATTTTTTATAGAGATGAGCTTTCACTGTGTCATCCAGGCTGGGTATTTCTTTTCTTTTTTTTTTTTGAGACGGAGTTTCGCTGTTGTTACCCAGACTGGAGTGCAATGGCACGATCTTGGCTCACTGCAACCTCTGCCTTCTGAGTTCGAGCAATTTTCCTGCCTCAGCCTCCAGAGTAGCTGGGACTACAGGCATGCACCACCATGCCCAGCTAATTTTTGTATTTTTAGTAGAGATGGGGTTTCACCTCGTTGACCAGGATGGTCTCATCTCTTGACCTCGTGATCCACCCGCCTCGGCCTCCCAAAGTGCTGGGATTACAGGCATGAGCCACCACGCCTGGCCGCAGGCTGGGTATTTTTGATAGGCCTGTACACTTTCCAAAGTTGCAAACTCTTCCCCTCCCAGAGGGTAGGGGCAGCCCCTGTTCTCCCTCTACATCCCCCACAGTCCCTAGGTCTTGGCCTCTGCTGTTTCCTCTGCTTAGAACATCCATTGCTATTTTGTTGGTGGGGCTAATTCGTGATTCTCTTTTAAAAGCTTAAGTTTGGCCTGGCACAGTGGCTCATGCTTGTAATCCCAGCACTTTGGGAGGCCGAGGCAGGTGGATCACCTGAGGTCAGGAATTCGAGACCGGCCTGAACAACATAGTGAAACCTGGTCTCTACTAAAAATACAAAAATTAGCCGGGTGTGGTGGCATGCGCCTGTAATGCCAGCTACCCAGGAGACTGAGGCACGAGAATTGCTTGAACCAGGAAGGCGGAGGCTGCAGTGAGCTGGATCACGCCACTGCACTCCAGTCTGGGCAACAGAGCAAGACTCGATCTGGAAAAGGAAAAAAAAAAAGGTCAAGGGGTGACATTTGGAAACTCCTGTTATTTCTCATTCCAGCATCATCACAGCCTTGAGGCTTTGGGGAAGGTCACTTCGTCGACCTCGTTTCCGTGAAGATAACGTTATCTTGAGTATCTGTGAGGATGCTGCATCGAGTAGAGAGCCCAGGCTCCTGGGTCAGCGGGGTTTGAATCCCGTTTCCTCCGTGAGGATCTGGGTTAATCACAGGGCTTCAGCTTCTTCGATTAGACTGACGGACGCTTTGACTCCAAAACATTAACAATCGCGTGTACTCGGCCACAGCTTAACACCTCCAGGGTGCTTTCACCCTTTCTTTGGAATCCTCAGGGCTGGATGGAGCCGGCAGTTCAAGTCTCTACACTCCCGCTTTCTCGTTGGGCGGTACAAGTCCTCCAAGTAGAATGAGGGGATGACTTTGGCGGCGCTCTAGCCCGCCGAGAGTATTCACTCTCCCCAAGCGGGGGCTCTGATTGGCTGAAGGTTGCGCTGGCTCGCGCGACTTCCGGGACAGAGGGCTGGAAGGCACCGCGCATCCGGCGGGAGGTGCTGAAGTCGCGTTGGTTCGGCCCAATGGCGGCGCCGCTGCTTCACACGCGGTTGCCGGGAGATACGGCCGCTTCGGCCTCTACGGTCAACACGCTGGGCACGTCGAGGACCGGGTAAGATCCAGGCCGCTTCCTTCTGCGCGTCCGGACCAAAGCTCAGGACACGGCGTTGGGGAGCAGATTGAAAGGGTCTGGGACAAAGCTAATGGTTAGGTAGGAGCAGGGGATCGAGGGCCATCTCACGTTCGCAGGAGTGAGCTCATTCCTCTAAGTGGGTAATAGACATAGGAGGGGGCTGGAAAAGTAAGTATATTCTCTGTTCTGGCCCCCTTTCCCTACTATATGTTTCTTGGTGGTTTCCCAGGCCTGGGTACTGTTTTCTGCGCCTTGACGCCTCTTCCTTCCCGCTTCTTGGAAGGGAATCTCTGGGCTGTTTGGTTTATCCGCTCAATGTTGTCAGTCATGGCTAATAAAATATTACAATTTTTTTGGTTTGAAATTTGTTTCGACACATAACTTGTTTAGCAGTCTTTATTTTGTTCCACTTTTAAAATCCCTAACCCACATAGCACAGTTGGCATTTAACTTTCAGAGTCATTAAGATGCTGTGTTTTTTCATTTATTTACTCTGTGCAAGTGAAGACCTTGTAAAACATTTAGCGTAATAAGATTCTTTCTTTTCTTTTTTTTGAGATAGTTTCGCTCTTGTTACCCAGGCTGGAGTGCAGTGGTGCGATCTCGGCTCACCGCAACCTCCGCCTCCTGGGTTCAAGCAATTCTCCTGCCTCAGCCTCCCGAGTAGCTGGGACTACAGGCGCGCACCACCATGCCCAGCTAATTTTTGTATTTTTAGTAGAGACAGGGTTTCACCTTGACCAGGATGGTCTCGATCTCTTGATCTCTTGATCCACCCGCCTCGACCTCCCAAAGTGCTGGGATTACAGGCGTGAGCCACTGCGCCCGGCCTGATTCATAATATTTCTTGAGCTCCTGCTTACTGTATTAAATACTGGGGACGAGTAGTTTATCCAAAGACACGAATGTCCCTGCTTTCTACAGAGCTTACAGCCTGGGGCGGGGGGGAAGGCAGTACAGAGACCAGTAAACAAATGAACACGATGATTTCAGTTGTACAACAGGGTAATAGGGGAGGGAGAAGGGAGAAAATGAATATTTGATATTTCTCGTGGGGAAAACATCTGACATTTGAGCTTCAACTTGAATGAAGGCAAAAATCCAGGCCTGGTGTGGTGGCTTACTCCTGTAATCCAGCCACTTTGGGAGGCCAAGGTGCAGGTGGATCATCTGAGGTCAGGAGTTCAAGACCAGCCTGGCCAACATGGCAAAACTCCATATCTACTAAAAATACAAAAATCAGCCAGGCATGGTGGTGGGTGCCTGTAATCCCAGCTATGTGGGAGGCTGAAGCAGGAGAAGTGCTTGAACCCAGGAGATGGAGGTTGCAGTAAGTGGAGATCACCGCACTGCACTCTAGCCTGGGTAACAGAGAAAGACTCCGTCTCAAAAGCAACAAACAGACAAACAAAAATCCAGCCATATAGATTTGGGAAAAGAGTATTTCCAATAGAGTGAACAGTAAGTGAAATGAGAACCAGCTTGACATATTTGAAGAGCAGGAAAGACATTATGGCTGTAGTAAAACAAGTTATTGGGAGATAGATAGGGTCAGAGACGTAGGCAGGGGCCAGATTAATGTAGGACCTTAAAGACCACACTAAGAAATTTGGATTTTTAGTATAAGTGCAGTGGGAAGACAGTTTTTGGTTGCTGAGCAAAGGAGGGATTGTTGGAGAAAAGTGGAAGCAGGGAGAGCAGTAAAGAGCCCTTAAAAACAGCCTCATTGAATGATGTTGGCTCAATAAATGTTGGCTATTACAATTCTTATTATTTTCATGAACTTAATAGCTTGTTAATCTTGGTTCCACAGGATTTCAAGTATGCTTGCATTAGAAAACGATTTTTTCAATTCTCCCCCAAGAAAAACTGTTCGGTTTGGTGGAACCGTGACAGAAGTCTTGCTGAAGTACAAAAAGGTAAGAGGAGGTAATGTATGAAATTTGCTTTTGGTCAGGTCAGAATACAACTATTGCTGTTATACTGAAGACCAATAGAAATGTAAGATGAGTTTAGATACCAGTTGAAATCAAATATTTCATAATAGTTTGATGCTGGCAGTTCAAAATTAAAGTAGTAATGTCCTTTTTTTCCCCTCCACCGTGGCCCATTTCATAGGTGAGAGTAATAATGTGTTCTGAGGTTTCACCTTTTCACATGCTTTACTTACATAGCATCTTTTAACTTTAGCAAGTGCTAGAGTTAAAAACAATTACAGCATTTTATTTTTTTTGAGGAACTTAATACAACTTTGGGACGGTAAGCCAGTTCTCGGAATAGATATTTTTGTTTTTGTGGTAGGTTAGAAGCATTTCTGCTAAATCTCAGCAGTAGAGGGAAATGACTGGATGTGTATACGTAATATCCATTTGTATCCACATTTGAGTGCATACTTTCTTAGATCTTCCTGAATTAGATCATTATGGCTGATGTGTGAAAGTTAGTGTTCCTTTTATAATTTCATCTGATGTTAAACTATGGCTAAAAGTCCTGTTGATACTAAACAGGAAACAAAAGCAAACATAACTTAATTCTTTCCCCGTCTTGTTAAGGGTGAAACAAATGACTTTGAGTTGCTGAAGAACCAGCTGTTAGATCCGGACATAAAGGTAATTAATTTTGTGTTTAATCATTAACAAAATTATTGCCACTTTATATGGACATTAGTTTGCTCTTTGGGTCCCATTATGTCCTCCAGAACTTGCTCTTTCCGAGGTCCTCTCCTACTTTCATCTGGTGTTCTAAACCAGGGACAGTTTTACCCCCTAGGAATTTGGTGATGGTTGCAGATGTTTTTATTTGGGAGGAAGGGGTGCTACTGGCATCTAGCAGGTGAATGACGGAGATGCTGCTGAACATCTCACAGTGCACAGGGCAGACTCCCATAACCAAGACTGATCCAGCCCCAGCTGACACCCGTGTGGCAGCTGGGAAACCCTGCTCTAGTGCTTCCTTCCTCTTAGACTTCATGCTGCATGCAACTCTCTTGTCTCTTTAAAGCTAAAACAAAACAAAAACTACTGTTTCAAGTTCAAAATTTACCTGTCATGTAGTAAAAACTCAATACATTTTGTTTCACTGTTCTTCCTTTACTGCCAATTTTGAAAAGAATAGTTGATTACCATGGCAATGGTAGTTAGATTGCCTGGGATAAAATTTCAGTTTAATTGTTATCCAGCATGTGATCTTGAGCAAATTGTTTTAACCTCTCTGCCTCTATTTTCCACTGTGTAAACCAAGAAAACAATAGAGATTTTTAAAAATATGGAGTGTTTTGTTTTTTAAGAGATGGGGTCTTGCTGTGTTGCCCCGGCTTCTCACAGGTGGTATCATAGTACAGTACAGCCTTGAACTCCTGACCTCAAATGATCCTTTCTCCTGAGCCTCCTAAGTAGCTGAGACTGTAGGTGCATGCCACTGTGGAATGCACCTACATGGAAATATTTAACAAAGATTCAATGAGCTTATATACAAGAAGCATTTAGAACATTCTCTGACTCAAAGTAAGGGCAGTGATTGTTAGCTGATATTTTTGTTCCTGCTGTCTGCACCTTATCATTTCTCACTCACATTTAAGCCCATTCTTCTTATCACTGTAGTAATTACCCTGACAGAGGTTACCTGTATGTATGTGTGTGTGTTTTTTTTTTTTACACACTGATTTCAGTGGACTTTAATTTTTTTGAGATAGAGCCTCGCTCTTGTCACCCAGACTGGAGTATAGTGGCATGATCTGGGCTGACTGCAAACTCTGCCTCCCAGGTTCAAGCCATCCTCCCACCTCAGCCTCCCGAGTATCTGTGCCACCTCACCCAGCTAATTTGTTGCATTTTTAGTAGATTTGGAGTTTTATCATTTTGGCCAGGCTGGTCTTGAACTCCTCACCTCAAGTGATCCACCCACCTCTGCCTCCCAAAGTGCTGGGATTACAGGTGTGAGCCGGCCTAGACTTGTTTCGTGTCTGTTAGGTGCATTTACTCAGAATCATTATGTGTATTCCAAACTTAGCACGTCTTAAAATAAACTCTTAATCTTTCTCTCACACCCACCCTTTCTGCAGACTTGTGTGCTTAACTGTTCATTGCTTACCACATTATTAGGGTAGGCACCTTGGGGTCTTCTTGAATTTTATTATCCCTCAGGTCCATTCACTGGATCAAGTCCTTCGGGAAAAAAATCTCTGAAGCCTTCCTGTTTCATTGGTTCTCTCTTGTCCGGATTCTTCCAATAACCTCTTTAGCAGTCTCTATGTTCCCAGTCCTCCTCTATCTCCTACCTCTGTGGCTCCCTCAACCCCCATGTATCCTCAACAGTGTAGCCTAAATTATCTCCAGAATGCACATGTCCAGGCATGTCATTCCCCTACTGAAAAACTTCATGCCTATGGAAAATGAAGATCAACGTGGCCTTCAACTTGTTTTATGTTTACTTTCTCTAGATACTTTATTCCTGGATTTTGCCACTTTTCATCTTTATGCCTTTGTATGTGCCTTTTTCTGGCTGAAGGAGGTCCCCTGTATGCACTTTATTTGCTGCCTGTATTAGCATGGGCTGTAGCTACATTGCCTCCTTACTAGCTGTGTGACCAGGGACAAGTTGTTCATTTCTGTTATAGTCTACTCATCTGTAAAGTGGGAATCGATAGAAGTACGTACCTCGTGGAGTAAGGATGACATGAGTTACTAAATGTTAAAGTCTTCATAAGTTGCTAAATGTTAAAGTCTTAGAACAGTTCCTAGCATACAGTAAGTGCGATATTAGTGTTCACTGTTATTATTATTATCATTATTACTATAGTTTTTTTCTTCTTCTTCCTTTTTAGGGGGTGACCTTCACCTGGACCATTATTACTATAGTTTTAAAAACTCTTACTCATTCTTTGAACTGAAAAGTCATCTTTAATGGAGCTTTCCCTGGTTCTCTCTAAGCAGATGGCTGTTCCTTCATTCAGTCCATTTCTCAAATTTCCAGATCTCTCTAATTATAGATCTGGTTTACAAGGCCCTCTGTGGTCTATTTGCTGCTGCTTTGTTCCCCAGATTTATTCTCTGTTGGCTTGCTCTCTTATACACGCCAGCCATACTAAACAACTTTCAGTTTTCTGAAAACAGACTTTTCCCTCTGTAAGAAGAACTTCCAGAAAAGACTCAACTCTGTTACTGTTTAAAGACAGCTGAAGCATCACTTTCTCTTTAAAGCTTTTCCTGACCCCTGCTTTTTTTCCCAGATACAAAGGGCCATTTTCTTTGTGTTTCACTATATTTTGTATCAGCAGTTCTCATTCTTGGTATTTTGACATATCAAGAAGTGCACTAGTTGTGTGTCTGTTAGTTCAGAGGAGTGTTGCACGTAGACCTTTTTTCTTTTTGAGACAGGGTCTTGCTTTGTCACCCAGGCTGGAGTGTAATGGGCCCGATCATGGCTCACTGCAGCCTCAACATCCCAGGCTCAAGCAATGCTCCCACCTCAGTCTCCCCAGCACCTGGGATCACAGGTGTGTACTACCATGCCTGGCTAATTTTTCTAGAGATAAGGTCTCCGTACGTTGCCCATGCTCATCTCAAATTCCTGGGCTCAAGCAGTCTCCTCCTGGCTTGGCCTCACAAAAGTGCGGGGATTACAGGCATGAGCCACTGTTCCTGGCTACTAGTAGAAATAATAATAGTTCAGTACTAAAGCACCAAAGTCTGGGACTGATTGACTTTTAAAATGGAACAGTGTAGATGTTATCCTTGTAGTTTTGTTGCAGTCTTTTTAGTGGAAAAGGAGATAGGATAGATCTTTTTTATTTGCGCACTAACTTAGCTTGTTTTCTTTGTGCCTTTGGCCTTAGTGAGCTACCATGAATGTTATCCTTAACAGTTGTGAACATTATGAAATTACCATAGTACAAATGAGTTGTGGTTTATTTTACTGCCAGGCTTCTTGGGATTTCATCAGAAAATGGTTGATCTGTGGGAGTTTGTCACATAGATACGGCATACTAAGCACTCAGTAGCTGAATTAAAGTGGGAAGAAGGTGACAGCTCCTTCTTTGCATGGAGGGAAGTGTGTGGGAGAATGGACGGAGGATAGCCTTGACTGAGACAGACAGGTTTGGACCTGCTTCTTTACTGGCTTCTTGGTTGGGCAGATTGCTTATTAATCTCTCTTAGTCTCAGCTTCCTGAACAGTAAAATGGGAGTACTAAACATCTTGCAGAGTTTTTAGGATTAGAAAAAGATACATATGTAGTGTCAGACACCACACCTGGCATATAGTGTGTTCTCGCTAAATGATAACTCCCTATGAATATCCCTGTAGGTGTGGCTTTGTGTTGCTTTTATTTATATGTCTAACTCTTTCACAAATTAGGGGCTTTTTGTAATGGTTTTTTTTCTTGTGTAGTATATATGCATGAATATAATTAATATATTAATATTTTACATAATTGACACTGTAGTTTGTACATTGCTTTTCAAATTTAGCAGTTCTCATGTCACTACTATGAACAGTAACTTGATTGTCTGAAAAATATTTATTTTTTTTTTTTTTTGAGATGGAGTTTCGCTCTTGTTACCCAGCTGGAGTGCAATGGCGCGATCTCAGCTCACCGCAATCTCCGCCTCCTGGGTTCAGGCAATTCTCCTGCCTCAGCCTCCCGAGCAGCTGGGATTACAGGCACGCACCACCATGCCCAGCTAATTTTTTGTAATTTTAGTAGAGACGGGGTTTCACCATGTTGACCAAGATGGTCTCGATCTGTTGACCTCGTGATCCACCCGCCTAAAATATTTATTTTTATTTTTACTTATTTATTTTTTATAAGGCGGGGTTTCACCATGTTGGTAAGGCTGGTCTTGAACTCCCAACCTCAGGTGATCCACCTGCCTTGACCTCCAGAGTGCTTGGATTATAGGCATGAACCACCACGCCCAGCCTGTCTGAAAAATACTTAATGGAGGAATGGAGCCATTCTTTATACAAAAAACATCATATATTTTAACTCATCCACAGTTTTGGTTTCGAAAATTATGTTTATTTATGACCGCAGTTGATCAGCCTAGACTGAGTTTTATCAGCATGCTTTCTGGTCAATGTGAATATAGAGGAAATAGAGGTAGCTATTGATCCTTTGTTATCTTTTCATATTTGAGTCTGCTAGAACTCTAGTTTTTAAAAGTCCCAGGTGTCAACATTTGAGGTGATTTTAAGGGCAAACAAAAGTGATCACACTGAAGTATTGCACTTAAGTCTTTTTCCTGTATATTAGAGTTACTAGATTACTTTTTAAAAACAGGTAAGTTTATTATAATATCTTTTTCTGTTTTGGTACCCAGTTTTGATTTCCTTTCAAGTTTGTGACCGTCCCCGCCCCATCTAAATATTCTTGATAAATGATTTATATAAGATAGCTGTAAGTTTCTGTTATCTTAGAGGATTTGTGGTTTTGAAAGTACTCTTTGTTTAACTTAAGGATGACCAGATCATCAACTGGCTGCTAGAATTTCGTTCTTCTATCACGTACTTGACAAAAGACTTTGAGCAGCTTATTGGTATTATATTGGTAAGTTCACCATTTATTTCACTGACTAGTATGTAATTGAGTACTTTGGTAATAGTATATATTATATTAATAACATGCCGCTTCTATCTTTCTTCCCCAACTCTAGAGATTGCCTTGGTTGAACAGAAGTCAGACAGTAGTGGAAGAGTATTTGGCTTTTCTTGGTAATCTTGTATCAGCACAGACTGTTTTCCTCAGACCATGTCTCAGCATGATTGCTTCCCATTTTGTGCCTCGTAAGTCACCACCCTTTGCTTGCTTGGAATCCATTCTCTCTCTCTCTCTCTCTCTCTTTTAAAATACTTACTAAAATACTGCTTTCCCCTTATACATGAGAGATACTGCTAACATGCGGCCAGGTGCGGTGGCTCACACCTGTAATCCCAGCACTTTGGGAGGCTGAGGCAGGTGGATCACAAGGTCAGGAGTTCGAGAGCAGCCTGGCCAACATGGTGAAATGCTGTCTCTACTAAAAATACAAAAATTAGCCGGGCGTGGTGGCAGGCGCCTGTAATCCCAGCTACTCGGGAGGCCGAGGCAGGAGAATCACTTGAACCTGGGAGGCAGAGGTTTCAGTGAGCCAAGATTGTGCCACTGCACTCTAGTATGGGCAACAGAGCGAGACTTTGTCTCAAAAAAAATGAAAAAGATTCCAGATGCATATTGGCACCAGGTTTGGTAGACATATGTTTCCCATAATAACCCCTGTGGCGGTGTCTCGATTCATTTGTTGCTGTGATTTTTATGAATTGTAATTTGCTTTTTTGAACTTCTGATGAAGTCTTAGAACTCATCTAGGAATTTTTAGCTGTTTAAAAACTTTTTTTCAGATGGTACATTTAATTAGTCATTGTGCTGATTGTGGATTATGGAAAAATAGCTTTTTTGTATAGCTGTTCATTGTCTAGGTCAATGACAGACTAACATATTTTTTTTTTTCCCTCAAAAGCCCGAGTGATCATTAAGGACGGCAACGTAGATGTTTCAGATTCTGATGATGAAGATGATAGTAAGTACACAAAGGTTTAAAGCCTGGGCACAGTGGCTTTCACCCACAATCCCAGCACCTTGGGAGACTAAGATGGGAGGATCACTTGAGGCCAAGAGTTTGAGACCCGCCTCAAGGCAACGTAGTAAGACCTCATCTCTACAAAAAAAATTTTTTTTCAATAATTTTTTAAAAAGAGGCTTAAAGTAGAACTAGGCAGGATGGCGTGTGTCTGTAGTCACAGCTACCTAGGAGGCTTAGGTGGGTTTATTGCCTGAGTCCAGGAGTTCAAGTCCTGCCTTGGCAACATGGCAAAACCCTATCTCTCGAAGTAAAGCACAGAATACCTCCTGTGTCTTAGAGAATGCATGATGAATGAGAAAATACACTGGCACCTATTCTAATGAGTAGACTACAACAAATGACAAAACCTTTGATATAATCTTTTTGTTACATTTAGCATTCATATACAGTCATTTGTTGCATTATTTATATAATTAGTCCATTCAGTTTTCATTGATGGTTGTGGCAAAAAATCTTGAAATTATTATTTCTCCAATAAATAGTTCTATTTTGGTTAGCATATGTTTTTACCTTCAAGTATGTCATTTTTGTTTTGTTTTGTTTTGTTTTGTTTTGTTTTGTTTTGTTGAGACAGAGTCTTACTCTCTTGCCCAGGCTGGAGTACAATATGGCACAATCTTGGCTCACTGCAGCTTCCACCTCCCAGGTTCAAGTGATTTTCGTGGTTCAGCCTCCAGAGTAGATGGGACTACAGGCATGTGCCACCATGCCTGGCTAATTTTTGTATTTTTTTTTTTTTTTAGTACAGACGAGGTTTCACCATGTTGGTCAGGCTGGTCCTGAACTCCTGACCTCAGGTGATCCCCAACCTCAGCCTCCCAAATGGCTGGAAATATAGGCATGAGCCACTGTGCCTGGCCAGCATATATTTTTAGCTTCATGTGTGTTACCTTTCTGTTTTATTTTGATCTTTATACTCAACTTTTCTCCTTGCAGATCTTCCTGCAAATTTTGACACATGTCACAGAGCCTTGCAAATAATAGCAAGATATGTACCATCGTGAGTATACTTCTGCTTATTTTGAATGCTCAATTCCCAATAAAATTGTAATCAATAAAATTATAAAATGTTAATAGCGTTAAAACTTGAGTCTTACATCACATGTTTTTTTTTTTGGTATCCAGTTGAAGAAACATTACATTCAATAACAAGTGGCATTTCCATTTTCTATTCATTGTCTTTAATTATTTTTCAAAGTTTGTCTGCAGATTCTTCCCCAGTTTTGTATGGTGGTTGGAATTTTGCTTTTATCTTCAACAGATATGCTCTCCAAAATTTTCAGTGAGAAACCCCTGTGTGTATTTGTGTCATGCCATATGAATAAAAATTGCACTTCTAAGAAATACTTTTCAGGTTTGTAGATTTCTTTTGGAGGGATGGACTTAGTTCCCACTGCCCATTGATTATTTGTTATCTTAAAAAAATCCAACTTGATAATTTTTTCTTCTTTTAAAAATAATATACATGTGTAGTGGGAAATGTCAGCTGAATTGCTATTATGCTTCTGTAGGAGAGAAGCTCTCCCTTTGATTTGCTGTTGATATCAGAGTTAACAGGAACTTATTTTCCCTAAGTTATTGTAGATTTTCTCAGAAGCTATACATTTTTTTTTTTTAAGAGACAGGGTTTCACCCTGTTAGCTGGGATGGTCTTGATCTCATGACCTCATTATCCTCCCTGCTCAGCCTCTCAGAGTGCTGGGATTACAGGTGTGAGCCACCGCACCCAGCCAAGAAGCTATACATTTTAAGTTCCAGTTCTGGCCAGGCATGGTGGCTCACACCTATAATCCCAGCACTTGGGGAGGCTGAGGCGGGCAGATCACCTGAGGTCAGGAGTTTGAGACCCGCCCGACCAACATGGCAAAACCTTGCCTCTCCTAAAAATAAAAAAATTGGCCTGGCGTGGTGGCCCATGCCTGTAGTCCCAGCTACTCAGGAGGCTGAGGCAGGAGAATTGCTTGAACCCAGGAGGCAGAGGTTTCATTGAGCCAAGATCATGCCACTGCGCTCTAGCCTGGGCAAAAGGAGCAAAACTCTGTCTCAAAAAAAAAAGTTTCAGTTCTTTGAGGTAGGGGTTCCTATTTGCCTCCTGTGTCTATCCATGTTTGCTTTTAGAATGGTAATATTACTTTTCTAGAAAGTAAAGTTAACATGGCTTGATTTAATTTTTTTAAATAGGACACCATGGTTTCTTATGCCGATACTGGTAGAAAAATTTCCATTTGTTCGAAAATCAGAGAGAACACTGGTAAGAAATCTTTTCATTGAGAAAATCATGGGAAAGTTGTTTGTGTGATTTCATTTTAGATGATGTTAGGTCTTTTTCTGAAAGGTTATTTTGTCTTCTAGACTTTAAACTGATGTCTAAGAATTTGACTCAGATTCCTTTCTTACCAAGTGGCTCTTGGGGCTTCCCAGTGCCTTTTTCTCTTATTACTATGTGCAAGTCAAGGTCTGAGTCGATTTCAGAAATATCTGTAGAGGCCTCATGCTCATACAGATAAGAATTACTAGACAATAATAATTCATGTATGACTAATTGTAAACATGCTTTATTTTAACCTGAAAGGAAAGCCTTCTATAGATGAAATCTGCTTAGTTTTTGTACAATGTTTAGACCATCTGGGTAGTTTTTAATAATAGTGGTCGGTTGCCTTACTAGAAAACTCAATCTTGCAGCATACGAAAAGAATTATGTGTCAAGACCAAGTGCGATTTATGCTAGGAATGCAAGACTTTTTTTTTTTTTTGTGGGGGACAGTCTTTCTCTATCACCCAGGCTGGAGTGCGGGAGTGAGTGCAGTGGTGCCATCTCAGCTCACTGCAACCTCTGCCTCCAGGGTTCAAGCGACTTTCCCACTTCAGCCTCCCGAGTAGGTGGGACTACAGGCATGGGGCAGAACACCTAGCTAATTTTTGTATTTTTGGTAGAGATGGGGTTTTGCCACATTGGCCAGGCTGGTCTTGAACTCCTGACCTCAAGTGATCCACTGGCCTCAACCTTGGAAAGTGTTGGGATTACAAGTTCAAACCACCATGACCAGCCGAGGTAGATTTAATACCTGAAAATCAATTAATATAATACTTTGTAGTAATAGAACAAAGGATAACAACCACATGATGATCTAGTAGATGCAGAAGTGTTTAACAAACAACTATACCCTTTTGTGACAAAAACTAAAGGAAATGTTCTCGACCTGATAAAGGGCATCTGAAAAACCCACAGATAACATCATATTCAATGGTGAGAGACCAAAAGTTTATCCCTAAGATAAAGAACAGAACAAGGATGTCCACCCTTGCTGCTTGTCTAGCCAATGTAGTTAGGCAAGAAAAAGAATGAAAGGCATCCAGTTGGAAAAGAAGGCGTAAACTCTTTTGTAAGATTATTTTATATGTCATCCTAAGGAGCCCACAAATAAACTGTAGAGATAATAAATGAGTTCAGCATGGTTATGGGACAGAAGACCAACATACCCCAGCTGTCCAAGACAATTGAATAAGGGACAAGAATAGTCTTTTCAACAAATGCCAGTGGCACAAATGGTTATGCACATGCAAAAAAATGAGGTATATGGATATCCATATACAAAAATGAACTCAAAATCAATAAAAGCCCTACATGAAGAGTAAAAGCAATAAAACTCTTAGAAGAAAATTGGTACATTTTCATGATGTTGGATTAGGCAATAATTTCCAGATTTGACGGCTGGAGCAGAAGCAACCAAAGAAAAACTACATCAGTTGTACTTCAAAATTAAAAGTGTTTGACTTTTAATTTTGAAGTACAAAATAGGACACCTTAAAGAAGAGGAAAACAATCCCCAAATAATGGGAGAAAATGTTTCTAAATTATATGTTTGGTAATGGACTTGTACATGTAAAGAACTTTTATAATTCAATAATAAATGGGCAAAGGATCTGAAAAGTCATTTCTGCAATAAAAGCACATGAAAAGAAGCCCAACACATTAGTCATCAGGGAAATGGGTTTCACTCATGCCCACAAGGATGACTATAATAAAGACGAGACAGTAACAAGTGTTGACAAGGATGTGGAGAAATGGGAACATGGGAAGTGCCATGTGTTGCCAGTGAGAATGTAAAATGGTACAGCTGTTTTGAAAAATAGCATGGCATTTCTTCAAGGTAGAATTACCATTTGACTCAGCAGTTCCACTGCTGGGTTTGGTTTTTGGTTTTTTATTTGTTGGGTCCTAAGCATCAGCAAACTGTTGCTTTTTTTTTTTTTTTGAGACGGAGTTTCGCTCTTGTTACCCAGGCTGGAGTGCCATGGTGGGATCTTGGCTCACTGCATCCTCTGCCTCCTGAGTTCAGGCAATTCTCCTGCCTCAGCTTCCTGTGTAGCTGGGATTACAGGCGCGTGCCACCATGCCCAGCTAATTTTTTTGTATTTTTAGTAGAGACGGGGTTTCATCTTGTTGACCAGGATGGTCTTGATCACTTGACCTCGTGATCCACCCGCCTCGGCCTCCCAAAGTGCTGGGATTACAGGCGTGAGCCACCGCGCCTGGCCTACTAAACTGCTGCGTTTTTACAAGAGAAATGAAAATACATTTTCACAGAAAAACACGTGTACATGGATGTTCAAAGCAGCTCCATTCATAATAGCCTCATTTAGAAGCAACTCAGATGTCTGTCAACTGGTGAAGAGATGACAAAACATGTTAGCTAGGATGGTCTCAATCTCCTGACTTTGTGATCCATCTGCCTTGGCCTCCCAAAGTACTAGGACTACAGGCATGAGCCACTGCACCTGGCCCAAGACCCTGTCTCTTAAAGAAAAATAAATGTTCTGAAATTATGTTGATGGTCACATAACTGAATGTATGAAAAACTTGAATTGTATACTTTAAGTTGGTAATTGTGTGATACGAGTTGTTTTTTTCTTTTTACTGAAAATTACAAAAACCAGATATATGAGTTTTATTAATTCAGCTATTAAAAAAACTAGTTATGCAAATTAAAAATTTTATTTACTGGGGATGATTGAAATGATTATACCGAACATAATACATATGTAGAAACAGTACAGTTTTTGTATTGCTTGAGAGTCTGTTTTCTCTATTTAAATATTTGAAACTAAAGGTCCTGTAGTTGATGTTTTGCCTACATAATTATGAAAAATATTTATTCTCTGTTGAAATGTTTTATGTTTTCTGCTTTAGGAATGTTATGTTCATAACTTACTAAGGATTAGTGTTTATTTTCCAACCTTGAGGCATGAAATTCTGGAGCTTATTATTGAAAAGTTACTAAAGTTGGATGTAAGTATTGAGTAATCTATTTTTATTTTCATTTACTGACTTGAATTTGGTATAATCACAGTATGTGGAAACAATAGTCAGTGATAGAAAAGAATCTGCTTGCACCATTCTTTGCTTCCTTTCTTTGAATGTGTCTTGAGCTCCATCTGTGTATGTGCTGGGAGTTATAAACTGTTCTTTCTCATGATTGGGGAACAAGGCATTAAGTAGTCACCAAGATGTAAAAGTACAGTTGTGAAGAATGCTGTGTATGCAACATTTTGAGTTAAACAACTTGAGAGAATCACAGTTGGGTCAGGAAGGCATTCCAAAGGAAGTGATTTTTCCTGCTTGGCCTTTTTTAACAAGTGCAGATTTTAATTGTAAACAGCTAAAACTTTTTTTAAGGAGGCCCGCACTAAGGTGCAGTAGGAATGAAAGGAAGTGGTTCTAGTAACATTGTGAGGAAAAGTGACCTGGTGCTTGAGACTGGTTTGGAGGAGGAGAGGCAGACAGCAAGGGAAAGGAAACCTTCAAAGATGGCTCCCTGTGGAATAGAATCTTGGTGCTGCCATTAATGGCAGTTAGAAATCTCAACAGGAGGCTGTTGGGAGAGGAGTTCCATCTTGGCAGGTTGAGTTGCTGGTGGGCGGCCTACCAGAGAATACGCACAGGCAGTCGTGGCTGGAGGTGGGGACCTGAGCATAAACCTGTGGAAAGATACAGTAGGACAAGGGAGGAGAAGGGTGATCAGAGGTGTGAGGAAAATAAGAGTCTGGATGCTCAGGAAGGATCTGCAGGAAGGAGTTTGGTCAGCAGCATCAGATACCGCTGTCATTTTTTAGAAGGATGAAAAGAGCAACAGTCCTTGGATTTAGTGGTTAGAAGGTAATCTTTTTCCTTTCTAGAGGAGCAAGTCAGTGAAGAGGCAGAAGCTGCATTTCAGGAGAGGATGTGGATGGTGGGGAAGCAGAATTGGGACTGTTAGAGACCTTGGTGCAGGGTTGTGGTGGAAGGAGGGGTGGAACAGGGCTAGGGGCCTGCGTGGTTCAGGAGTCAGGAGACAGCATGTTTGTGGACTGAGTGGAGAGGAACTTTGGTGGAGGGAAGCATTGATTCTGTAGGGAAGCAGGAAGATGGAATGAGGTCTTAGAGGAGCTGGAGCTTGGGTCCACTGGTGCATTGCTCACTTGCAGTTGCCCCTCTCTGGCCAACTGTGTGTCTTTTCCTTGTAGTTTTTCTCTGGTATATAGTGAAACAACATTTTAGAATGTTTACAAAGAAGGTCAAGCATAGATAATTTAAAAAGGCGTGGTTTGAGTGGTATTAAGATATTTGAAGGATGATATACCAAAATAAAAATAATTCACATTCAGGTTGCGGTTCATCATTTTTCTGCTCCGTTGATAGACGATATGTTTATTTTGCACAATATGTCAGTGACTGTCTTGTGTGTACTTTATTAGCCCATTTTCATGCTGCTGATAAAGACATAACTGAACCTGGGAAGAAAAAGAGGTTTAATTGGATTTACAGTTTCACAAGGCTGGGGAGGTCTCAGAATCATGGTGTGATGAAAGGCACTTCTTACATGGTGGCAGCAAGAGAAAAATGAGGAAGATGTAAAAGCGGAAACCCCTTATAAAATCAACAGATCCCATGAGACTTATTCACTACCATGAGAACAGTATGGGGAAACTGACCCCATGATTCAAATTATCTCCCACCAAGTCCCTCCCACAACACATAGGAATTACAGGAGTACAATTCAAGATGAAATTTGGGTGGGGACACAGAGCCAGACCATATCAGAGATAGAATAAATGTTGAATTTGTTGAGGCTGCCTGGCATAGAGCATCCTGTGATAGTTGTTGATTTTATGTAAGTGTGTAGTAAAAGGGGCTTGGTTTATAAAATTTAAATTCCTTCATGACCTAGGTCAATTTACAGGCTTGCACCATAATTGTGTATTGTGTTGGAGTGCGATATAAGGTACTCATCTGGACACCTTGAATGTGTGTGTATCAGATGAATTTCCAGTCCCAAAATAACATAGTTGTATTTTTAAAATCCTTTTATTTTTTCCCCCCTCTTTTGTAGGTGAGTGCATCCCGGCAGGATATTGAAGATGCTGAGGAAACAGCAGCACAAACTTGTGGTGGGACAGATTCCACAGAAGGATTGTTTAATATGGTTAGCATTTTTTCAATGAAAGCAAACATACAGTTTATCATTTCAAAGCGTGGAAATCTCTAGTGCTGCTCATCTTTGTTACAGCTTTAGATTGAAGTAATTAAAAAGTTTAGCAAACTTGAAAACAAGTCCTTATATGAGTCATTTTCTGCCGTGTCATTTAGTACTTGGTGTAACTGGTTTATTTCCAGGGCTTTGAATTTGGGTTTGGTGAACTGTGTTTCACTTTCGTGCTTATAACTTTCAGTGTTTGTCTTTGTAAGCCAGATGCTGTTTGTGAGGCTGTCGTATATAGAAAATCATACCTGTTTAATTTCTACATTTTACCACTTGTCCACTTTATAGCAGTACTTCTTTGGGTGGTGTCTCTGAGATAGGGATTCAGGTGCCCTTGGGACAGAGGATGTCAGGGAGCAGAAAAGGGCAGGGGAACTAAGCCAGGGCTGGGTCTCACTTGGGAGGTCGCTACAGCCTGATCCCTCTAGGCACTCTGGGGCATAGATTGCTCTACAGAGTTTGGTGTCAGTTTGAGACCAAGGAAATACCCTTTCTGACACCTTGCCAATCAGTCATTGGTTCTAGTGGGAGGGGCCGGAAAGAATGCAAGGGTGGTCCTGGCTCCTTTCTGCTCAGGGCAGCTCTGGGGAAGGTAGCTTTGAGCTGTTGGCTGTGGTACTCACAGCTACAGGGAGATGATATCCTGACCTGGAAAAGGGGGCCTGGCTCCAACAGCACCCTCCAGGAGCAGAGGTGGGGGGCACCTATAATGTTTGCATGGCTAGCTCTCATTGGGTCTTCTAAATGAGAATTGGAAGCTGGTGTTCTGAGTCTTGGCTTTTATTTTAAATTTCGCAGGTGGTTCTGATTCACATCCCTGAATGAGACCCTGGAAAGATGTCTACATTTCTTTCTTTCTTTTTATTTTAATTTGAGACACGGTGTTGCTCTGTTGCCCAGGCTGGAGAGCAGTGATGTGATCTTGGCTCACTACAGCTTCGACCTCCTGGACTCAAGTGATTGCCTACCTCAGCCTCTCAAGTAGCTGGGACTACAGTGCCACCACACCTGGCTACTTTTAAAATATTTTTTTAGAGATGGGCCTCACTATGTTGCTCAGGCTGGTCTCAAGCTCCTGAGCTCAAGTGATCTCTGTCCTTTCAGAGTGTTGGTAATTATAGACGGGAGCCACTACAGAATGTTACTCTGTCACCCAGGCTGGAGTCCAGTGGCATGAACTAGGCTCACTGCAGCCTGCTCCACCTCTGAGGTTCAAGCTATTTTCTTGCCTCTGCTTCTCAAGTAACTGGAATTACAGGTGTGTACCACCATGCCTGGGTAATTTTTGTATTTTTAGTAGAGACTGGGTTTTACCATGTTGGTCAGGCTGGTCTTGAACTCCTGACCTGAAGTGATCCTCCTGCCTCAGCCTCCCAAAGTGCCGGGATTATAGGTGTGAGCCGCTGCGCCCAGCCTCTTTGTTTTATCTTTTAGCAGAAATAATCACTTAGGAAGATTTTTCTACTAAACCACTTTCACACTGAATTTTTTAATGTTAGCATTTACTTTTTTTCTTTCAAGGATGAAGATGAAGAAACTGAACACGAAACAAGGGCTGATCCCAAACGGCTTGACCAAATGGTGCATCCTGTAGCCGAGCGCCTGGACATCCTGATGTCTTTGCTTTTGTCCTACATGAAGGATGTCTGCTATGTAGACGGTAAATCACAGTAGTGACTGTTTATTGAATACCTGCAATTTACCTGAGTCTGTGCTGGGCATTTTCCATACAGTATCTCTAGTACTAATAAAAATCCTGTAAAAACCCCTCTTGAGTATGAGTTTAAGATAGTTTAAGGAAGTCAAGTTACTTGCCAGTCACATTGCTTGAAAATGGGACTGGGATTCTGGCTGAGTCATACTTGTCTTCGGTCTTTTCAGTGATTGTTGTGTTAAAAGATTATATATGGAATTTGGCCAGGTTTAGTCATATCAAATTATGCTCAGGTTGCTGAATACATTTAAGAACAGTGTAGAGGGCACTGGTATGTGGTGCTCTGTTATGTATTGAGTTTAGAGAGCCTTTGCTTGGCACCTTCAAGGAACTTTAATCTACTAAAACCTTTGCCAATGCAAAACAGAATTTCTTTCTTTTCACATTGCTAAGATTTAAGATGAGCTCAGTGAGTCAGAATAATAGAACTGGAATTTGAGTTGACTGCATTACCTTTTTTTTGAGGTGGAGTTTCGCTCTTGTTACCCAGGCTGCAGTGCAATGGCACAATCTCGGCTCACCGCAACCTCTGCCTTCTGGGTTCAGGCAATTCTCCTGCCTCAGCCTCCTGAGTAGCTGGGATTACAGGCACGCCCCACCATGCCCAGCTAATTTTTTGTATTTTTAGTAGAGACGGGGTTTCACCATATTGACCAGGATGGTCTCGATCTCTGGACCTCGTGATCCACCCGCCTCAGCCTCCCAAAGTGCTGGGATTACAGGCTTGAGACACCGTGCCCAGCCCAACTGCATTACTATTTTTACGATCTGGCTGTTGTAGAAATAATACACGTTGATTAGAGAAAATTTGGAAACTACAGGAAAGGATAAAAACAATTTAAATGGCCACATTTCTGCTATTCAGAGAACTGTTAGGAGCATTTTGAAATTTGCCTTTTTTCTCTTTTTTGTTAGCATGTGTATATGTAGGAGTGTATTTTTTAGTGGATTCAGGGGGTCACACTAAACCTAAGTGTTTTATAATGTGCCCTTTACATGGATGATGAAGGTGAACATTTTCTCATATCATTGCCTATTTTGAAATAAGTGTCATTGAATTCCAACACATAGGCTGGGGGGGAGGATCACCTGAGGCCAGGAGTTCAAGACCAGGCTGGGCAATATAACAAGACCCCATCTCTTCAAAAAAAACAACTGTAATAACAAATGTTATTGATCATATGGGTTTAACTGTCTCTTACTGTCTTCACCATTATAAGTAACAGTATAATGAACATTCTTGTGCCTATATATTCAGTTGTTTACTAGCAGTAGAGTTATTGGATCCGAGGTCTTTTGCTACACGAATTGCAGAATTGCCCTTCAGAAGGGTTTGTATTTCTGACTTTGCCACAGTGTGTGGGGTGAGGGTCTGCTTCCTTGCAGGGGTTAGGTTATTATACTCAGAGGAAAATGTGTGCAAACTAAAAAGTAGCATTTTGTTTTAATTGTATTTTAATGAGTGTCTTTATTGTTGTTGAGACACAGTCTCACTCTTTTGCCCAGGTTGGAGTGCAATGGCATGGTCTTGGCTCACTGCAACCTCCTCCTCCTGGGTTTAAGCGATTCTCCTGCTTTAACCTCCTGAGTAGCTGGGATTACAGGCGCCCACCACCACACCCAGCTAATTTTTGTATTTTTAGTAGAGACAGGGTTTCTCCATGTTGGTCAGGCTGGTCTAAACACCTGACCTTGTGATCCACTCACCTTGGCCTCCCAAAGTGTTTTTTTTTGTTTGTTGTTTGTTTTGTAAATAGACACGGTCTTACTCTGTAGCTCAGGCTGGAATGCAGTGGCATGAACATGGCTTACTGCAGCCTTGACCTCCTGGGCTCAAGCTGTTCATCTGCCTCAGCCTTCCATGTAACTGGGATCACAGGTGTGCCACCATACCTGGCTAATTTTTTGATTTTTACTTGTAGAGACAGATCCTCACTATGTTGCCCGGGCCGCCCTTGAACTCCTGAGTTCCCTCCCACTTTGGACTCCCAAAGTGCTGGGATTGCAGGCAGGAGCCACTGTGCATGGCTGGATAACGGTTTTGGTTTTGGTTTTGGTTTTGAGCTGGTGGTTTTACTCTTGTTGCTTAGGCTGGAGTGCAATGGCGTGATCTCGGCTCACCACAACCTCTGCCTCCCAGGTTCAAGTGATTCTCCTGCCTCAGCTTCCCAAGTAGCTGGGATTACAGGCATGTGCCACCATGCCCAGCTAATTTTGTATTTTTAGTAGAGGCGGGGTTTCTCCCATGTTGGTCAGGCTGGTCTTGAATTCCTGATCTTAGGTGATCCACCTGCCTCGGCTTTCCAAAGTGTTGGGATTACAGGCATGAGAGTTCACCAAGCCTGGCTTAATAATGTTGTTGTTTTTTTTTTTTTTTTTTTTTTGGGAGGGGGCGGAAGGCAGGAAGGAAGGGAATAAGGACGGTAGGGAGGAAGGAAGGGATGAAGGAAGGAAGGAAGGGAGGAAGCGGGGAGGGAGGGAGGGAGGGAAGGGAAGAAAGGAAATCAAGCAATGAACGAGACATTGCCGACCTGGATCTAGGGGTTTACAAGTTGATTTCTTTTTTTTTTTGAGAGAAGTAAAGAAAAAAAAAAAATAAGTAAAGGAGAGGAAGAAAGAGGAAGAGAAAGAGGGAGAGTAAATGGAAATATTGCTTTATTTTGGAAAAAAATTGGGTATTAATAATGGCCAGTGAATGTTTCATTTAAACTAATGGGTAGGTGTGATGTGGTATTGACAAGAATGTATATTTTGTGTATTTGAAGTGGAGAGCTCTATAAATATTTATTAAGTTTACTTGTTCTGGATCTGAGTTCGAGTCCTTGATATCCTTATTAATTTTCTGTCTCATTGAATATAAGTCTCCTATCTGGGTGTTAGGATTGTTAGCTCTTGTTGTTGCATTGATCCTTTTACCACTATATCTTTGTTGCTTTAAAATCTATTTTATCTGATACAAGAATTGCAACTCCTGCTTTTTATTTATTTATTATTTATTTTTGCTCTCCATTTGGTTGGTAAATCTTTCTCCATCCCTTTGTTTTGAGTCTTTGTGTATCCTTGCATGTGAAACAGGTCTGGATGTAACATGCCGTTGGGTTTTGGCTGTGTCTTTTGATTGGGAATTCAGTCAATTTAAATTTAGGGTTACTGCCATTTGATGTTGACTGGCTGTTTTATCCATTTGTTGGTGTAAATTCTTCTTTATGTTGGTGCTCTTTACTTTTTGGTGTATTTTTAGAAAGGCTAATACTGGTTGTTTCTTTCTGTGTGTAATGCTTCTTTCAGAAGCTCTTGTAAAGCAGGCCTGGTGGTAATAAAATCTCTGAGTTCTTGCTTGTTCATAAAAGATTTTATTTTTCCTTCAGTTGTGAAGCTTAGTTTGGCTGGATATGAAATTCTGGGCTGAAGGTTCTGTTCTTTGAGGATGTTGAATATTGGCCCCCACTCTCTTCTGGCCTGTAGAGTTTCTGCCGAGAGATCTGCTGTAAGTCTGATAGGCTTGCCTTTGTGGGTAATCTGACCTTTCTCTCTGGCTGCCCTTAGTATCCTCTCCTTCGTTTCAACCCTGGTGAATCTAACGATTATGTGCCTTGGGGTTGCTCTTCTTGAGGAATATCTTTGTGGTGTTCTCTGTATTACCTGGGGTTGAATGTTGACCTGCTTTGCTAGTTTAGGAAAATTTTCCTGAATAATATCCTGAAGGGTATTTTCCAGCTTGGATTCATTCTCTCCGTCGCATTCAGGTACACCTATCAAACATAAATTTGGTCTTTTCACATAGTCCCACATTTCTTGGAGACTTTGCTCATTCCTTTTTATCCTTTTTTCTCTAATCTTTTCTTCACGTTTTATTTCATTAAGTTGGACTTTGACCTCTGATATCCCTTCTTCTACTTGAACAATTCGAGTGTTTAAACCTGTGCATACTTCTCAGAGTTCCTGTATTGTATTCTTCAGTTCCATTAATTCACTCATACTCCTCTCTAAGTTGTCTATTCTCAATAGGATTTCATCAAACCTTTTTTCAAAGTTCCTAGTTTCTTTACGTTGGGCTACGACATGTTCTTTTAACTCACCGAAGTTTGTTATTATCCATTCCTTGAAGAGTGATTCTGTCATCAGGAGGCGCTCGTTCTCCATCAAGCCTTGTTCCATTGTTGATGTGGAACTGTGATCATCTTTAGAGGGAGAGGCGTTCTGACTTTTTTGAGTATTCTCAGCTTTTTTACGCTGGTTTCTTCCCGTCATTGTAAATTTATCCTCCTGTCGTCTTTGAAATTACCAACTTTCAGATTAGGTCTCTTGAGTGGACGTCCAGGTTGTTAGTTCCCAGGGCCAGAGCAGCAGCGTTAAAACTGATGGTGCTTTTCTGCCCAGGGTTCTCCTGTCGGGCTTCCTTCTTGTTTCCGTAGTAGGCGACTCTGCCTTCCCGGGGCTCCAAACCTCGGTCAGAAGGGGAACCGGTCCCGTTTACTCTGCTCCGAGAGCTGCCGCGCCAAGGTGCCGGCGGAACCACTGCGACGACCACGAGAGTCGCTCTGGCGACTCGTGTGTTTCCACCACTGGGGGATCTTCTGCTCCGTGAGCGACCAGACTTTGTCTGAAAGTGTGGCGTCCTCTAGTTCTCCGCGCCTTCCCTGAGAGCTGCAATCCCGGGATGTTAGCGATCGGCCATCTTGGATTGTTCTCATAATGTTTTTTTTTTTAATGGTGTGTGTTCTTTATAAAAAAAAAAAATCCAGCAGATGAAACTTGAAAATATGTCTTTATAAAAACTAAAACGCGTTATTTTCTCCATAGGTAAGGTTGATAACGGCAAAACGAAGGATCTGTATCGCAACCTGATAAACATCTTTGACAAACTCCTGTTGCCCACCCATGCCTCCTGCCATGTACAGTTCTTAATGTTTTACCTCTGTAGCTTCAAATTGGTGAGTAAGAATTCCATTGACATTATCTTAGCTTATTTTGTTCTTGCCCGCAACTTTTCCCTAAAAACTGGGGTGGACAGAGACCATGAGGTAAGTATTTTCCTTGAGCTTACTTGCTTGTCCCCTTAATAAAATCACATTCTCTTTTCTTTGTTTTTTTCTTTTTTGAGACACAGTCTCGCTCTGCTGCCCACTGCTGCAACCTCCGCCTCCTGGGCTCAAAACAATTCTCAGGCCTCACCTTCCCAAGTAGCTGGGACCACGGGTTACCACACCTGGCTAATTTTTGTATTTTTAATAGAGCCAGGGTTTCACTATGTTGGCTGGGCTGGTCTCGAGCTCCAGACTTCAGGTGATCCGCCCGTTCCCTGGCCCCCGAAGTGCTGGAATTACAGGCATGAACTGCTGCGCCTGGCCCACGTTCCCTTCTCTGTACACTTGGAGAGAGAACAATTGCTGCCTGCCTGCCTAGCTAGGTGCTGCGAAAATGTCATCCTGCCTTTTGGTCACTAGGTGGAGTTCTTCCCTTAAGCCTTTTGCTTAAAATCTCATAAGGGGTAATTAATTGTATTTCCTTTGTTCTTTCCAAGGGTTGAGTTGTAACTACCCCAAACCAACTTTTTAATCTAGAGTTTTAAAACTTTAGGCATTTGCTCTTTTTTGTTGTTGTTGGGGAAGGCTCTTCTCTGCAACGATTTTGTGGCTTTGTAGAGGTTAGGAGGGTGCTTGTCATGGGAAAGAAGGTTGAACTTAGTCTGCCCACATGGACGTGCCTAGCTTCAGAAAAGCGCTGTTTGGGAGAAGTTGGAAGTTACACCCTTTACTAAGAAGCTGTGTCTCTTTTTTTCCATAATTGGCATAATTACTCAAATACCAGCTGAACTTTAGACCATATTTCTGTTGATGGTTGATTCAGGGTGTGCAGAGACGGGAAGGGTGCTTCATGCTCACAGGAGTGCCCATGTGGAGCTCCATGGGGTATGAGTTATTGTTGGTCACAAGTTCTGGCTGACATTGGAATCACGTGAAGAGCTTTTATAATATGTGGATTCCAAAGCCCTGTCACAAACCTATTGAATTTGTACCTTCCCGGCTTTTTTTTTTTTTAGATGGTGTCTCGCTCTGTTGCCCAGCCTAGAGTGCAGTGCTGTGATCTTGGCTCACTGCAGTCCTTGCCTCGGGTTCTAGCGATTCTCCTGCCTCGGCCACCCAAGTGGCTGGGATTACAGGCACCCGCCACCATGCCTGGCTAATATTTGTATTTGTAGTAGAGACAGGGTTTCACCATGTTGGCCAGGCTGGTCTCAAACTCCTAATCTCAGGTGTGAGTCGCCGCACCGGCCACGGGTTGATTTGTTTGGGATCCATTGAATTATTTAACACATGAGATGCTTTTTGTTTTTAATAGTATTCTCTCAAAGTGTTTTAAAAAATGAAGACCATGAAGTACTTGTGAGATGCTAGAACTTTTCGCCACATTGGTGAAGTAAAAATCTTAGGATTTTGATAGCCAGATTATCTTAGGCATTAAAAAAATGTGACACCGACACATTCTCTTTATAGGGGTTTGCAGAGGCATTTCTGGAACATCTCTGGAAAAAACTACAGGATCCAAGTAATCCTGCCATCATCAGGCAGGCTGCTGGAAATTATATCGGAAGCTTTTTGGCAAGAGCTAAATTTATTCCTCTTATGTAAGTAGCCTAATTTTTCAAGTACTTTTTAATATCATGCTTTAAAAAGAGTGTAGCATTGTCTTAAGTCAAAAATATCTGCCTTATTTTTTTGGTATGATTATTTAAGTGAATAAAATCCCCACTCCGTGCAAGATGTTTATATTTCTAAGCAGTGATTTTAGAATAAAGTGTCTTTTAAAATATATTTATGAAACCCCATATGAAAGGCTTTTGTCATCTGTTCTGTGTGGTTGCATTTGAAGATGCATTTGTTTTTGTGGATAGAGCACAGTGTTGTATTCTGTTTTGATTCTTTTTGTAGGTTTGTCCTTTTTTCATTTACATTCCGAATCTATTGTATCTGATAAAGCTGAAGAAAAAACCTTTTAAAGGTAATAGAGCTATCTAAGAGGCCAGTTTCTTCCAGTGGTCCATGAAGGTATCTTTGGACAAGGATGCTGTTGAAATCCTTCCCCAATCACAAAATCATTGACCATAGGACTTCACTAGGCTCCATCAGGAAATACTAAAGTCCACCAGACTGTCTTTCTCTTAGGAGATGGTGAACCTTTCCTGTCTGGCCAATCACCCTAAGAGGGCTGCTTTTGAGATGGTTAGGAGAACCTGCTTTCCATCCCTTGGGACGTTCTTAGGGGCTCACCTGTTCCTAGAAGGTCAGAGCTCCTCTGCCCTGTAACTGGAAGGTTGTCTTCCTACCAACCCATCCTTATCCTTCCTTCCTTTGCTTTTCCTTTGTGACCATGGGTATTATTTAAAGAATCCTGTGAACTTACTTAGTGTGGTTTGTAATGAAAGGCAGTTGTGTGTTACGTTACTCTGTTTTTGTTTTTTATGAAGTATAAAGTTGACCTGAATTTTTCTTCTCTCTAGTACTGTAAAATCATGCCTAGATCTTATGGTTAACTGGCTGCACATATACCTTCATAACCAGGATTCAGGAACAAAGGCATTCTGCGACGTTGCTCTCCATGGACCGTTTTACTCAGCCTGCCAAGCTGTGTTCTACACCTTTGTTTTTAGACACAAGCAGCTTTTGAGTGGAAACCTGAAAGAAGGTCAGTGTTGTAGGAGTGCTGGACTGGATTTTCCTTGTTCTTATCGCTCTTTAGAATGGTGATTCTTTACTCTTTTGGAGATTTTAATAAAAACTATGGATTCAGAAAACTGCATGTACACTCATACTTTTAACAATAATTTCAAGCACCTCATACTTCCCCACAGACTCCTTAAGATGGATTTGAGCTTGAGAACCCTACAAATCCCTCAAGATGGATTTGAGGTTAAGAAAGAGGGTTTGAAATGTGAAGACGTCTCCAGAGGCGAGGCTGAGCCCTGGGCTGTGCCAGCATCCTGTACAAAGCTGCAGGTGGATACACCCTCTCTTTGTTGTCCTTGTAACAGCCCAGTAAATGGCACATATTCTCCTTTCACAGACAGCAAAGCAAAGGGCAGTCATTTTCCCAAGATCACATAATTACTGGCAAGATTAGAAACTGAAGCCAGGTTCGGCTGACTGGAAAGTTTGAGTTTATTCAGGTTCATCTCTGCCTGAAGCCTTGAGATTTCATTGAGCGGTATTTTTTTGCTAATTTCCGAGAGTTATTTATAATTCCTATCTATCAGTTGAAACTCGTTTATTAGATTAGTGTATTTTAGTTGAAGAGAGTCTCCGAGAACATAGTTTAGAAGTCACTGTAAATTGTTTTGTTGATGTTTATGAATAATTCACGTGGTTTCATGAGCCACTGTCTCTAAACCAGTGCTCAGCCTCACACAGTTGACGTTTGGGCTGCATCATCCTTCATTATTGGGGGCTATTGTCTGCCCTGTAGGATGTTGAACAGCCTCCACCTACCGGCTGCCAACTGCAGTCCTGACCACCCCCAGTCGGGACAACTAAAACTCTCTTCAGACACTGCCACGTGTTCTGCGGGGGTCTCAGTCCCCTTGGGTTAACAGCCAGAGCTCTGAACCGAAAGTTGTATGTGTTGCATTATATACATTTACCTACATCCTACACATCCTACATGCTTCTACAAAGACACTGTATGGACTAGTAGGACAAGGTTTTATCACAAGGTAAGTATCTCTGCTGGTCTTTGTATAAATTAATGCCAGGAATCTGAAGTAAAGATACTTTTTAAGCTGTGACATCCCATTTACGTAATTTTTATCAAAATATGCATCAGAGAAACTCCTAAGAACATATTCTTAAGTACAAGTTGGTCAGCTTGCCTCTTAAAATAAATGAAGTGTCTTTTTTTTACTCATGTAGGAGAGAATTGTATTCATTAATTCTGAGAAAGAGGTTTCTGTCTAAATTTGCCTTCCACAGAGGCAGAGGCAAATTTAGAGTTTCTTGTTTAGAAAAATACAAACTGCGAATAACTACTGTGCACCTGAAAACAGTGCTCAGCCTCACTAACAACTTAAGACACACAAGCTAGAATCAAATTGCTGTTCTGTTTGGTTGCCTGTCGTGATTCTTAGCTGAAATCAAATCACAAGGTCTTTTTCCCCTTCTGTATAAACTCAGCATACACTGAGCTTACAAACATGAACTTCACATTGTCATGTAGTGTTACAGCCTGCTATTTCCTAAGCATTCTTTAGCGAAGCCACCTTGGTGATCAGTGAATGTTTAGACTAGTCACACTCTCCTGGGCCATACACTATGTGACTGTGTCTGCATGGACCTTTATTTAAAGCATTTCTGCAAATAATTGTTTACGTTTTTTTCTTAATGTGTGTGAATTTATGGTTTTAAAGATGTCTTACACTTTTAAATTTGTACCTAAAAAAAATTTTTTTTTTAAATTAAAGGTTTGCAGTATCTTCAGAGTCTGAATTTTGAGCGGATAGTGATGAGCCAGCTAAATCCCCTGAAGATTTGCCTGCCGTCGGTGGTTAACTTTTTTGCTGCAATCACAAAGTAAGTTATTTAACACTTTCTTGATGGGAATTATTTAAAATATTTATGTTTATCTGGTATTGTAAGGTTCCATTAAATTTTTTGGAAATTAGTAACATTAAAAAAGGCCAGGCGTGGTGGCTGTTGCCTGTAATCTCAACATGTTGGGAGGCTGAGGTGGGAGGATTGCTTGAGGCCAGGAGTTCAAGACCAGCCTGAGCAACATCTTGAGACCCTGTCTCTACAAAAAAAATTTAAAAATTGGCTGGGGGGTGGTGTCATGTTCCTGTAGTCCCAACTGCTCAGGAGGCTGAGGTGGGAGGATCACTTGAGCCCAGGAGGTCAAGGAGGCTGTGAGCCCTGAATGTGCCACTGCACTCCAGTGTCAGCTCCAGAATGAGACCCTGTTTCTTAAACAAAAACAGCCAAGCCCTTGCAGGAAATACTGTAATACAGCTCTTGTTTAGTTTTTGAGACAGAGTCTCGCTCTGTCACCAGGCTGGAGTGCAGTGGCGCCATCTTGGCTCACTGTGACCTCCACCCCCCAGGTTCAGGCGATTTTCCAGCCTCCCAAGCAGCTGCGACTACAGGCTCCCATCACCACACCCGGCTATTTTTGTATTTTTAGTAGAGATGGCATTTCACCATGTTGGCCAGGATGGAGAAATTGCTACTTCTTATCCAAGGGCATAATTCAGCAGAAGCCTACGCACTTCAAAATAAGTAAGGCAACCAGTTAGCTGAGAAGGGGGAAGCCATAGATACTTACTGGAGTGACTCCTATCATAGTAACAGAAATCAGCTGGAAGTGAGGTAAGTGCTGACCAGTAGGATAGTGGTTTTGAGAGTATTGTTCGCTCAGGTCTGGTAGCTGTGGTAATACATAGCCTTTCCTCTGTGCCAGGCAGTTCTGAGCACTTTACATAGAGCTCATTTGATCCTCGAACAGCCCTCTAGGGTGAAACCCTGTTTATCCACAGAGAGGTGGATGTACAAAGAGGTAAAAGCACTTGCCTAAAGTCAGAGCCGGACTGGCAGCAGATGCAAATGGAGTCTGGCTCCTTTGTAAGATTTCACTAAGTTCTTCCGCTTTATGGAGAAAGCGCATTGGAGAATTGAGTATTTAATGAGGATATTCAGCCGTGCTGTAGCTTACAGTCTTCAACAAGTCAGAGCTGGAGGTTGCTGAGCTCCTTCACCCTCTTTATTTCTCCTTTGCTAGGCATCTGGGTCAAGGTATCCTCTCTTGTGAGATTTCAGCAGTGATAGTAAAGGATTAGGAAAAGGCTTGAAGAGACCAGCAAGCAACGGCGGTGAGTGGGTGGAGCCTTCAGCACATTGGTTAAGATGGTGAGCAGCTCGAAGAGTGAGGTCAGAAGAGGCAAAGGCAGCTGCCCCTAGTATATTCTCAGGGTGGGGACAAAGGGCTGCATTTGTGAGCTGGCTGGTCCGGGGGCTCTCGATTTGAGGTCAGCATGCGCATTGGAGGCACACCGCGATAGGAAACTAGGAGTGGGGGCTTGAAATAAAGGTCTGTGCATAGGTACAGATATGGCAAATAATGGTGTGTACCATTCTGTAGCTGTTGGTTTTGAGATTCAACCATATTGACACAAAGCTTAATTTTGATTATAACTGCTGTGTAATGTTCTGCGACTCTTTCTTATTGAGTCTTTGTTGGGATTTCAGCTGTTAGTTTTGTGTTTGAGACAAGGTCTTGTTCTGTCGCCCAGACTGGATTGCAGTGGTGTGATCTTGGCTCACTGCAACCTCCACCTCTTGGGTTCAAGTGATTTTCCTGTCTCAGCCCTGCTAGTAGCTGGGAATACAGGTGCCCACCAGCACGTCCAGCTAATTTTTTATTTTTAGTAGAGACAGGGTTTCACCATGTTGGCCAGGCTGGTCTCAAACTCCTGAGCTCAAGTGAACTGCCTGCCTCAGCCTCCCAAAGTGCTAGGATTTACAGGCATGAGCCACCTTGCTCAGCTGGCTGTGTTAAGTGTTTCAGTGTTCAGGAACATTGTTGTGTGAGTGTCCTGGTGTGTGGGCACATGCTTCCTTGTCACATACCTGGAAGCGTGGTCGGCTGTGGCACTGTAGGAGATGCAGATCTTCAACTTTACCCATTAGTGCAAACCACCCTCCAGTGTCCTGTTGCTGATGCGTCCTCCACTGGGAGGAGGGGTGAGGTGTTAAGTGCTTCAAGCCTCAGTAATGGGGCAGAAATCCAAGTATGTGGCTTGAAGTTGCCATAGTGACCTGAGAACCTGAGGTGGATAGTGACAGAAGTGAGATCTAAATCCTTGTCTTGGAGAAGCTGTTTAATTAATGATTTTTTAAGTTGCTAAATCATTTAGAGACAACTATCAGAAAAATTAACAACATAATTGCCTTTTTAAAAATTTTATCGTTTCTTCTATGCATTTAACTGTTCTCACTCACCATGCCTAGTCCTTTCTGTGCCTGTTTCTGAGGTCATGACTTAGTCAACCCCATGTCCCTCCTTCAGTAAAGGCCTAATTTCTTCTTGAGCAAGCCTCTTCAGCAACCGTTTTCTCCTGAGTAACTGAATGCCTCCAGAATCTTTTTTCCACCAACCCTCTAATTATTTTGCAATCAGTAAAAATAAAAACACCTATAGTTACATAAACTAAGAGTTTTGCCTTGCAAACATTCATTTTTAATGAATAATATCTATTACCCATTGAAACCTAAGCCCAGTTTCACATTCTGAGTGATAGCCACATTTTCTTTCTCCTTAGCAAACTTGTGAATAGAAGATCCAGAGAATGGTACCCTAAAAGTGTTATTTTTCTGCTTTATGTTGTAATTATTAGCACTTGTTATGTTCAGCGATTTCTCTGTCCTAGGTACAGTTATCACCCACAGGTCACATCTGCAGGGAGTCATTCCAGCATGTTAATGTCTTTGTCTGTGTTGTTTTTTTGTTTCACAGTAAGTACCAGCTCGTCTTCTGCTACACCATAATTGAGAGGAACAATCGCCAGATGCTGCCAGTCATTAGAAGCACTGCTGGAGGGGACTCAGTGCAGACCTGCACAAACCCGCTGGACACTTTCTTCCCCTTTGATCCCTGTGTGCTTAAGAGGTAGGTACTTTTAAACATTGACAAGAGGTGGGTTGAAACGTGATAACATATTTGCTTTTCCCAAGATTGGGATTTAGGGCTCTTTGCTGGAAGTGGCCCTTCCTTGCTGTTGATGAGCGTCTCGTGGTCTCCCTGCATATATTCACAGACACAAAGTAGAGGATGCCTAGCAGGACCTGCTGAGTGGTGCAGGCACCCCAGAGTGGGTAGATCTTTGCCTTGGTAGGAGCCAGTTTGACACCACGGGTTTTTTTCTTTAAACTGTCGTTTAAATGTGTAAAGTTATGGGGATAACAGTGCCAGGATAGGGGAGAGTGCTGTCTTTGCTTGCTTCATCATTTTCTGCCAAGTGCCTTGTTCCTTCCTCTGGAGACCACGTCCCATTCTGTTGTACAGGATAAACAAACAAACAAACAAAAAACGATTGGCTGGGTGCAGTGGCACATGGCCTGTAATCCCAACATTTTGGGAGGCCAAGGCGGGTGGCTGAGGTAAGGAGTTTGAGACCAGCCTGGTCAAGATGGTAAAACCCTGTCTAAAGCCAGGCGTGGTGGTGGGCACCTATAATTGCAGCTACTCAGGAGGCTGAGGTGGGAGAATCACTTGAACCCAGGAGGTGGAGGTTGCAGTGAACCAAGACTGCACCACTGCACTCCAGCCTGGGCAACAGAGTGAGACTCTGTCTCAAAAAAAAGATTTATCTAGTTGAGTTCTGAACCAGCCTTAACTTGTAACTTGTATAAGGAAGCAGGATTTTTGCTCCTTATGGTTTCTATAATAACTGCATGACCATCTGGGATTGTCTGGTCCCTGAAGTCTTGATTGGCTGAAACCGGATTAGTTATTTTCCTAGACTTACTTCTCAGCAAATTAGTATAGAAATATAAAATAGAGAGTTCCAGAATATTATAGTTTCATTTTCATTTGGATATACTATATATAACTGACTTGTCAGTCTTTGTCAAGTGCAGAAACAATTTTACTTGAAAACGAAAACATGGAAAACAGTAGGTGCAGTACTCCATCCACATGAGGGAACGAAGTCTCACACAGCAAGAGCCGCTTAGTCACAGCGTAAATTTATAGAGAGTTTTTTGTGGTTTTTTTTTGAGACGGAGTTTCTTGCTATTGTTGCCCGGTTTGGAGTGCAATGGTGTGATCTTGGCTCACCGCAACCTCCGCCTCCTGGGTTCAAGCAGTTCTCCTGCCTCAGCCTCCCGAGTAGCTTAGGATTACAAGCATGTACCACCACACCCGGCTAACTTTGTATTTTCAGTAGAGATGGGGTTTCCCCATGTTGGTCAGGCTGGTCTTGAACTCCCAACCTCAAGTGATCCCTTCCACCATGGTGTCCCAAAGTGCTGGGATTACAGGCGTGAGCCACTGCACCTGGCCTACATAGAGGGTTTTTTGGTGTGATTATTTGAGCTATAGTTTTCACTTCTAGGTTTTGGGTAATAGGTCTTGTGAGAAAAGATCCAAACCAGTTTTGACTTGTGCTGAAGTATTTAACTTGACTTCGAAATGTGATTTTGTTGACAGGTCAAAGAAATTCATTGATCCTATTTATCAGATATGGGAAGACATGAGTGCTGAAGAACTGCAGGAGTTCAAGAAACCCATTAAAAAGGTAAGTTTGTGATTCAGCACACGTTCTTGGAACCCCCTCTCTGGTTTTGGGTCGCAATCAAATAGTAAGCTACAAGTTGCTCACGCATGTAGTCCCCGCACTTTAGAGGGTCAAGGGCAGAGGATTGCTTGAGCCCAGGAGTTTGAGACCAGCCTAGGCAACGTAGACTAATTTTAAAACAAAAAATTTTTAAATTAGCTGGGCTTAGTGGTGCACACCTGTAGTTTCAGCTTCTCTGGAGGCCGAGGTGGGAGGTCAAGGCTGCAGTGAGCTGTAAACGCAGCACAGCACTCCAGCCTGGGCAACAGAGCAAGACTGTCTTCTTTCAAAAAAGCACACCAAGGCCTGGCACTGTGGCTCAGGCCTGTAATTCCAGCACTTTGGGAGCTGAGATGGGTGGATCGCCTGAGGTCAGACGTTTCAAACTAGCCTGGCCAATGTAGTGAAACCCTGTCTCTACGAAAAATACAAAAAATTAGCTGGGCGTGGTGGTGGGCGCATAATCCCAGCTACTTGGGAAACTGAGGCAGGAGAATTGCTTGAACCCAGGAGGTGGAGGTTGCAGTGAGCTGAGATCTCGCCACTGCACTCCAGCCTGGGTGACAGAGTGAGACTGTGTCTCAAAAAGAAAAAAAAAAAAGTCAACACCACAACTCTGTCTTATTCCTTCTGCCTTTATAAAATTCCAAGCCCAAGTTTTGTTATTTAGAGAGTCTGTGGCTTTTTTTTTTGGTGATAAATTGCTTAAACCAGACACTTAACATACTAACATGTGAGAAGTGAAGGTTAATTACAAATTAGCTGAACAAATGATCTTTGCCACTTGAGCATTCTCACCAAGTAGCAATCTCCAGTTGACTCATGTTGAAATTGCCCCAGCAGTTTACATTAGTTTTATAGGTAGCATACCCTCCAGGTCACATGAGGTGGAGTTAAGACAGTTACTGCTGGAGAGAAAAGTTAGAATCCAGTAATAGAGAATTTTGCTGTTCTGGCATGGTGGCTAACACCTGTAATCCCTGAATTTTCAAAGGCTGAAGCTGGTAGATTGCAAGGTCAGGGGTTCAAGACCAGCTTGGCTAAGATGGTGAAACCCCATCTCTATCTACCAAAAATAGAAAAATTACCTGGGAGTGGTGGCAGGCGCCAGTAGTCCCAGCTACTTGGGAGCCTGAGGCAGAGAATTACTTGAACCTGGGAGGTGGAGGTTGCAGGGAGCCAACATCGCACCTAGGTGACAGAGCCAGACTCTGTCTCCAAAAAAAAAAAAAAAGAATTTTGCTGCTCTTTTACTTGGTAGCACATTTGTTTTCACATTAAAAACGGCTTCAAGATATCTATTTTTGTTGTTAATAAGTAGCCATTGGAAAGCTCATTTTATCTTTTTATGTTTTGCATTTGTTGAAGGGCTGTAATTCATTCACATTGTGTCAGGTACAAGAGCTGTAACACTGGGCAAGAATGAGTCATCATGTTTCCTGTCCCCATTCAGCTTCAAATCTGTTTGCAAGTCAGACTTTTAAAAAAATGATTACAGGCCGAGCACGGTGGCTCACGCCTGTAATCCCAGCACTTTGGGAGGCTGAGGCGGGTGGATCACAAGGTCAAGAGATCGAGACCATCCTGGTCAACATGGTGAAACCCGGTCTCTATTAAAAATACAAAAAATTAGCTGGGCATGGTGGCGCATGCCTGTAATCCCAGCTACTCAGGAGGCTGAGGCAGGAGAATTGCCTGAACCCAGGAGGCAGAGGCTGCAGTGAGCCAAGATGGCACCATTGTACTCCAGCCTGGGTAACAAGAGCGAAAAACTCCGTCTCAAAAAAAAAAAGATTACAATGTGTGATGAGCAAGCAGTTATGTGGGTGTGTTGGTAAGAAGGAAGTGCTTATCAGAAGGAGCTTTTCTGTTCTGTTTGTTTGTTTGTTTTTAAGAGACCTGGTCTCGCTGACATTTTGGGGCTGGATGAGGCAAAAAACAAAAGACATGGTCATACTATGTTGTCTAGGCTGGATTCGGAACTCTTGAGCCCAGGCAATCCTCCTGCCTCAGCCTCCCGAGTAGCTGGGACTACACTCATGTGTCACTACACTGGCTTTCTTTTGAAATTAAGATTGTCTTTTCCATCTTTACAGACGTAGCACCTTTCTTTGGAAAGAATTCTGGAAAACATTTCAGTCAGCACTGGTGATCTTACTAATGATTTCTGATGTTCATACAGGAGATAATGGAAGATGAAGACGATGATTTTCTGAAAGGCGAAGTGCCGCAGAGTGACGCCGTGATTGGGATCACACCGAGCTCCCTTGACGCACATTCCCGAAGTCCCTCAAGTAGCATGGGCTCCCCACCCATGTTGTACATGCAACCGAGTCCCCTCTGACCTCAAAGAGGTGTGACCGAGATGTGACATTCCGGATACCCCATCACTCATCACCCCCTCAGCACCCAGCTGGTGCCGTTGAGCATTGACTGCATTGAACTCGAGTGAGCACCTGCCTCAGCTGTGGCACTCCAGGTTAGACTCAGTCAAGCATCTGAAGGCTTTTTGTTGTTGTTCCCCTTACAGACAAAATGAAAAGACTGAATATCATGTGCAATATTTTACAGTGGAGTTGATGATAAATTTGGAAGGCTTTGCTTAATATGTACATTTTTTTAACAGCTTTTTGACATAATTACTGGGTAATTTCTAATATAGGCACAGACTGTTTTCATGATGGCTCTTTAAACATGGGTTTTTGTCAGATCCGTGGTCACAGGACTTTGCTGATCAGCTTTCAATGAAGAATCCTCTTGGATAAAACTTCTATTTAAAGACTTTGGATGGATGTGGTGGCTCACATGTATAATCCTAGCACTTTGGGAGGCTGAGGCGGGCAGCTTGTCTGAGCTCAGGAGTTTGAGACCAGCTTGGGCAACATGGTAAAACCCTGTCTCTTTAAAAAAAAAAAAAAAAGTAAAAGACTTTAACTAGGAAATTTATTTTGGCTATGTTGTTTACCTTCTGCTGTATTGATATTTGTGTGTTGGGATTTCAAGGGAGTGTAGAGAAGATAGGAGAGCATAGAGCTGGCCTGATGTGGTCTGCCACACAGAGTTGGAGCTGGCACTGAAGGAGATCTCCAGGGACTTCAGAAACCAATAAAAAAGAGAGGGGATTGGCTGGGCGTGGTGGCTGACACCTGTAATCCCAGCACTTTGGGAGGCCGAGCTGGGCAGATCACAAGGTCAAGAGATCGAGACCATCCTGGCCAACATGGCGAAACCCCCTCTCAACTAAAAATACAAAAATTAGCTGGGCATGGTGGCACGCGCCTGTGGTCCCAGCTACTCCTCTGGAGGCTGAGGCGGAAGAATCGCTTGAACCCAGGAGGTGGAGGTTGCAGTGAGCCGAGATTGCGCCACTGCACTCTCCAGCCTGGTGACAGAGCAAGACTCCATCTCACAAAAAAAAAAAAAAAAAAGACTTAGGAAAACAGAATCAGATGTGTAACATACTTGGCACAGCGTAAAAATGGACTTAAAAGACAAAGAAAAATGGAGGTCCAGGTAGTTGTAATTCACACGGACTGAAAGTGAGCTTGGGCTTGTGTGAAACACATGAGATCATATTTTACCCCTTGGCTCTCAAGCATCTAGTTAGATCTGCGTCAGTAGGTTATTGAAAATTTCGTTGTTCCAACAGGAAAAATTTGTTTAGATTGTTTGGTGGAATGGTTTTGCTCACAACAGTAGGTGAAGTTCCTAGTGCTGTCTTCGTCTGTGGCTGTGCATATCATAGATTCGGCTTGGTGGAATCCTTCTCCAAAGCCTCTTTTTGTATTTTTATAACTAAAAAGAGGTCTTCAGAAGACCTCACTTTATAACAAATTTGTGCAGACACTGCTAGAGTCATTCTGAAGCTCAAGCATTTCGCTTTGTTTCTTACATGTGTACCTTTTTGGTTTACTTGTTAAAATGGCCATCTTTTTTTTTTACCCTCTGCCCCTGAAAATGGCCATCTTTAAGCATATTTATTTTTCTGCCACTTATATTTATTTAAAGGCAAGCAATATTTTCTTGATCACAAATATTTTGGGTTTTTTTTTTTTCTCCTTTTTTGCCCAGTCTCATTGTTGAAGCTTGTTGAGAGATGACAAATGTTTGTAATGAAATACTTCCTCTTTCCCAGGGCTTTATATGATCTTGTATAATTACATTGATGGCAATGCATAGTTTGTGAATTTCAGTCTGTAAATACTTTTTTGGAAAAAAGAAATTTTTATTGATTTAAAGTTTTGGATATCGGTGGTTTTCTTTTGGTGGTTTGGTGGAAAGTCATTTGAGAACCTTAAGGTTCTCTTTTTTAACTGCTGACACAATGTGGATTTTTGTATATTAGATAAAATGAGTAATTTTATCTAATTACTAAATGAAATTTCCCAGAAGTTAATAGTAAGTGGGGTCTTTGTGGGTTGGGAAGTAGTTTTAATGTAGAAAGATATTTACAAATAAGTCTGTTTAAATTCAAAGGAGTTTGTGAAAAAAAGATCCATGGTGAAAATAAAACAATGACATGGTTAATTTTCTGGAACTTTCATTCTTATACCAATAAAAGGAGGTACCTCGATACATGTTCTTTATTTCTGTTTTTTGTTATTTTTTAATTTAATGTATTAAAGCATTTTGCAGTGGAAAACTCCTGAGGCATCGCTGTTGAAGAGGGAGGAATAGTGCTGGTGTGGTGGGGAGCTTGATAAAATTCATGGCATGCCAGGCTGAGGATGGCGTCCACGTGCACTGTGTCAAGTATCCATGACTCTCCCTAATCACACCCAGCTGAGAGTGAGTGAGGCTTGAACAGGTCCCAGGGAAGCAGACACTTCTTTCAAAAACTTACATGCTTTGAAGGACATCTGGGGAAAAATATTGTGAAGTCTCATAAATACATGCCAACAATGGGAATTTTCCCTTTCATTAAAAAGCAAGCTGTCAGTTTTAGGAGTCTCCAGGGTCCGTCCTTTTGTCTATGTGCTCTCGTTGGATCTTCCTTGATGAGAAGTGGCTGAATTTATACAAATGTGAAAGGACTAGCAACTACAGAGTGCCACAGGCTTCCTTTCCTAACCAGCTGTTTGGCCTTGAGCAAATTATATAACCTCTGAGCACGAATTAAACTGTAAAATGGGAATAATATACTAGTGTAAGGCGTTAAGGATTAGATGCATGTAAAAGTTAATGGGCCGTTGTTTTCTTGTGAGAAAGGAAGCACTTTCATGGGAAGCTTTTTTTCACTTAAAGATAACTTCGTTTCTTCCATAATACCTCGCTCCGTGGTACCAACTAAGATCTGAACTGGAGAGGAGGGACCAGTGTGTTTCCATTGTTGGGCAGTGCTTATGATGGTGGTTCTTAACCCTGGCTATGCCCTAGAATCCAATCCCTCAGGGGGCACTGAGAAGCTAAGGATGCCCAGGCTCACATCACACACTAATTCATCCTCTCTGATTGAACCAGTCTCCAGAGGAGGAGTTTGGACATTGATGGGTTTTTTTTTCCTTTTTTGAGATGGAGTTTCTTTTACTTAGGCTGGAGTGCAGTGGCACGATCTCTGCTCACTGCAACCTCCGCCTTCCAGTTTCAAGAGATTCTCCTGCCTCAGCCTCCCAAGTAGCTGGGATTACAGGCGCTCACCACCATGTGTGGCTAATTTTTGTATGTTTAGTAGAGACAGTGTTTCACCATGTTGGCCAAGCTGGTCTCAAACTCCTGACCTCGTGATCTGCCCACCTCAACCTCCCAAAGTGCTGGGATTACAGGTGTGAGCTACTGGGCTCGGCTACATTGATGTTTTTTAAAGCCCCCTGGTGATTCACAGGTGCGGGCTGCATTGAGAACTGTTCATTGGTTTGCAACTGCATACTTTTTTAAATTGTCAACTAATTGAACATCCAAAGCTCCACCATACTTTCTTCCATTAAATGCTTTCCTTTTGTGTATTTCATTCTGACTTGTGGATCATTGAGTAGCATTTATAATGTATATAATAATTTGGGGCCTGGGTCTCCTAGCACTTTGGGAGGCTGAGGTGGGCAGATCATGAGGTCAGGAGTTGGAGACAGCTGAGGGGGAAATTTATGAAAGCAGATGAATACAGATGATAAAATACAGATCATAGCTCATGCCTGTAAAATGAGCACTAGGGGAGGCCAGCAGGAGGATCTCCTGAGGCCAGGAGTTTGAGATCAGCCAGGGCAACATAGTGAGACACCCATCTCTACATTAAAACATTTGAAAAACAAATTTTTTAAAAGACCGAATCTCTTATCACCCAGGCAGGGGTGCCCTTTTGATCCTCCTGAGTAGCTGACACTACAGGCCCGCTACCATTTCCAGGTAATTTTTGTTATTTGTTGGAAAGGCGGGGTTCCCTGTGTTGTCCAGGCTGGTCTCAAACTTCTGGGCTCAAGTGAGTCCTCCCTTGGCCTTTCAAATTGCTAGGGTTTCAGGCAGGAGCCACAGTGCTGGCCACACAGCTGCTCTTGCTTCCTTATTGGCTGTAGACCAAAATTGGTGGGGATGAGATGGGAAAAGAAGTAGGGGACGGGCTTTCTGCTTGTTGTGGCTCGCTTAGTTCTTTAACACGGGATTCAGCCTAGGAGATTGATAATCTGAGATTACTTGAAAAAATATCACCCAAAAGTGAAAAACCAGTTTAAGGCAAACTGCACTAGCCCCAGGCAGAACCCACAGAACCTTGTTCTTCACCTTTGCCCTTCCCAAATGCCCCACTTTTATTGACTATTCTTTGCTCTGCAATTCCAATAATAGCTATCTTTAGAGGATTTACTATGTACCAGATGAAACAAACTGAGGCTATGACCATTCTTCTACATGTGAGAAAACCAGCTCAGGGAAGTTAAGTAACTTGCTCCAGGCCAGCCTGCTGGTCATTGATCACCCTGGATTCAAGCCCTGTTTTTAGCCACGGGCTTCCTAATTGGGACTTAACTTAATTTCACCTGCATTACAATGAGTTGTTTACAGTCTAGGAGCATCTTATAGTGATGGAGAGCACTGCCTTTGGAATCACACAAAGCTGGGCTCAGTCTTTGTTCTACGATGTATTTCTACCACTTTGAGCAAGTTACTCCGTGATAACGGAGGTGTTGGTACTGGCTCCTACATTTGTGAGGAGCAAGTGAGAAATGTAGGTGTAATAATACAGAGAAATAATTTCTTAGTAGCTAGAAATAGAGCTATTTTGGGTGAGAAGTTGGGTAAGCTGGCGATGGGGACACCATCTTCCACAGTCACTTCTTTACTGTAGTAAATTTCGTGATATTTTTGTTGAATGGGATGTGTAAGCTGAGGAAGAGATTTATGACAGAAGACGAATACAGATAACATTCTAATAAAGTTTTGGCTCTATCATGTGGCTCTTCTTAAACTCACCACTATATCTTTTGTAAAATTACTTTTTGTTAATGTGCTGCAGAGTCGGATGTATTTGAGCAATGTCTCCAACTTTTAGAAGAGAGCTCCACGGTGAGACGCCTCTTACCTTGGAGACCTGTCTTCAGAGTAGGGTGGGTACAGTCAGTATCTGCAGATCCTTCCCCCATGGTTCCCAGCCCATCTGGGAGTGGCCTGTTGGATTCCAATCACGAAGTGTTATCGATGATCTCTTAATAGGTGAGGCTAGCACAGTTCAGGATATAGTTTCCCAATTTAAGACTGTTGATGTTAGGCCGGGCATGGTGGCTCACGCCTGTAATCCCAGCACTTTGGGAGGCCGAGGTGGGCGGCTCACCTGAGGTCAGGAGTTTGAGACCAGTCTGGCCAACATGGTGAAGAAACCCTGTCTCTTAAAAAAAACACAACAAACTGTTGACGTTTGTTTTTATTATTTTTAGAGGCAGGGTCTCCCTCTGCAGTGTGCAAACATAGCTCAGTGCAGCCTCCGACTCCTGGGGTCAAGGGATCCTCCTGCCTCGGCCTCCAGAGTGGCTGGGATTACAGGTGCATGCCACCATGCTGAGTTTTTAAACTTTTTGCAGAGACGAGGGTATGAAGGAGGGTTGGTTTCGCTGTGTTGCCCAGGCTGGTCTCGAACTTCTGGCCTCAAGCGATCCTGCCGCCTCGGCCTCCCAAAGTGCTAGGATTACAGGCGTGAGCCAGCGTGTCCTGATTAGATTTACTACTCATTGAATACAATCCTACGGAGCAGCACAGCAGGGTCCCAAACTCAAGCTTGAGGAAGGTCACACACCTGAGAAGCGTGATGGAAGAATAACCTAAAGCGCAGAAGCCTGAGCCAGACCGCGTCCGGGGAACTTGCCCTGAGGCTCTCTTGGCTTGCGCAGCTGCTCCCTGGCCTCTCCCCTTTCCCCAACCTCTCCCTAGCTCCCTCCCACGCTTTTGGGACTACATTTCCCAGCGCCCCTTGCAGAGGAGGCGGGCCGCGGGCTGCTTCCGGGGCTGCTTCCTGGTTTGGACTACATTTCCCATGAGGCATTGCCGCCCCCGTCCTGGATTTCTTCAGTCTCCGGCTAACGCAGTCTCCGCCTGGACTCCACTTCCCGGCAGCGCCCGCGTCGAGGCGGGACGGGGCGGGACGCGCGGCCCGAGGGGCGGGGGCGGCGGGTGGCCCGGGGCTGGAGCGGGACGCCGCCTCCCTGGGCCTGCCGGGGCTGCCGCCTCCGCTATGCCGCTGCTAGTCGAGGGGCGGCGAGTGCGGCTGCCACAGTCCGCCGGGGACCTCGTCCGAGCCCACCCGCCTCTGGAGGTAAGCGGGACGCTGCGCGGGGCTTCGGGGCGGGCCCGAGGGGAAGCTGCCGGGCGGACGAGCGCCCTCCTCACCCCGCCGTTGCCCGCCTCACGCGACACAGACTTGAAACTTGGCGCTGTCGGCGCATCCGGAGCCCCAGCAGTCGGCTCGAGTCTTCTTGAGGGGTCCGGGAGCTTTTGCCTTTAGACTTCAGCGGGCTGCCGCGGAGGCCCCTCTCTGACAGGGGAGGGGACCGGGGCCCAGAGAGGTTAGGTGACTTGCCCAAGATCTCACAGCACCGCGACTCGGGGACACGCCGGGAACCCCCATTCCCAGACTGGACGGCTGCACCCGCCAACCCAGGCTCGGTCCGTTTAGGCAAATCCGGGCGCTTGCCTTCGGGGACCCGCAGCCTCTAGTGAGCATTGCCTCCTCCTTGGGTCCCCATGAAGCAGAGGGTTATTCCAGGGTGGGCTTCGGAGAACTTATGGGCCGGGGGGTCTTGGCGAGGACCCCCAGTCCTTTCTCCTCTCCCTACCCTACCCACGGGGCGTAGGGCGCCGGGTTATTTTTAGCCGGGAGAGAGCCCTGGTTTCCCCAGCTGGGCCATGGGACCACGCCCTGATGCACGGGTTTTGTTTTTTCTGCTTTTGTGCTCAAATAGATCTCCGCTCCGAACTCTTGTCCACGGCTTCTGCAGGGACTGTTGGCAAGGGAGTTCTTAGTGTTTAAAAAAGAGGCGGGGGGGGGGGGCGGCAAACGTCCTACTTGCCATAGATCCTGTTAGAGAGTTTGTTGATTTGAGAGTTCCTAGTATCTGTTGGGTCCCGTACTGATCCCTGTCCCTGCCTTCAGAGTGTTTACAGTCTAGAAGGGAGAATGGATTCTGATGGAAGAAGGCTTAGATCCTATCAACGGTTAGATCCTATCAACGGTAAAGTGCCATAAAGAAAAAGCGTTCCCTTCGCTCTGAGACGCGAAGCACAGGAACCTGACCGAGTGTGTGGGGTTGAGGAAGGCGTTTAGAGGTTTCATCTGTCACAGCTGGACCGTTCGTGTTTATCTTGTTTGCTTGTTTTGTTCTGCATTTGATCTGTCCTCAGAATGTAAGCTTCCTGAAGACAGAAAAGAGGGTCTTCGCTGTTGTATCCTCAGAGCTTAGGACGGTCCCTGGCATAGAATTGGCGCTCAGTAAAGATGTGTTGCGTAAATGAGGGCACAGAATGACCCCTGAACGTGATCTGAAGGATGACAAGGACACTGACAGGGAGAAGAAGGCAGACAGATCCATATGATTCTCAGTTTGCATTTCAGGACAACCAACATCCTGTTGGCCAACATGCACTGAGCTAGGCGTGGTGCTGTGTCACTTTATTCTTGCACTGTGTCACTGCCCTACTGTTAACTAGCGAAGTCAGGCGTGGGACTCACCAAGGAAAAAAAAAGTCAGCTGCCTGAAGAATTTCGGGGACGCTCTACCTTTACGTCTGTTTGAGAATGTCCGTAATAGAAAGCGAGATGAGTGTCCTGGGACGCACACTAAGCGTGGAGGGGAGGAATGTGGTGACCTACTGCGGCGGCTCCTCTCGAAGTAAGGTTTTGGCCTATTTAAGAGGACATGTCCTAGAAAGGCTGTGTGTTGGGGACCAATTTGTGTTACAGGAACATTGGAAGGGGGATGATCACTTTGATTTGCAGCAGTGTAAGTGAAGAAGGATGCAGGCACGAGAGAGATTTGAAAAGGAGAAGAAGGGTTAGGGCATCGCAGCTGGGCGGGCAGGCCGCCCGGGGCGGCAGGCAGGAGGGGAAGGCACCAGTGGGCGGGTGGCCTGGCCAGTTTCCCGGGAGCAGCCAGGGTGAGGAGGGGAAGCATGAAAAGTAAACCTGTAGAGGTGGGTTGTACCCAAGATGACCAAAGGGCTTAGATGGACCTTTCACCTGCTTAGCAACACGGAGAAATTAAAGGTTGGATTTTTTATTTTTATTTTAGAGACTGAATTTCACTCTATGGCCCAGGCTGGAGTGCAGTGGTGTGATCTCAACTCACTGCAACCTCCGCCTCCCGGGTTCAGGCAGTTCTCCTGCCTCAGCCTCTCGAGTAGCTGGGAGATTATAGGTGCACACCACCAAACCCAGCCAAGTTTTTTGTTAGTAGAGATGGGTTTCACCATGTTGGCCAGGCTGGTCTCAAACTCCTGACCTCAAGTGATCTGCCAGTCTTGGCCTCACAAATAATCCAGGTCGGGTGCAGTGGCTCACACCTGTAATCCCAGCACTTTGGCCTGGATTATTTTTATATAATAAAGCAGGGTGTCCTCTTTGTAGGAAAGCAAAATATAAATGTTAGAGAGAAGAAAAATAATGTATGACCACAACTATTTTTAAATTTGTTGAAAGTCCTAATGGAGGTTTTTCTTTGTATATGATTTACTTTTTAAATGATGGCTTACTATATATTGTTTTATATTGTTTTTTTTTCATGTAATGAAGTGTTGAGTATGGAGTACCAACAGTTAGAAGCCTATGCATAGCTATGACTAGCAAATAACGGCAATAACAGTAATACAGTGGAAGCCGCCAGGCATCACAGCAAGAGTTACTGCTATTCCCATTTTACAGATGAGGGCTGTCAGGTAGAGAGAGGCTGGGAAACTGGCCCCAGCTTCCACGTCCTGGGAGTGGCAAAGCCAGGATGGGAACCCGGCAGTCTGCCCTTGACTCTGGAGCTGCGCTATTTGGACAGTAGCCACCAGCCATGTGGTTACTTTCATTTTGATTACAATTAAATAAAATTAGATAAAATAAAAAACTCCGTTTCCTCGGTTGCACTAGCCACATTTCAAGTGCTGAGGAGACACTGTGGCTACTAAGGGGACAGTGAATATAGACGGGGGCCATCCCTGCATAAAGTTCCTTTGGATAGAGCTATTTAGAGCCCTCCCTTAGTCACTCTTAACCAGTCACTGGGCACTCAGTAACCAGTCCTGCAATGTCTTGGGTAACATGGTTCCATGGAGTCTACAAGATGCTGGCAACATAGTTTACTTTCTGCTTTTATTTATTTATTTATTTATTTATTTACAGCCTTGCTCTGTCGCCAAGGCTGGAGGGCAGTGGCTTGATCTCGGCTCACTGTAACATCCACCTCCTGGGTTCAAGCGATTCTCCTGCCTCAGCCTCCTGAGTATCTGGGATTACAGGTGTGCACCACCACATCCGGCTAATTTTTGTATTTTAAGTAGAGACAGTGTTTCACCATGCTGGTTAGGCTGGTCTTGAATTCCTTACCTGAGGTGATCTGACCTCAGGTGATCCTGACCTCGGCCTCCCAAAGTGCTGGAATTACATCGTGAGCCATTGCACCTGGCCCTGCATTGATTGATTGATTGATTGATTGATTGATTGATAGAGTCTTGCTTTGTGGCCCAGGCTGGAGTGCAGTGGTGTGATCTTGGCTCACTGCAACCTCTGCCCCCAGATTCATGCCATTCTCCTGCCTCAGCTTCCCAAGTAGCTGGGACTATAGGCGTGTACCACTATGACCAGCTGTTTTTGTATTTTTTAATAGAGACGGGGTTTCACTGTATGTTGGCCAGGCTGGTTTCGAATGCTGACCTCAGGTGATTCTCCTGCCTCTGCCTCCCAAACTGTTGGGATTACAGGTGTGAGTCACCGCGTCCAGCCAGTTACTGCTTTTAAACATGAAAGATATTTATGCTGTTTCACCAGTATGCACATTCTTTACCCCCACCCCCTTTTTTAATGTTAGGGTCTCAGTCTGTGCACCCAGCTGGGGTGCAGTGGTGCAGTCATAGCTCATTGCAGCCTCAGACTCCTACACTCAAGCAGTTGTCCCCCTCAGTCTCTGGAGTAGCTGGGACTATTTTTAAACTATTTTTTGTAGAGATGGGGTCTGTCTTTGTTGCCCAGACTGGTCTCGAACTCCTGGCCTCAAACAGCTTGCTCACCTCACCCTCCTAAGGTGTTGGCATGACAGGTATGAGCCACTACACCCAGGCTGATATGCATATTCTAAGGGCTCTTTATAAACCCCCGTAATTACTCATACAAGTGAAATTGCTGGACTCAGGTTTTTGTTTTTTTTTGAGAGGGAGTCTCGCTCTGTTGTCCAGGCTGGAGTGCAGTGGCATGGTCTCAGCTCACTGCAGCCTCCACCGCCCAGGTTCAAGCATTTCTCTCCCTCAGCCTTCCGAGTAGCTGGGAATTATGGGCACCCACCACCACGCCCATCTCATTTTTGTATTTTTAGTAGACACAGGGTTTCACCATGTTGGTCAGGCTGCTCTTGAACTCCTGACCTCATGATCCACCCGCCTTGGCCTCCCAAAGTGCTGGGATTACAGGCGTGAGCCACAGCGCCTGGCCTGGACTCAAGTTTTTTTTAGCAGAAAAATGATGTAACTAAATCAGTGTTTTGAAGTAATGATGCTGCCTGTCATCAGGTAGGAAAAGACTGGTCAAGGGAGACAGGGAAGCAGAGATGGGAATGGTGACAGCCCCCTTCAGTGAGCCCTCATCTGGGACCAGGCGCAGTGTATGCCCTCTACACAGTGTCCTCTCAATTAATTCTCAACCAGTCCACAGAGGTGGGCATCACCATGCCCATGCATTTGCCAGAGGAGGAACCAGAAGCACAGAGGCCTAGCAGCATGTGCCCAACCTGAGGAATGTCTTGCTCTATATTGTATTGTATTATGTTGCAGTAATTTATTATTTTTGAGACAGAATCTCGCCCTGTCGCCCAGGCTGGAGTGCATTGGTGCAATCTTTGCTCACTGCAACCTCTGCTTCCCAGGTTCAAGCGATTCTCCTGCCTCAGCCTCCCAAGAAGCTGGAACTACAGGCATGCGCCACCATGCCCAACTAATTTTCGTATTTTTAGTAGAGATGGGGTTTTGCTGTTGTCCAGGCTGGTCTCCAACTCCTGACCTCAAGTGATCCTCCTGCCTCAGCCTCCCAAAGTGCTGGGATTACAGACATGAGCCACTGCTCCTGGCCATATTGCAGTAATTTAGATGTAAGACAAGGAAGGACTGAAGTATAGTATGGGAGGGGATTTTTTTTTTAATTGTTTGGGAAATAAGGCTTAGTTTTGAGAGCTATACCTATTTGTAATTTTTTTTTTGTTTTTGAGACAGCATCTCTATATCACCCAGGCTAGAGCATAGCAGTGCAGTCATAGCTTACTGCAGCCTCCAACTGCTAGGCTTAAGTGATCATTTTGCCTCAGCCTCCTGAGTAATTTGTAAATTTTTTGTAGAGATGGAGTCTCGCTATATTCCCCAATCTGGTCTTGAGCTCCTGGATTTAAGCTCTCCTCCTGCCTCTGTCTCCCAAAGTGCTGGGATTATAGGCGCGAGCCACTGCATTGGGCCTCATAATTTTTTTTTTGAGACGGAGTTTCACTCTTGTTGCCTAGGCTGGAGTTCAATGGCAGGATCTCAGTTCAGGTGACCTCAGGTGAGCTGCCTGCCTCGGCCTCTCAAAATGCTGATATTACAGATGGGAGCCACCACCACCATGCCCAGCTGGGCCCCATAATTTCTTGTATACTATTGTGCTTTACAGTTCACAAATCACTTTCATGCCACTCTCCTGTTTATAAAGGAAGAACTGACAGGACAGCAGGGGTGAGGGTCACATGATCATCCCCTAGGCCACAGGTAGGTGACTGGCTAAGACACAGGTCAGCAAGCCACAGCTCATAGGCCAGACCCTGTTTATGTATAGTCTGTAGGCCAAGATTGGTCTTTATATTTCTCGAAGTTTGAAAACAAAAGAATAATATTGTGTAACATGTGAAATTGTATTGAAATTAACTCTTCAGTGTCACCTATAAAGTTTTTTTTGGAATGCACCCACATTTATATTGTCTGTGGCTGCTTTCACTCCGTAACAGCAGAGTTGGGCAATTGCAACAGAGACTGCAGCCTTGTAGAACCCCAAATATTTACTGTCTGGTTTTTTCAGAAAATCTGCTGACCCCTGGGTTAAGAGAATACTGCCATTGAATAGGAATTGGGAAGTAAGGATGAGGGAGTGAGGGAAAAGTTGTGTTTTTCTGTTTGTTTTTTAAGCAAATATTAGTGTCTAGAGAATATTAGAAGAAAACTGGGGCTGCTTTTATTTCTGAAAGTTTGAATTTATAAAGTAGGACTGTGTGTTTTCCCAAAGAACAGTCGTTTGGCTAAACTCGTTTCATAACTTAAAGCAAAAATTAGCCAAGTCTGGGGGCATGCACCTGTGGTCCCAGCTACTCCAAAGGAAGCTGAGGTGGGAGGATTGCTTGAGCCCAGCAGTTTGAGGTTGCAGTGAGCTAAGATCTGGCCACAGCACTTCAGCCTGGTCAACAGAGTGAAACCTTGTCTCTAAAATATAAAAAATAAAGTAGAGGCTGGGCACAGTGGCTTATGCCTCTAATGCAAACACTTTGGGAGGCTGAAGCAGGAGGATCACCTGAGGCCAGGAAGGAGTTCAAGACCAGCCTGGGCAACACAGGGAGACCCCATCTCTACAATATGTATGTATGTGTATATATAAATTAGCCAGGTGGGTGGCTCACGCCCGTAGTCCCAGCTCCGTGGAAGGCTGAGGTGGGAGGGACTGCTTGAGGCCAGAGGCTACAGTGAGCTGTGATCTCGCCGCTGCACTCCAGCTTGGGAGACAGAGTGAGACCCTGTCTCAAAAAAGAAATTAAAAAATATAAGAATAAAGCAGCATACTGTTTTAGTTTTCTGGCATTATTTCTGATAATTTTTGCTTTTATTTCTTTGGGAAATCGTAGGAGCTGTGTTGAAGAGAGACATGAGTTTTGGTCTTTGTGAAAGCAGTAATTGATTTCTCACAAATAGCTTTTGCTTTTGAGTGGTGACCCAATTGTGAAAATGAGTGTTAAAAAATCGCCTTTGCGCTCTCCCTTCCCTTCCCTCAAAGAACAAAGCAGAAGGTAAGTATTTTAGGAGTAATGAAGAGGGGATTGTGAATTCTCCCCTATGTAATTCTGAATTAAGGTGAGGTGAGAAGTGGAATGAAAATGAGAGGCTTTCACCGATAGAGGGGTTCTGAGTTTTATAACAGGCAGTAACACCTATTTCTTACTGACTTCTGGAGCAAGCAAGGCTGTCTGGCCAATCTAATTTTACACTGCAGTTCATTTCATGTTTAGTTTGTTTCTTAAATTGAGGGGCTTGTCTCATTCTCATTGGCATCTTGCTTCCAGTTAATGGAAGTTTATCAGCAGAAGAAAATGCCGTGTCAGTGATCAAGCTGATCGTTATTATGTTTATAACATCTCTTCTTTTAGCTTAAAAAAAATATATATATATATATTGAGGCAGGATCTTGGTCTGTCACCCAGGCAGGAGTGCAGTGTTATAATCATGGCTCACTGCAGCCTCCACCTCGTGGCTGCAAGTGATTCTCCCACCTGAGCCTCCAGAGTAGCTGAGACTATAGGCAAGCACCACCACACCCAGCTAGTTTCTATATTTTTTGTAGAGACGGAGTCTCCCTTGTTGCCCAGGCTGGTTTCGAACTCACAGGCTCAAGCAGTCCTCCTTCCTTAGCCTCCCCAAGTGTTGGGATGACCTTTGAGCTCCATCACACCCAGCTGCTCTTATGTTTTATTAAGTGAGCACTAACCTAAATTAGCTCCAGTCATGCGCAATGGCAGGAAGCCGATAGACTAAGATACAGACCGTTCTCCAGTGTAGGCGATACATGCATACATCTCTAGACATTTGAGCAAGAGTTTGTTTATCAAGGAGTTTATTTGTTGCAAGTAATAAGAAAATTAAGATACACTGTAGTGTTCTATCAATGTAATGCTTTTGACAAAGTTTGTTTTCATTAAAACCACCTGAGGTCTTGTAAAATTTTTTTTTACAGGCTTGAGTTTGTACAAATATTCAATTAGATTGACACTTCGTATTAACACATCTTTCATAAATTTGTCTTACCCATTTTGTTTTTGTATTCTGATAATAACTATAGGATAGAACATTTAGAGAAGAGAGAAAAGACAACAGCACCAGTAAATATTAACTCGTGTTTGCTCTGGCATAGCCCTGGTTGTATTGGTGAAATTTGCTTCCAGTATTTTTCTCTGTGGGTATAAGAATTTAATCGTTGTTGTATTAACAGCACATTATAGCTATTTAAAACATTTTTTATACTTTCGTATCTTGCTCTTCAGTTAGCATTTCAAAACTATTTTTTCTATAGTTTTCATTTCTCATGACTCTGCAGTTAGTGGCTGTGACTTGGTTCTGTGCATATCTACTTACCTTTTCCATTCCTGCTCCCAGCTTTTTGCCATTACAAATGACACAGGGGGCCAGGCACCATGGCTCATGCTACAGTCCTAGCACCTTAGGAGGCCAAGGCAGATGGATCACTTGAGGCTGCGAGTTTGAGACCAGCCTGGCCAACATGGTGAAACCTGGTTTCTACTTTAAAAAGCTGGGCATGGCGGTGCATGCCTGTAATCCCAGCTACTGGAGAGGCTAAGGCATGAGAATTGCTTGAACCTGGGAGGTGGAGGCTATCGGGAGCCAAGATCACACCACTGCACTGCAGCCTGGGCAACAGAGCGACAGAGAGAGACTCTGTCTCAAAAAATAAAACAAAACGAATTACACAGGGATGAACACATCTTGAATTATTTCCTTAGGACAGATTTCCAGAAGTGAAATAACTAGGTTAGGGAATAAGAAAGTTTTTAACTCCTCTTGGTCTTTAAAGAAGGTAAAGAGGAGGCTGGTCACGGTGTCTCACGCCTGTAATCCCAGCACTGTGGGAGGCTGAGACAGGTGGATCACTTGAGTCCAGGAGTTTGAGACCAGCCTGGGCAGCATAGGGAGGTCCCATCTCTACAAAAAGTATAAAAATCAGCTGGATGTGGTGGTGTGCGCCTGTATTCCCAGCACTTTGGGAGGCCGGGGCAGGTGGATCGCTTGAGCCCAGGAGTTTTAGACCATCCTGAGCAGCACAGGGAGACCCTGTCGCTAAAAAAAGTATAAAAATCAGCTAGGTGTGGTGGTGCATGCCTGTGGTCCCAGCTACTTGGGAGGCTGAGGTGGGGGGATTGCTTGAGCCTGGGAGGTGGAGGCTGCAGTGAGTTGAAGTCGCATCACTACACCCCAGCTTGGATGACAGACTGTCTCAAAAAATAGTGGATGTGGTTTCAGAGTCACCCACCCTCTATCTCTATTCCTAGGTAATCTCATTCTCTTTACAACTGTAAAATTGTTTTTTGTTTGTTTGTTTTTTGAGATGGAGTCTTGCTCTGTTGCCAGGCTGGAGTGCAGTGGTGTAATCTCAGCTCAATGCAACCTCCACCTCCTGGGTTCAAGCAATTCTTCCGCCTCAGCCTCCTGAGTAGCTGGGACCACAGGTGCGTGCCAGCACGCCCGGCTAATTTTTGTATTTTTAGTATAGATGGGATTTCACCATGTTGGCCAGGATGGTCTCAATCTCTTGACCTCGTGATCCACCCACCTCAGCCTCCCAAAGTGCTGGGATTACAGGCATGAGCCACTGCGCCCGGCCAACTATCAAATTGTTAAGAGTCTCACACTCTTTAGTAAAGAACTGTGATAGCCCATGTGGTGGCTCACGCCTGTCATTCCAGCACTTGGTGAGGCCAAGGCAGGAGGATTGCTTGAGCCCATGAGTCCAAGACCAGCCTGGGCAACATGTCTCTTTAAAAAAAAAAAAAAGTAATAAAGGATTTTTGCATCTCATTTAATAGGTTACTATAACATCTGATTTCATAGGTTACAAAACCACCGCCCAGAACCTCATCATTTTCTCCGCATTGTTCCCAATGACTGTGGCTGCTGCGTTTTTCTTTGAGCCTCTCTGTCACTAACACACTCCCAGCACACTAGTGTGCCGCCCACGCAGAGCCCGCTTCGGCTCTCTCCACATCTTCAGTTTTTCCATCCTCACTAATTTACATCACTATTTTATTTTTTTTTTTAATTAAACAGGAAAGAGCCAGACTTCTCAGAGGTCAGTCTGTTCAACAAGTGGGACCCCAGGGCCTTCTGTATGTTCAGCAAAGAGAGCTTGCAGTGACCTCCCCAAAGGATGGTAGGTTAGGAAGCAGTGAATTGGGCGTTATCCCAAAAGGCAATTGGATATTTTATTTTATTTCTTTTTTAAACAGGCTCCATCTCCATTCTGGGTTCTGATGATGCCACTACTTGTCACATTGTGGTCCTGAGGCACACAGGTATGATGAGAGAGGTGAAGGAAACCGTTACTTAAAGTGGCCCAACCTTTGGGACCATTGAATTTCTCGAGTTGAGTTTCCTGGTGTCTTGTTGGAAACGGACTCTGCTTACGTTTTTTCTGGTCTGCATGGTGTCTCCCTGGTGTCCTGGTCAGAATGGGTTGGCTGGGCAGCACAGCCCTTTCTGTTTTTTCCCTACAGGATGTTCAGAGACGAGGCGGTCCGAAGGGACAGGAGTAGAGTCTCGGCCTGCTACTGCGCTCGCACCGGGAATAACTTGAGTCCTTTCACCCTTGTTCTTCAGGTAATGGGGCCACCTGCTTGACACATTGTGATGGAACCGACACCAAAGCTGAGGTCCCCTTGATCATGAACTCCATAAAATCCTTTTCCGACCACGCTCAATGTGGAAGGTGAGATCGATGCTGCTCTAATAGGTGAATTGGGGTATCTGAACCCTTAGAGGATGTAGCCACGGAAGCTGTTACGGCAACACAGGATGCCATCACTGCGGTGTCTGTCTCTTTCCGCTGGAGCAGAACTTAGCATGGCATGGGCGCTGTGTCAGCAGTGGTTGAGTGGATGAGTGGATGCCGGGCACAGGCAAGGAGTCCATGCTGGATTTGAGATGGAAGGCTGGACTTTGAACTTGACGTCCTTTTGGGAATGTTGAGTTTGAGGTTTTCACCGCGGGTGTGGTAGCTCTTCATGCAGTTGTTCCCCCAGTATTTACTTGTTAATTGCTTCCTCTCACCTACACCTTGTAGTTTCCAGGGACATAGCCGTGAACAGAGTAGACACAAAGCCTGCCCCAAGGTGTTCGGATTCTTAAGCTGAGAGACAGTACACAAGACAGGGTGTTCAGGGGTGAGGCAGGCTGTGGAGAAAACAAGGCCAGGGAGATGTGGGGACCGCTAGGGGGTAAGGCATGTGTTTTGTTATTCTCTTTTTTGTTGTTGTTGAGATAGGGTCTCAGTCACCCTGACTGGAACGCAGTTGTGCGATCTCAGCTCACTGCTGCCTTGACTTCCCAGGCTCCGGTGATTGTCCCATCTCAGCCTCCCAACTAGCTGAGACCACAGGTGTGTGCCACCATGCCCGGCTAATGTTTTGTATTTTTTATAGAGACAGGGTTTTGCCATTTTGCCCAGTCTGGTCTCAAACTCTTGGGCTCAAGTGATCCTTCCAGCTGAGGGGGGTGTTTTAAAATTCCAGCAAGTTGGTAGTTTCCCCATGGATGGCTGGTTAAGAAGCAGCCGTCAGCCTGGCTGTCCCACAGCACCTCATCCTCTCTTCTCACAGTAAAGTATCCGCTGCCTCCATTTGACAGAGGCAGGCGCTGAGGCTCAGCATGCTGGAGCATGCAGCTAGCTAAGTGGAGGCCGAGGACACAGGCCCGCTGTCCAGACTCATGTTCACACACCTGTCCCCTCTGTTTTCTCTGTCATTGTGTAGACGTGGCAAGCGTTGCTCTCATTTTATTTGAAGTCTCAACCAGCCATTGAGTGAGCTATGCCCATCATATACGAGAGCTTAGAATCCCAAGAGTCAAAAAAGGAAAAAGAGTTCTCGGGGAGAGTTTTGCTAGTGCAGTACTGATCGATTCTTAAGTGCCACTTCCGCAGTCCATGCCACAGCTGGGCTTGCTTCATGGCCATGTGACCCATGCAGGCCCAAAATGGCCTTTTCATTTTCCTATCATCTTGGCCCCCATAGCGGGACATAATCAATGCCATTATGTTGTCACACACTCCACTCCTTGGTTCTAAAGAACATGCTTGTCACCTTTTCCTGGTCTGCTGTCGAACAGCTATGCTAGCTTCAGGAGTCAGAGGCAAACCTGGTGACCCTGTTGCTAGCAGAGCATGATGGTCCAGCTCTCTTTACTACTTGGGAGTTTATCATGAGGCCACTTGAGGCTGTAACCTATATTGGGTACATGCATGGTCCTGGTTCATCCCTTAGGAAGATTTTTTTGTCCCAGAAGGCAGTGTGAAGTCTGGCAGCACTTTGCCAAGCATGAATTCCCCCGGTTGACAGGGGCTGTGGAAAGGGGGTTAGTAGATGATGAGAGTGGGAAACACTGGGCTCCACAGACATAGTTGGAGTGTTTTCAATCACGGGACGTATCAGAACTTCACTGTGCTAATGGCAGTGGGACTCTTCTAAGGAGGACTACCAACAGGCAAGATGGCCCCGTCTTGTTTTTTTTTTTTCCGAATTTTTTTCTCAGAGCCACCCCAACCTTTTTTTTTTGGGTGGGGGGAGACAGAGTGTTGGCTCTGTTGCCCAGGCTGGAGTGCAGTGATGCATTCTTGACTCACTGCAACCTCTGCGGTGCAAGTGATTCTTCTGCCTTAGCTTCCCAAGTAGCTGGGATTACAGGTACCCATCACCTGTCCAGCTAATTCCTCCTCCCCCGGAAGGAGTCTTGCTCTGTGGCCCAGAGCTGAAGTGCAATGGCACAATATTGGCCTACTGCAACCTCCCACCTCCCGGGTTCAATTAATTCTCCTGCCTCAGCCACCCGAGTAGCTAGGATTACAGGTATGCACCACCATGCCTGGCTAATTTTTGTATTTTTAGTAGAGATGGGGTTTGGCCAGGGTGGTGTCAAACTCCTGACCTTGTGATCCACCTGTCTCAGCCTCCCAAACTGCTGAGGTTACAGGCGTGAGCTACTGCACCAAGCCTACTTTTTGTAGTTTTAGTAGGGATGAGGTTTTACCATCTTGGCCTGGCTGGTCTCAAACTCCTGACTTTAAGTGATCCGCCTGCCTTGGCCTCCTAAAATGCTAGGCTTATAGGCATGAGCCACCATACCTGGCCCCAAACTTTTGTTTTAACTTCATAAACACTATTTCCCCATCTCATGAGGCTAGTGGGAAACACAATTTAGGAAAATCAGGTGTAGTGGTTGGTAAACATGTATCTCTGTAAAATGGAGCTGATAATCCCCCTCTCACTAAGATATGGTGGATGTTAGAGGAGACGGCACCTGTGAAATGTCTACTTAACAGCAGGCCCCTCCCATTGTCTTACCGTACTTGCTCCTGGGCAGGACACTGAGAGGTAGGTTTTGACAGTGTCCTGCTTTGGGCAGGTAAGTGACGTGGCCAGCCTCTTCTTTCTTTTTTGAGACAGAATCTCTGTCGCCCAGGCAGTAGTGAGTGCAGTGGTGAGATCTCAGCTCACTGCAACCTCTACCTCCCAGGTCCAAGTGATTCTTCTGAGTATCTGGGATTATAGGCACATGCCGCCTGAATTTTTTTTGTATTTTTAGTAGCGTCAGGGTTTCACCACATTGGCCAGGCTAGTTTCAAACTCTTACCCCAAGTGATCCGCCCACATCAGCCTCCGAAAGTGCTAAATTAAAGGTGTGAGCCACCACACCTGTCCTGTGCTCGTACTCTTCTAGAGCGGAGCTCCTCATTGCTGCATGGAGGTGGCATCACGTTTGTGTTTAGATACGGATCCCTTCAGTCATCGGGGCCTCGGGCAGGGTCCCCGGAAACTTCCTATTGGCCTTGGTAGCATGCTGCAGATACCTTCTCTTGCAGTGGCACGCAGACAGCCTGGAAGCCCTGCTGTAGAACAAGGGCTCACAGAAGCTGAGAGTGAAAGTTCAAAGTGAGACCACCCCACGCGCTCTGACCCCTGTCCCATCTCTTTGCCAGGCTGGAAGTGCACCTCGTGGGAGGCTTCAACGACGACAGGCAGTTGTCACAAAAACTGACTCATCAACTTCTTAGTAAGTTCAGTTTTTTTTCCTCCAATATTGGACACAAATTTGTACCTGTTTTTGCTTGGGTTCAAAATCCCAACTGGTTCTAAACCTTAGAGGACACACCCATTTGGAGCAGCACAGAGAAACAGACTGGCCCAGCTTGGAATTTCACAGATGGAATAGCATGGTGCTCATTTGTTGGGGGTAAAGGGACAAGATTTTCTACTAAAATAGCAGTGGACACATTCCAAAATCATAAGTGCTCTGAACTGTTTGAAAACAGAACCACCCTCCCTTCTAGCAAAAATGTCCATTTTAATCTGCAGAAAATTAAAATACTGATACCATTTTTCCCTATTAGCAATTTTTTTTTGAGACAGAGTCTTGATCTGTCGCCCACACTGGAGTGCAGTGACGTGATCTCGGCTCACTGTAACCTCCGCCTCCCAAGTTCAAGCAGTTCTCCTGCCTCAGCCTCCCAAGTAGGTGGGATTACTGGTGCTCACCATGCCTGGCTAACTTTTATATATATATATATATATATATTTTGAGACAAAGTCTCGCTCTGTTGCCCAGGCTGGAGTACAGTGGCACGATCTCAGCTCACAGCAACCTCCACCTCTTGGGTTCAAGCGATTTTCCTGCCTCAGCCTTTCGAGTAGCTGGGACTACAGGCACGTGCCACTATGCCTGATGAATTTTCTTGTACTTTTAGTAGAGAAGACAGGGTTTCACTGTTAGCCAGGATACTCTCGATCACCTGACCTTGTGATCTGCCTGCCTCAGCCTCCCAAAGTGCTGGGATTACAGGTTTGTGCCACCATGCCCGGCCTATTTTTGTATTTTTAGTAGAGACGGGGTTTCACCATCTTGGCCAGGCTGGTCTTGAACTCCTGACCTCAGGTGATCCTCCTGCCTCAGGTCCCAAAGTACTGGGATTACAGGCATGAGTCACTGCACCCTGCCTAAATTAGCAAATATTTTCAAAAAATAAAGTTGATATTGTTTTGTGTTGACTAACCACCAGACCATGAGGTAGGCTTACTCATACAGTGGAACAGCCTATCCAGAAAGCAATTTGGCATCATGACTTAACTCTCTCCTCCCCACCCCACCCCCCTGCCCGAGACAGAGTCGCACTCTGTCACTCAGGCTAGAGTACAGTGGCTCAGTCTCAGTTCACTGTAACCTCCGCCTCCCAGGTTAAAGCAGTTCTTCTGCCTCAGCCTCCTGAGTGGCTGGGATTATAAGCACAGGCCACCACACCTAATTTTTTTTTATATACAGTAGAGATAGGGTTTCACTATGTTGGCCAGGCAGGTTTTGAACTTCTGACCTTAGGTGATCCACCTGCCTTGGCCTCCCAAAGTGCTGGGATTACAGGCATGAGCAACCACAACTGGCTGACTTAACTCTTAAAAAAGGTTTATACCTGGCTGGGTGCAGTGGCCATAATCCCAGCACTTTGGGAGGCCAAGGCAGGTGAATCACCTAACGTCAGGAGTTCAAGACCAGCCTGGCCAACATAGTGAAACCCTCTCTCTACTGAAAATACAAAAATTAGCTGGGTGTGAATACAAAAATTAGCTGGGTATGGTGGTGCATGCCTGTAATCCCAGCTACTCGGGAGGCTGAGGCAGGAGAATCGCTTGAACCCAGGAAGCAGAGGTTGCAGTGAGCCGAGATGGCACCACTGCACTCCAGCCTGGATGACAGAGGCGAGACTCCATCTTAAAAAAATAAAAAGTTCATATACTTTGACTCAGTAATTCCCCTTGTGGAAATATATGCTAATAATCTGAAACGTGCATAGAGATTTATGCCTGAAGATGAGCAGAACATTATTTACAACAGGAAATCTGATGTTATCAGAACAGTAATTATGTAGTCACTAAAAAATAACACACATGAAGGTGTGAATTACATGGGAAAATACCTATGCACAAGAAATCAGGATGTAAAATTGTCAGCTGGGCTTGGTGGCTCATGCCTGTAATCCCAGCACTTTGGGAGGCAAAAGTGGGTGGATCACTGTAGGCCACGAGTTTGAGACCAGCCTGGCCAACATGATGAAACCCTGTCTCTACTAAAAATAGAAAAGTTAGGCATGGTGGCACACGCCTGTAATCCCAATTACTTGGAAGGCTGAGGCAGGAGAATCGCTTGAACCCGTGAGGCAGAGATTGCGGTGAGCCGAGATGGCGCCACTGCACTCCAGCCTGGGCAAGAGAGTGAGAATCCATGTTTTTTTTTTTTAAAAAAAAGGGGGCCGGGCGCGGTGGCTCACGCCTATAATCCCAGCACTTTGGGAAGCTGAGGTGGGTGGATCATGAGGTTAAGAGATCGAGACCATCTTGGTCAACAAGGTGAAACCTCTCTACTAAAAAAAATACAAAAATTAGCTGGGTGTGGTGGTGTGTGCCTGTAGTCCCAGCTCCTCGGGAGGCTGAGGCAGGAGAATTGCTTGCCATTGCACTCCAGTCTGAGTAACAACAGCGAAACTCCATCTCAAACAAAACAAAACAAAAGGATATAACATTGTCTCTGTGGTCAGCTCTGCTGAGCACAAAAAAATATGGAAGAAAATTAAGTATTAACAGTGCTAGGATTATAGATGTTGAAAACTGACTTACTTATGTTCTCCTGTACTTTTCAAATCTGTTACAGAGGCCAGATTTTTGTTTACAACTCCAATAATCATGAAAACAGGTTACTTAGGTGAAAAGTAAAAATCTTATGAATTGATGGGTCCCTGGAAAACTCTCAGAACGATGAGAAAAATGGGAAGGCTTAGCCCCAGCTCCTTGGAGCCTGAGGCTGAATGTGGCCGTCTTGTGGTGGTCAGGGTTCTGCAACGTCAGCTCCCTCGGGTCCGGCCCCAGAGGCTGGGCTGTGGCTGCTTGGGCGTGGGCACGGGGGTGTGGGGCAGAGCGCACTCAGCTGGCTGCTGTCCCTCCCTGTCCTTGGCTTGTTCAGCTTTTTGTTCTGGTAACTAGAGGAACTTTTCTGATATCCAGTCTTAAAATTTTCATCATAGGTGAATTTGACAGGCAAGAAGATGACATTCACTTAGTGACATTATGTGTGACAGGTAAGTTCTGCTATTTGTCCCAAAGCGAAGCTGTGCATTTCAGGACCATTTTGCCCCCAGCCTTGCAGCGGGACCAAGCACAGGCACACACTGCTGTCACTGCTTGGCCGGCGTCTGTTCCAGCTCTTGCTGTGGTGGGATGGCTGTCGCCATGCTGTGCAGTGTCAGTTCCAATGCAGCCCCCTCATGTACTTCGTCTCCCAGGGAGGGCACTGGATCTCACAGCTGCCACCTGTGTGGCAGAGGGTGTGCATGGAGGTGGAGTGGGATTAGGGACCTATTCTGTATTTGCCAGTTTGTTCAATATAAACCCACCCGCCTTGGGGCAGGACAGGGAAACAGGGTCACAGTCCCTTTCATTTTCTGGGATTTTCCTCCCTTTCTGCAGTAAGGGGTTTCTCCTTGGCCTTTATCATACAAAATAAAAATAATTGTTTGGTATTTGTTTAAAAAGTGTATCTTAAACATTTTTATTTTGTAGAATTAAATGACCGGGAAGAAAACGAAAACCACTTTCCAATAATATATGGCATTGGTAAGTAGTGTGCAGCTTTGTGGGTTGGAGGCTTGGTCATATGTTCGGTTAAATCTAATTCAGCAAACCACTGCTGACAGGATGGGACAGGCTTGGGTTCAGATCCCAGCTCCTCTGAACATCTGCTGTGAGACCTTGGGCAAGTAGCTTAACTTCTGTAAGCTTTACCTACAAAACGGAGATAATGTTCATGTCTTAAGACTTTGAAGCAGCAGCGTGGGAGCAAATAGCATAGGCCAGGCCCATCCTTCCCAGGAGCTGGGGAGCACCTGGCCTCTGTTTCCTCCTCTCCCCAGCACGTCAGGCAGGTATGCTTGTCTGCTGCCAGTGCTCTGGGGGAGGCAGGCAGGCTCTGGAATCTTTTTATACATCCGGAACCAAGGAAAGTTTTGCTCGAGAACAGAAGTTGTCCAAAGTGTGAAACTTATCAGGCTGAAGAAAACCTAGAACCATCCTCCCTGCTTGACAGCCCTAGGACTCCTGTGGAAAAGGCATGAGATTGGCTATATTTCAGAGGCCTTCTGCTGTATCGGTGATATTTATTTAGCAGGTGGTAGGTACACAGGTATTCACTGTCTTATTCTCTTTAACTTCATGTATAAGAAATTGCGAAGATTCCAATAGAACGATAACAGTTCACCCACCTACCCCTGGCCATACACCAGTAGGGCTGACCAGAGAGGTTTTGCTACTTGTCCAACTTCAGGAATGGCTGCTTCCCATGTGGAAAGCCACTCTTAGTTTAGAACAGAATCTCACCGAGTCCAGCTCAGGCCTCACTGAAATGTGTGCGGTAAGGGAAGCATTTTCCCTCTAAAGGGAGGAGCAGCTCCAGACACTTTGAAGCCATTCTGTTCACTTTCCTATCTTTCTCTTAGGAGTGGTGGGAGAAATGTAAGACTGTGCAGGCTTTCCGATTTGGTCTTTTGTCAATTCAGAGTCATCCTGTTGTCCCTCACAGCTGTCAACATTAAGACTGCAGAGATTTACAGAGCCTCCTTTCAAGATCGAGGTCCAGAGGAGCAGCTGCGTGCCGCGCGAGCTTTAGCAGGAGGACCAGTGAGTTTGAAATCATCTTTATGTTAGGAATCTTAAAAAGGTATCAAATGCCAAGGCCTTAAGTTTTATCAATCTTAGAAAAGTTTATGTTGTATGTCAGCTTCTTTATAGCTGTAAATTATCGAGGACCAGCACACATATACACCCCCTCCCCACACTCTCTCAGTAATGAGTATCTTCAGGTCATGAGCTCCAGACTCCAGTTCTCTGCCTAAAAGGTGCGGGAGGTATGTGTGAATCCAAGCATCCAGATTCAAAGAGAACAAACTTCTGTGACTTAGTAAGAACTTTCCTGTAAAGTTCCTGCAAATAGAGGAGACCTGGGAAGCGGGAGAGTGGTTTTTTTTGGATCAGGTCACTCAAGAGCAGTTTGCTGGAACAATTTAATTAACTCAACACAATGATCAAATTAATTAAATTACATTGCAATTTTAAGTTTGAAAACCCAAGGTTTATAATGGGTGAAAGAATTGTTTAAAAATGCTCAAAGTGTGAAAAAACCAGAAATCTCCTTCAGTCTACCCCAAAGAAATCTCCTCATTTATGAAATGCTGACATTTTCACTGGAAAATGTGTTGGGATCCAGAGCGATTTGTTTTGCCAATGCTTCTAACATTTTTAGGATTTCTCAAGGAGCATAATGGCCCTAGTTTCATTGATATTCAAAGCTGAATATTGCTGGGTAAGGTAAGACTACCATTGGCAAATTTGGGAATTCAGGGAATGGATCATTTGGCAAATTAGCTTCTTTATTTTTTTGGGGCACCGGGCACTGTATGCTTTTAAATTGCAAAGCGATCAGTTGCTTGGGGTATAAATAATGAGGCAGTGTTTTCTGTGGCAATGAGGAACACAGACTTTAGTCAGATGCACCTGGCTTTGAGGTCCAGCTCTGAGGCTTAACAGACGGGCGACCTGGGAAATGGGCCCCGTTTCTCTGAGTCTCAAGTTTTCACCCCAAATGGGGGAAAAAATACCCTTGTCTTGCAGGACTGTTGTCAGCACTAAACAGCCATGTATGTGACCCACAGCCTGCAGTAGCAGATACACTAGATGTGTTTAGTAGGTGGCAGCTTTTGGTATTAGAGACCATTTTTAAGAAGCTTATCGGGAAGATAAATGCCTGAAAGTGCTAGACTACACTGAAACTTGTGTTGCTGGGAGGGTTTGAAAAGTGGGTGACATTCCTGAAATTCTATCCTTGACACGTTCTTTTCTAGATGATTAGCATTTACGATGCAGAGACAGAACAAATTCGTATAGGACCGTACTCCTGGACGCCATTTCCACATGTGGATTTCTGGTTGCAGCAAGATGACAAGCAGATACTAGAGGTGAGACTTTACAGGCTAAGTTTTAAATCTCTGGACCCTGGTTTTCCCATCTGTAAGACAAAATGGTTTAGACCAGGTCATAGCTGCTTTCCGTTCAGCATATAGTAGTTACTTTTTGGATGCCACTGACAGACCCCATTTAACTTGTGTATCAACTGGGCATATGTCAAGTCCTGGATGGAAATTTGTGTGGGTAAAGCAGTAAGCAACATTTTTCTTCCTGACGCCACTCCATTTCTTACGTATATTACTGTACATATTTATGTGTCCAGGAACAAAGATACTCTGACATCTTTATCAAAGCAGGGCCGAGCAAGGTGACTTACACCCACCATCTTGTGTTTTCAGAATCTTTCCACTTCGCCTCTGGCCGAGCCACCCCACTTTGTTGAACATATTAGATCTACCTTGATGTTTTTAAAAAAATACCCATCTCCAACTAATACACTGTTTCCTGGAAATAAAGCCCTACTCTACAAAAAAAATGAAGACGGCTTGTGGGAAAAGATCTCTTCAGGAAACTAAAAAATAGGAATTACCAAAGAAAGCACCTTCTTGGCCTGACAGAGACCATGGGTGGAGCTAGCAAGAATCTGAATTTGGAACCTACATCCATTGGGTCTTAGGTCTCCTTCCTTTCTCAGTGTCTTTCAAATGACTTTAAAAATAAAACCTTATTTTGGCAAAGGCATTTGTTGAGACTTTGCTTTACTAAAAAGTTGATCTCTAACTAGCTTTTTTTGGTCAGCAGAGAAGAATCTATCTTCCACTGGTAACAATTTCAAGAACCTTTATTGAAACCAACATTCAAATAGTATCTCAAGGGTGAAATGTCTCAGCAAAACCAATTTAACAATTCCAAATATATATAAAAACATTTAATCTTGTTAAAGGTGATAATTTACCCACCCCCATTTTATCTGCTATACTTCATTGCACCAAATAAACAGGGAAGACTTTGTTTAATAATCTGCACCAAAAAAGAAAAACTGCATTTGGACAAGTGCCAAATGTCAAAAATCCCATCAAATCAGAGTGTGATTATAGGCTGAATGTGGTATAACTAAGGCTTCCAGTACTACCGTCCACAAACCCAGTGTGAATTCCCCATTTTCAGGTCTCCCAAAAGTTTGACTGCTGGACTAAGAAGGCACAGGGGCCAGTACTTACGACAAAGCGATGCAGTACTTCGGAAGAGTAGTAACGGGCAGTAAGAGTGAGCTTCTACTGACTTAAGCAGGGAGCCTGGCTGGATCAGCATGAGACAGTGCCCTGCTGGCTTGTGTCTGAGTTGGGCCCAGGTGGGCTGCCAGGGCAGTAGAAGCTTCAGGAGGGGAAGGTCAAAGGGGTACTTGCTTTCAGATTTTAACCGAGGTGGGTGCTTCACAGCACCTGGAATAGCAGGCTCTAAGGGTAGCATCTATCAGGTTTTTAGATACTAAACATAAAAATGAGAAAGTCTGTACTTGTGTGCCAATTTAAAAGCTTTACCAGTATTTAAAAATACACGTATACGGTCAGGAGGAGACTTTACAGTTTCTCTGAACAGATCAGTCCTTAAATTTGTTTACAAACAGTATACAAAGGTAAAAGTGGGTTTGTGGCAGGGGACAGTCTCCGATAGAAGCCCTGCCACAGCTCAAGTGGACACAGTCCTTACTAAGTCTCCAGGAAAAGCAGCAGCGGGGGATGGTTGGAGAGGGCTTCTGATGCTCTAATTTACAATCCCGAGAGCACCCATGCTCCTTCAAGCCTTGCAGTCTAGTTGCTTATTATAACTTCATCACACTAGAGACCGACTAACATAGACAACAAAGATGCGGCCAGTCTCACCTCTCTGAAGTGTCGCAGAGAACCTGGAGAGTGCTAACGAAAAGCTGTTTACCAAAAAGTTGCCATGTGCAACCTCATAACTTCTGCTTACGTTTAGAAAGAGCAAAGGTTCAAGTGGCAGACACTTGAAATTCTAAGTGTTTTCTGTGAATAAAAAGTGTTTACGGTAACTTAGGAAAAAGTGGTATGACTACAGCTGAATAGGACAGAATACGGTTCCTGGTGATTCTACACACACAAGAAGTTAGACAAGTTGACTGTCCTCCTAGAAAGCCTACTTTTCAGGCACATATTTGTGCAAAAATCCCAGTGAAGCACAAATAACAGTAATTTCTATTGTATTAGTATGTGGCACAGTTCACATTTCCAGTATCACTTCCTCTTCCCTGAAACAGTACTCAGTACAATCTCAAACCGCACACTGAATCTTATCTTAAGCTCTCCAGTCCTTCTACCTGTGGATGGTCAACTTCTGGGCGTAGGGCCCCCTTCTTGACGGCCTCGGTCTGGTCAGTGTGCCGAGGGCTGGGAGCCCCTGAGTGTCCCTCAGTGCTGCTGGCCTCGAGGGTCATCTGCTCCAGCCCGCCAGACAGGTGCTCCACCTTTTCTAAGTCTTCAATGTGACTGACTGAGCTGGTCTCACTCAAAGCATCTGAACCTCGCGTGGACCTTTTAAAAGGCTTCTGGCCTAGAGAAAGGGCAGAGGGACGGCGCTGAAAGCTCGGTGAGTATGATTCTGCCACACAGGCTGTCTGTGCAACAAATAATTGCCTTATTTTACAACACAGCTTCAGTGGAAATCCTGTAGCTACTGGCTCTGAAGTGTTTGAAGAGAAAACCGGGAGCTCCTAGCATGACACCGATACGTGCCCCAGGCCAGGCATCTCTGCAGCCATCTTCACTAGGAAATGCCCAGGAGGGAAACACCACAGTGACAATGTCATCTTTCAAGACTCCAACTTCCCCCTTGGGGTGCTACCAAGGCATTTTTCCAAGGCTGAACTTGTTGGCTACTGAAATGGTTAAAAAGATGGTAGTAGTAGTTCTTAAGTGAAGATAAACAGACCTCTGGAGTTAAAGAATCCAGAAAACAAAGGAAAGCAAGTAACAGCCAACAGGGGAAACCTGTTACCTGAACTCTGTGTGGAGGTGTCACATACCTGGAAGCCTCTGCTTGGTATGAGTGCCCAAGGGGGTCGGAGGCGGCGTGACTCCTGCGCCTTGTGCTTTGTAGACATATATGGGTTCTGTGGACTCCAGAGAGCCTACAGGAGAGGAGAGAGCTGGGGTGGAAGCTGCAGGCACAGGCTGCCTTGGAAGACGCCACCTGCCCTCACACAGCCTTGCTCCCCAATAACCTTTCAGCCACTGAGCCTGCCACAGACTGGTGTAGACGCAGGCACCTACGAATATGCCCAGAGAAGTCCAGCTCCCAGGGCCAGTACTGCAAACACGGGCCGGCAGGGCAGCGTAAGTGCACTGGGGGAGCCGGGCCCGACAGAAATGCACTGGAGCCACAAGAAGTGGTGCCTTTTTGCTGAAAGCTAAGGCTTAGCAGATGAGAAATCAGATTATCTTTTGCTTTCATGACAATGTAGTTGTCGTTTCCTGGGGAAGAAGGCGGGCGGGCCTTGGGTGGAAGAAATTACTTCCGTGTTAGAAGAGGAGAGGAGGGGTCCTGGACTATAACATCCTCCCTACTCCAGCGGCTGCAAAGCCTGCTAGCTGCCCAGGTCAGAATAAACCATGCCAGTGCTCCACGCTTCAGTCTCTGCACTGCTGCTTTCAAAAGCAGGCCTGCTGGGGCAAAACATATATGAGGACAAGTATGAGCCCCGAACTAAAATGCCCAAGACAGCACCCTCAGAATCTGCACAGCTGAGTGGGCGTGTCCTCATGGCCTCGTGGTGGTGGCAGCTGTGGTGAATGGGTAGCTGCTTCCCTACTGGTTCAGCCACCAGGATGTGCGGGGAGGAGAACGGGGCACAGGGCCAGCCAGACCGTGTCTCCTCAGACGCCCAGCCTGTACCCAGCGATGAAGAACAGGAACCAGGCCAGGCTTCTCAGCGGGAGGAGTGTTGGAACCCAAGGGCATTCGGTGAAACCTCCCAAGGTCAACAAGACCTGGGCGGAGGCTACGCTGTCCTACCTGCTGTCAAGTTAAAAGTTCTTCCCTTCTGCAAAGCCTGGACTGGAGAAAACCAATTCAGCACGGAGCCCACGACGGGGATCTGCCGCAATACCCCCTGCAAGAAAGACATGACCGGGGCTCTGGGCTGCCTGGCCTTGCAGCGGCACCCCTAGCCTGCTGCCACCGGCAGCCTCACCTCTTCCAGAAGCCGTTCCTCATTTGCCTTCTGCAGCTCGACCTGTGCTTCCTGAATGCCTTTCCTAACCACTTCTGTCATGTTTTCCAGAAGCTGTGGTAAGACCAAGAAAGACATTACTTTAAGCTTCTTGCCTGGGGCCCAGAAGAGCTACTAACGAGGCACGGGGGGAATTTTGAAAAGCAGGTCAGTGAAATCCTGCACTGAAACGCCAGTGTAAAAAGAAAACAGAAAACAGACAAGCAGATGACATGCTCAGAGGCCCAGGCAGACAGCTTGGTGACCAGCCTCATTTGCTGGGAACAGAGAAGAAATAACTGTTTATCACCCAAATGGCATATCGGGTTAAAAAACAACAGAAAACAAGCACTGTACAATATTCTTCAAAACAGAGATGTCAGAGTCAGGCTGGGAAGAAACCTTGAGCCCACCCAAGAATGAACAAAGCTGGCTCTCAGCCACATTTCCAATGGCATGCATCTCTCCTGTTTGAACAGTCTTACCTTGTTCCCTTCTTATCGCCTTTCGATGTTTTTTTTAGCGAAGTAATCGTTTGTTTGGAGGACACCCTGCCAACCTTGTTGCCTAGCCCTCCACCCTAAGGGACCCACAGAAGCAGGTCTATCCCAGGTGGGGAGGGGTGTGGGGGAAACCACACACAAAGCAGCACCTGTTTCATTCACCCTCAGGACCCAGCTCCAGAGGAGAAGTCCTCCCTGACCTTGGCAGGCAGGGGTGAATGTGCCTGTGTGTCTAGCCACCCGCCCTCTTCTCCGAGGCATGGTTACTACCCAGAGTGGCTATGTAGATCTTTCCCCTGAGCTTGTGTGTTTACTGGGGCACGGGCTGGGTCAAACCCACTTGGCATCACTGATGCCTGGCCCAAGGCCCAGCTTACAGTAAACACTTGACAGAGAACGAGCAGACATCCTGAAAGCAGCTCCTTTCCTCAAGACCCCCGCTGTTTGCTGGGGCAAAACCTAGAAAAGGAATGAACACTGAAGGGAACCACAGACCCTCGAGTTCTCCTCTATCTCCCGGGCTGTGGCCACAATGGTCTCCACCAGCTCCGCAACGTCAGTGTCGTCACTCGCCATGCCCACGTACAGGCAGCTCTTCATGCTCTTATACTCAGGGCCTGCAGAGGAAACGAAACAGACTTGGTTCCCAAGTCCTCTGTCATGGGTGAGATGTGGGCCTGCTCTCCTGTTGAGTGGCCTGACCACGCACAAAGGGGTCTCCTCCATGGAGATTCTGATGATGGAGGGAAAGGTGCAGCAAGGCTGCAGAAGAGGAGGGAGGTCTCAGAGCCGGAGACTCTAACCCTCCAAGAGATGAGCCACCTTCCTTAAAGCCAGTTAGCAAATGTCCTTCCAAAGGTCACAGTTGACTTATACAAGTAAATAATTACCTATTTTAAATGTTAGGTCAGATTCCAGTTCATTTAACTTTTTCAGGAGTCCAGCATGGATTTTTTCCCCTTCAGGATCTGATTTCAAAGTGCTCTTATCATCATTAGCATGTTCATACCTAAAACAACATCAAATGACAGCATTTCAGCCTAAAAGATCAAATGTCTCTTCAGACACAGGATTAGAGGTGGTGTAGAAACCTCTAGATAGTAATTAGCAAGACAGTAGAGCAGAACCAATGGGCAGAGAGCTACTGTGTCTCCAGACCACAACCTTTCAAGAATGCCACAGGTTTACAGCTTGCTCGGAGTAAAGAAGAGTCTTTTTTTTTTTTTTTTTTTTTTTTGAGGCAGGGTCTCACTCTGTGGCTTAGGCTAGGGTGCAGTGGAATGATCTTGGATCACTGCAACCTCCATCTCCTGGGCTCAGCTGATCCTCCCATCTTAGCCTCCCGAGTAGCTGGGGCTGCAGGTGTGTACCACCACCCCTGGCTAATTTTTATATTTTTGTAGAGATGCGGTGTTGCCATATTGTCCAGGCTGGTCTCAAGCTCCCGGCCTCAAATAATGCATCCTCCTGTCAGCCTCCCAAACTGCTGGCATTACAGGTGTGAGCCACCATGCCCAGCTGAAAGCCAAAGTCTTTAGGTCCATGTAGATAGGGAAGACAAGGTCTGAAAGTCTCACGTGCAACACAAAAAAACTTGCCTCGCCACAGAAAGCAGCCACAGGACTGTACCCACAGAACAAGAAAGGACAGGGGAGTTCTGTCTCCCGGAGAGCTGGTCCTTTTTCTTACTGATTTGCAGTTCTCATTATGCCTGGGTGAGTAACCACTGTCAGTGATACATACCCGTCCGCACCTTCTCCTAGGTAGTCGAGAGTCAGCTCTTACAGACAGAACATTCAGCAACTCCCCCTCCCTGAGTGCCATGGTGGGCCGAATTGCCTCCTTGCACTATGCTTTTGTAAATGCCCAGAAAATCAAGCTGCAGTTTCATTAAACAAGCATATTGTGACTACACATTCATCTTGGATTTCTAAGCTGGTTGAGAAAATGACCCACCCGTGTTCTTTACACAGCAAAGTCTCTAACATCAAGTGGCAGGCCAAGACTTTACCTGACAACCCCTATTCCAGGCCAGTTAGGGTCATCAACATATAGGAGACCTGCCGTTCCTTCCACCTCCTGCTTGAACTCTTCGCGCAACTGGAGCGTGCAGCTCAGCACTGGCAGCTTGCTTTGTATGCAGGCTACAAGCTGATCCACATCCTCTCCCCGAGTTCCTAAAACTGAAGACGTTCACAAAATGTCAGAGAAACGCTCGAGATGGTCGACGACGAGAGGGCAGGGCTACCTCTTCCACTACTGCAAAGGTCAAAAGCTCGAGGTACTCCAGTTACCCAGAGCTATGGAGACTTTTTAAAAAGCCATTCAACCCCGACATGTAAGAACTAGGGTTAGAAACTGACACCGCTGGCTGTACCAGGTGTGGACTGTTTTTTTCACAGATGTGGCCCACAATGACACACTCCAGTGTTAGAAATCACTCTTCCCGTAGAAAGCCCACTTCTGGCAGGCTGCAAACATCATACCACAGGTTCTCTGTATACATTACTATGATTGAGAGAAGGGAAGTACTGTGGTGGGTTGGTGCCCCCACACAGGAAGCACAGGGAGATGGTGACAACACCGGGCCTCGGGCTCACTGGCTTGCTTCTGCAGTGTGAGAGACTAAGCCTCTAGAGCTGTGGCCAGTGCTTTGGGAAGCTAAGGCAGGAGGATCACTTAAGGCCAGGAGTTCAAGAGCAGCCTGGATGACATAGAGAACCCATTTCTATGAAAACCAAAAAAATTAGTCCAGGCGCGGTGGCTCACACCTGTAATGCTAGCACTCTGGGAGGCTGAGTGGGGCAGATCATGAGGTCAGGAGTTCAAGATCAGCCTGACCAACATGGCAAAACCCTGTCTCTACTAAAAATATAAAAATTAGCCAAACGTGGTGGCAGGTGCCTGTAATCCTAGCCACTTGGGAGGCTGAGGCAGAAAACTGCTTGAACCCAGGAGGCAGAGACTGAAGTGAGCAGAGGTTGCAGTGAGCCGACACTGCACCACTGCACTCCAGCCTGAGTGACAGAGCGACACTCCATCTCAAAAAAAAAAAAATTAAGCAGGCGTGGTAGTGTGCGCCTGCAATGCCAGCTATTCAGGAGGCTGAGGCAGAAGAATCACTTGAACATAAGAGGTAGACGTTGCAGTGAACTGAGATAGCACCACTGCACTCCAGACTGGGTGACAGAACAAGACTCAGTCCCCCAAAAAGTAAATAAAATAAAAAATGAAAAAATTAGCCAAATGTGGTGGCACTTGCCTGTAGTCCCAGCTCCTTGGGAAGCTGAGGTAGGAGGATTGTTTGGGCCCCAGAGGTCAAGGTTGCAATGAGCTATGGTCAAGACACTGAATTCCAGCCTGGGTGACAAGTGAGACCCTGTTTCTAAAAAAAAAAAAAAAAAAGTAATAATAACCAAAACACAGATACCCAGGCTCCATTCTACAATCTCTGGAGATGGGCAGCCGTTGGTTGTGTCTAAAGCTCCCCAGGTAACTGTGATGTACCGCTAGGAGGAGGAGCCCTTGCAGTGGAAAACCAAGGGTCATAAGACATCAAAATACAGTCATTCCGCTTGGGCAACATGGCGAAACTCCATTTCTATAAAAAATGCAAAAGTTAGGTGGGTGTGGTGGCTCATGCCTGTGGTCCCAACTACTCAGGGGCTGAGGTAGGAAGATCACTTGAGTGCAGGAGGTCCAGGCTGCAGTGGGCCGTGACCCCACCTCTGCACTCCAGCCTGGGCAACAGCAAGACCCTGTCTCAACACAAAAAGGAATTCAGGTGATTACCTTTTTTTTTTTTTTTTGAGATGGAGTCTCCTCCGTTGCCTAGACTGAAGTGCAGTGGAGCAGTCTCGGCTCACTGCAGCCTACGCCTCCCAGGTTCAAGTGATTCTCCTGCCTCAGCCTCCCAAGTAGCTGGGACTACTGGCATGCACCACCACGCCTGGCTAATTTTTTATTTTTTGTAGAGACAGAGTTTCGCCATGTTGGCCAGGCTGGTCTCGAACTCCTTACCTCAGATGATCCACCTGCCTCGGCCTCCCAAAGTGTTGGGATTACAGGCATGAGCCACCGCATCTAGCCAATTCAGTTGACTTCTGAAGTCTCATTTTGATTTTGAGAAGTTACATGGGAACTCTAATCTACCTAAATTTAGCCCAAAAGAGAAAAAGCCCTTCCAAAAAGAGATGCTGGTAACTCTAGGAGAACGGAATACCCTAAGGGCAAGCAGCCCCACAGCAAAGCAAAGGGCATCTACTGAGCCTGCTCACCTGCTGCTGTCATCAAAGGGCTGAACCGCAGACATGTGCCGTCAGCTTCTAGATCCATGACTGTGAGGCCGCTCGCAGGCACCAGCTGCTTCAGCTGTTCTCCTAGCTGTGGGGAGGAGGACAGAATCAACACCTATAACGAGGGACTCAGACTTCAGGACCCACCCTCATCCAGTCAGCCCAGACCAAAGAGGATCCCAGAGAGCTGGCTCCTCATCTTTTGACTGTCTCTGAATACTTAGAAGCAGCTTTTTAAAAACAGTAAATTTTACTTTTTTTTCTGATTAATAAATACAAGTTCATTGTAGAAAAACCTAGGAAATACAGGTAAATCAAAAGGAGAAAGTAACAATGGCCTACAGTACATTGCTAAGCGACACCCACTGTTGCCATGTTGTCTACCCCCAGTGTATTTTCTCTGTGCGAGTGGCGGGAGGGGCTGTATTTTTTTGTTGTCATAAAACACACTACTTGACACTGCTTAGTAACCTGCATGGTTTCATGTCTTTTTTTTTTTTTTTTTGAGACAGAGTATCACTCGTTACCCAGGCTGGAGTGCAATGGTACGATCTCGGCTCACCGCAACCTCCGCCTCCTGGGTTCAGGCAATTCTCCTGCCTCAGCCTCCTGAGTAGCTGGGATTACAGGCACGCGCCACGGTGCCCAGCTAATTTTTTGTATTTTTAGTAGAGACGGGGTTTCACCATGTTGACCAGGATGGTCTCGATCTCTTGACCTCGTGATTCACTCGCCTCGGCCTCCCAAAGTGCTGGGATTACAGGCGTGAGCCACCGCGCCCGGCTGGTTTCATGTCTTTAATGGTGACCAGTTCCCTTCTGCCTGACATGTTCAGCTCTGTGGTCTCTCACGGCTGTGCTCAGCCCCAGCATGGATGTGCCATGACTTATCTGCCAATCCCATTAGGCGGGGTGTGTCCAGCGTTGGCTAGGACTGCTGCTGTTGCTGCTGCTGCCGCCACCCCTCACTGTTCACAGCACGCTTCAGACTCAAATCCTACAGCTGCTATTCAGGGCCCAAAAAGCTGCCAAAGCACAGGGCTTGGCTCCATACTGCCAGCTGCAGATGCTCAGCAGACTCCGCCTGGGGGTCCTGGCTGTGCTGCCCGGCTCACCAGACCCATGGCAGCTGCCCTGCAGTCCACGTTTGGCACACTGTCTCACAGCCTTATACGGCAGCAAGGAAACTGAGGGGACGATGCTGGAAGGACTGGCCAGAGATGACCCAGCTCATGAAGCGGTGACGGAACTGGGAACAGAACCCCAGAGCAGGCCCAGCACCGCTGGGTGGCTCCTCCTGTAGGCCTCAGATCCCATACATGAGCATGTGTCACCCTCACCAGCAGGTCAGACAGGGATGCCTTGGGACCTGAAAGGAAAGGCAGGCGGCTACACTTCTCACCCAGCGATTCAGCGCATCACACGAATGCCTCTCCCGGCCAACTGCTGAAGGTGTCATGTTGGGCACTGGGACAGCTTTAAACACCGGATCTGACACCAAAACACAGAAAGGGAGTCACTTCCAGAAATGCGGCCGACCGAAACAAACACCATCCCAACCCCACATCATTCCCATCCCAATATTAACCCGAGGGAACAGACTTGTGTTACTCAATTCAAATGTAGTATCTGACAGAAGGGTTACATTTCCTTTCTTTTTTCCTCATGACCTACGTAACATTTGAATACATTCACATAAAACAGAATTATTAAGTTCATTTTTAAAGGTCTGCTTTCAAGGGATTGCAAGAGAAAACAGCCATTTTTGCTGTAAGTTACTAGCTAGTCTACCGAGCACTGTGCAAGGTCTGTGAGAGCGCCAGGATCATCCAACTTGGCTCTGGCGTGGGTGCCACCCATGCCAGGCACATGGGATGGAGGGCAGATAAGGTTTCTGTCATCTTGGAGCTTATATTAGTTGAGGAAACAGACCATAAAGAAAGAAAACCACTCTAGTGCCACTAGAGACGGTGGGGGCTCTGACAGAGTATGATGCAGTCCCCTCAGGCAGGACAGGATCTGAGGAAGTTGACACTTAGTGGAGGAGACTCAAATGGTGAGGAAGAGCCGACACCAAGAGAAATGTGTGTGAGGCAAAGGGAACGCGAAGTTTGAAGACCTTGCAGTAGAAAACGGCAGAGTGTTCCTGGAGCACAAAGAAGACTGGTCTGACTGAGGCACATGAACAAGAGGGAGAATGGCAGAGGGGAAGTCGGGGCAGGGTGCCAGGCCTCACGGGGCATGGTGAAGAGCCTGGCCTTTGTTTGACTGAAACGATAAGATACCCATGGGCTCTGGCCAGGGAAGTGACACTGATACGGGAGTACTGGGAAGGGAAGAGCGTGGTCCTTTTAAATGACACAAAAGTGGGGAAGTGCTGGGGAGAGAAAGGTCGGTCCCTGGCTAGGGCTCTACCCCCATGGACCTAGGTGACATACAGGCACTCCTGCTTTTCCCCAAATGTTGCATTTCCCAAGACCACGCTGGCCTGCCACACCCCCATCCTGGGCCTATAAAAACCTGAGACCCTAGCGGCCAGATAGAAGCGGCTGGACGATGAGAGGAACACATTGGTAGACAAAGACCAAGAGGCTGGTCATGCAGAGCAGGCCTGCAGAAGAGCACCCTAACAGACGCCGGCAGGCCAAGCCATCGACCAGCGAAACAAGGTGGAGTTTGGCCAGGGCCACCAAGCACCCCAACTCAAGGGGAAAACCAGCTCCCTTCTGACCTCCTCATCAGCAGAGAGCCACTTCCACTCAATAAAACCTGGCACTCATTCTCCAAGCCCAAGTGTGATCCGCTTCTTCTGGTACACCAAGGCAAGAACCTGCGATACATGAATCCCTCTGTCCTTGTGATAAGGAAGGGGTTCTAATTGAGCCAACTAAAATGAGCCACCTAAAGATGGCTAAATTAAAAGAGCACCCTGTAACATGCCCATGGGGGCCTCAGGAACTGTAAACATTCGACCCTACATGCTATGTGGGGTCGGAGCCCCACAGCCTGCCTGTCTCTATGCTCTCCTAGAGGTCTGAGCAGCAGCGGGGCAGTGAAGAAGCCACACCCCCATCGCATGCCCTGTGAGGGGGACAAGGGAACCTTTCCTGCTTCAACACCGTGTCACTTCTGCTTACAACCCTCACTCTGCCAGGTGGAAGATGGTCTGGAATGGGCTGTGCAGAATGTAGGAGAGTCTGAGAGGGGACAGTGGCCATCCAGGTAAAAAAGAGTGGTGTCCTGGACTACGTTGGTGGCACCTGGAACTTTTTTTTCTGTGTGTGAGATGGCTGCAGTGCAGTGGTGTGATCTTGCCTCACTGCAACCTCCACCTCCCAGTTCAAGCAATTCTGCCTTTGCCTCCTGAGTAACTGGGATTACAGATGTGCACTATGATCCCCGGCTAATTTTTGTATTTTTAGTAGAGACTGGGTTTCATCATATTGGCCAGGCTGGTCTCAAACTCCTGACCTCAGGCGAGCAGCCCACCTCAGCCTCCCAAAGTGCTGGGATTACAGACATGAGCTATCGCGCCCAGCTAAGACCCAAAAGCTAAGAGTCCATTCCAGGACTGTCCAGGGACTGGCATTTGGGAACCCCAAACTATTTGCTGATTGTTTAATCACCGCAAACCGCAAACTATCGGCAAAGTGCTAAGGCATTTCGAGCTGGTTTTCATAAAAATTGTTACATTTTTCTGAAATGATGACTGAAGATTTTAGGAATAAAAATATTTTCAACTATCTATTTAACTTGAAATGGCATCAAATTCAAAGCCTTTAACACGGATATGAAAACAGCCCTCTTGGCTGAGTGCAGTGGCTCATGCTTGTAATCCCAGCACCTTGGGAGGCTGAGGTGGGAGGCTCATGAGGTCAGGACATCGAGACCATCCTAGCCAATGTGGTGAAACCCTGTCTCTACTAAAAATACAAAAATTAGTTGGGTGTGGTGGCATGTGCCTGTAATCTCAGCTACTCAGGAGGCTGAGGCACAAGAATTGCCTGAACCCAGGAGGCAGAGGTTGCAGTGAGCTGAGATCACACCACTGTACTCCAGTCTGGTGACAGCGTGAGACTCCATCTAAAAAAAAAAGAAAGAGGAAAGAAAGGAAAGGAAAGGAAAGGAAGAAAGAAAGAAAATAACCCTCTTTTAAAAAATCACCTACCTGAGCCTGGTAATTCCTGGAAAAATCTGAATACCACCACTGGGGAGCTGAGCTCATCTTCTACCTGGAAGAATGAACGTCTCATATTAAACTCCAGACACCTTCAAAACAAAATGCTGGGTTCGAAAAATAGGTTAGAGATGCTCTATTTGTAAATAAACACATTAAAAAGTTCATATATTTCAGTTGCTAGAGAAACAAAAATCAAATTTTTGAAAATAACCATGAAGCAGCCCTGAGTCTACTGTGAATTATAAGCTTTGTGACACAGGTACACTGAAATTAAAGCAGGAGGAAATTTTAGTAAGGGACAAACACAGGTCTAACATTAAAGATTATAACTAGTAAGAAGCAGTGACATGAGACTCAGTGTTGAGAGAGCCCAGGCTTTCAAGAATCCCAGAAATTATGCAGGATTTATTGAAACTTAAATTTTTTTTTTGAGATGGGGTCTTGCTATGTTGTCCAGGCTGGTCTTGAACTCTTGGCCTCAATTAATCCTTTTACTTTGGCCTTCCAAGTGTTGGGATTATAGGCATGAGACACCAGGCCTGACCAACTAGAATTTTTTATATTTATAGAAAAAAGGGGGAGAACAAGTACTTTATTCCCCTTTGTAAAACTTTCGGAACAAGATGCAAATCCTGCTGGCAATGTAGACAAGCACAGCTGAGAAGTGGATCTATGTATTTTCTAATATATGTGCTTATTAAGACAGGCCACAGATGACTAACTTCATTAGTGAGTTTCCTAACAGATGAAAATCTTCACTGCATTATGATAACCCGGCACCAAGTTCCTGTTCTGCATCAAGCAGAACCCTGATCATGGGGTCAGGGTACCGTGAGCAGCCATGTCCTTGGCAGGCTCTGTGGTGCTATAGGGGTGTGTGGGTAGCCCTGGAGGAGAAGATCTCTAAGCATCCAACAATCCCAGTACTATAACTCTAGTCATAAAGCTTCTGTTCCAAGGCTCTGAGTGTGATGACTCACTAGCAGGGCCACAACAGGAAACGCTAACTTGGAAAGACAGGAAGTGGTGGCCCAGGATCTTTTCTCCTAACTTTTCAAAGGACCATGTGTACAGGATTCAGATCAAGCAGGATGTGTATTCTAATGTCTCAGTTATTTACGGAGCCAGTTCCTGTGCTAAGTGCCTTCACATCTATCATCTTTAACTTTCACAGAGACAAATAAAACGTGATACTTTAAAAAGTATGGGCCAGGGCTTAATATTTAAATAGGGGAGCAAGACCAATAAGCAAGTAGGAATAAAAAGGCACCAAAATAAACCACCCATTCTCCCGTCCTTAGTTAGGAGAAGGCAGAATGAATTCAGTGCCAAGACTTTGATGAATACCATGATCATCTTTTCTTTCTTTAAACTCAGTAGTCTAAAATGTCGACATGTGTAAGAAATATTACACAGGGCTAGAGGCACTTCCAGTTCTAGCAATATGGTAGACTGAGCCAATACTGAAATTTTCAATTCTGAATATCCAAAATATTGGATTAAATATAACCAAGAACCCAAAAAAAGGCTAGCATTGCTGGGCTCACACAAAAAAGGGTGAATCCACCAAGAAGGAACAGAAAGACTGTAAGCTGAACAGCAGGGGGTGGGGAGCATGTCTGGGGCTTGGCGCTAGGCTTTCAGGGCAAGGGTCTTGAGTAAGGCCTTGACAAAGGTTCTATAGGAAAAAACAAACATTTGATTTCAGAGAGTAAAAAGTGGATGAAGACGACCCAGGGGATGGAGTGATGTCTGACAGTGGGAAGTTATCTCAGGGGGTCAGGAAAGGCCTTTCTAAAGAGATGAGATTTGAATCAGGATCTGAAAGATAAGAAACCAGTCATTAGAAGAATTGGTGTACCCCATGTACAAAGGAGACGACTGTTGGGAGGGTTGAATGAAATATGCATGTGGTACCACGTACACGTTTCACAAGTAGCAGCTAGGATGGTGGTGATGCTGCTGCTGATGACAAGCCACAGTGCTTCATAGTGTTTGCCAATTACTGTATGCTCTACTGAAAAAATAGCCACTGAAAGCAGGGACAGAGCAGGCCTTCTGCCTGGGCTAGTGTGGTCTACAGAGATGCACCAAAATGGCTGGTGATTAAATAGCACCACTGGCTCCCCCGACATGAGAACAAGGGAGCAGCGAGGACTGAGGAAGAGCCGAGTGGGCTCAGCACAGCAGGGGCGGGAAAGCTGACAGGCCCAGCACTGCCTGCATTCCTAACAGCTTACTAAATCTAGGCCATAATTTGCGTTTCTGTTTGCAATCAGAGGAGACCAACCAACATCTTTGACAGCGGAGCTCGTAGGCCCAGAGAGAAAATGACTCAAAATGTCACAGGGCCAACCTGTGGCAGTGCTAGAAGCAGAGCCCAAGCCTCCTACATTCATTCCTTGTTTCTCCAGCATTCCACTTCCTCATCCAAGGCTAGAACCCCAACCCCAGCTACAACTCGGGTCAACTGGCTCAAGACTCTCTAACTCAGAAGGCAGTGCAGAGTAGCCACCCCCTTAAATCAAACCATTTTTAAAATTTTTCTTCCTTGAGACAGGGTCTCTGTCACCCAAGCTGGAGTGCAGTGGCACAATCTCTGCTCACTGCAACCTCCACCTCCTGGGTTCAAGCGATTCTTTCACCTCAGTCTCCCCAGTAGCTTAGACTACAGGCATGTGCCACCATGTCCAGCTACTTTTTGTATTTAAACCAAACCACGTTCTAAAAGAAAAAGAAACTCTACTAACTTGAACCCCAAATACACTCAAATACTCGTAAACTTAACCATACGTTGTAGAATTGTCAAAGAAACACTGAGTGAACCTATCTAAATCAGAATTTGACATTATTTCCTGAAGTCCTAAAATACAATTAAGCAAAACACAGAAACATTCAAACCTGAACTGATCCTCACTCTCGTGGTTACCTCTCCTAAATCCTTATTTCCTTGTCTAGTTATGCCTAGGGAGCAATCTCTGCTGGATTCACTTCGGGAAGATACAGCAGAAGACAAGGGCAGGACCACGTGCTTTTCTCTTTCTCTTGCTTCGTGCAAAGGAAAACTCTGATGGCAGAAGGTTTCAGAAACAGAAGCCCAGAGCACAAAGTGAGTTTTCATTTCGGGAAGATGGGTGTGCCAAAGGCCTGGGGCATCTGAAGTCAGTGGTATTTATCTCTGTGCAATTCTAAACTTTAACACAATAAATGAAGTATATGAAAATGACTGTACGAATTAAACACTGGTACAAATTTCTTCACTTCAGGTTCACTGTATAATTAGGTCATAAATAGAGGCACAATTTTTGTTTTTTTTACTGGAGCTACCACAAATGCACTGAAATGTATCAAATGTGGAGAAAATCATTCTAAGTTACTGAAGTTTAAAAAAGGTTGTTTGTTTTGAAAACAGATGAAATGATAATAGTATACCAAGATCTTGATGTAGTTCACTTTCTTCAAACTTTCCTGCAACCGTTGACTCTGCAAATGACAAAAAATAGTAATTTCCTTAGATGGACACAGCACACGAAGCAGCAGTTTTTACAAATGCGGATCTCAGACAAAAAAGTCAAATGCGACTTGCTGGTTTCTAAGTTCAGTCACCCGTTTTTGTATTTCAATATCTGTAAATATTCCCCAATTTTTCATTTAAAAGTTACATGTAGTAATTCAAGAAAAGTAGCTTCTAGTAAGACACAGGAATCTGTTGTATTTGCAATGTAAGTCTGTCTTCCATTCAAAAGTATAATGAGTATAAACATGTGCAAGGCACAGTACTGAACACTGGGGGAGACCAATGAAAAATGAGAGGCCACAGCACGCTCAAGAGCTGGCAATAAGATCACAGGCTGCCACTTACCACCTGCGGGACCACAGGTAAGTCACTCCATCTGCCAGTCACCAGCTATTTAACCTGTCTGCTTCAGTTCCCTCAATTATAAAATGGGGAGAATGGTATCTACCTCATGTGGCTGTAGGGATGAAATGAGCTGATATACAATAATATACAATACAGTAAGTGCTTAGAAACAGGGTCTAGAATGTAGTATCACTAGACTAATGTTTCAATCCCAGTCCCTCATCACTAATCGTATCTAACTTATGGGATTGGAGTACATTAATTCAGCAGATATTGACTACTGGACAGTAGAAAGTCACTCAAAAAAAATTCCTTTTTTCTCTTTTTCCTTTTTTCTTTTTCTTGAAAAAAACTAATTCTGGCCAGGCGCTGTGGCTCATGTCTGTAATCCCAGCACTTTGGGAGGCCAAGGTGGGTGGATCACAAGGTCAGGAGTTCAAGATCAACCCGATCAACAAAAATACCCCGTCTCTACCAAAAATACAAAAATTAGCTGGGTGTGGTGGCACGTGCCTGTAGTCCCAGCTACTCAGGAGGCTGAGACAGGAGAATCACTTTAACCTGGGAGGCGGAGGTTGCAGTGAGCCAAGATTGTGCCACTGTACTCCAGCCTGGGCAACAGAGCAAGACTCCGTCTCAAAAAAAAGAAAGAAAAGAAAAAAGAAAACTAATTCTAAATATACTGTCATCAGTGGACATTACCTTCTAGTGAATTTGCAGGGATCAAATGAGATGCTGCATGAAAGTACTTCATGGTGCCTGACACTGAGGAAAATGTTCAATAACTACTACAGAAGAGAAAGGAGGAGAGAGAGGGAGAAGAACAGGAAGGAGGAGGATGAGGAGAGAATGCTGATTTCTGCTCTCAGAGAATGTATGCCCTACTGTGGACTATAAGGCATAGCTATATACAGATCACCATGTCTGGTAAATGTCCATGCACTTTAACATGCATTTAGCCTGTGAGTCAACAGCAGGGCAGATTTCGAATCCTCGTGAGTATACAGTTCTGCCTAAAGGAAGATGCCAGAGCTGTGGTGACCTCAAGTGTTCGGTAATTAATGGCATTATTATTCTCCTGCACTCCACAGCCAAGGGGAATTGAAAAAATCTCCCCTGAGCGCCTAAACCATCTCTAAACTAAAGTACTATGGCAATAAAGGCTTCTCTTTCCTAATAGCCACATCTCAAGACCTGAGCTAATAGCACAGTGAGACAGTTTTCAAAAAATGCAGTGCTTTTGTGAACATGAGCATCAGTCTTTCTTTCTTTTGAGACAAGGTCTTACTCTGTCGTCCAGGTTGGAATGGAATAGTGCAGTAGTGCTATTTGGGCTCACTGCAACCTTGACCTCCTGGGCTCAAGTGATCTTCCCACCTCAGCCTCCTCAGTAGCTGGGATCACAGGTGTGCGCCACTATGCCTGGCTAATTTTTGTATTTTTTTGTAGAGACAGGGTTTTGCCACATTGCCCAGGCTGGTCTTGAACTCCCGTGCTTACGCGATCCACCTGCCTTGCCCTTCCAAAATGCTGGGATTACAGGCACCAGCCATCCTGCCTGGACCGGTGCATAAATCTTAAAACTGTTAAACTATCCTAACTTATCATGAACCAAGGGACTACAGCTAGAATAGTATGAAATTACTTATTCTTGTGGGTTTTCTTTTTGAGACAGAGTCTCACTCTGTAGCCCAGGCTAGAGTGCAGTGGCGTGATCTTGGCCCACTGCAACCTCTGCCCCCTGGGTTTGAGCAATTCTCCCTATCTCAGCCTCCTGAGTAGCTGGGACTACAGGTGCCCACCACCATGCCGAGCTAATTTAACAGAGACAGAGGTCTCACCATGTCAGCCAGGCTGGTCTCGAACTCCTGACTCAGGTGATCTGACCTCGGCCTCCCAAAGTGCTGGAATTATAGGCGTGAGCCACTGTACCTGGCCTATTCTTCTTAAATAAAGAAATAATACTTGAAGAAGTGCCAACTCACCAAGAATATATTTAAAACAAAGATTTCAACCCTTATGCATAACTTACTATATGAACACAAGCTACTGCAAAAGCTCCCCCTGTATTTGCTCTTTGAGCCCTCCTAGCAATCCTGTGTCACATGATTTCTACTTCACAGGTAAGAAAATGGAGGTGACACACTTCTGAGCTTAGGCAAGGCTCAGCTCTAACCCTGAGTACACATGACCTTGTTCTTTTGTTTTCTAAATGCTATAGTCTGAATGTTTATGTCCCCACAAAATTCCTGTGTTGAAACCTAATCCCATTCCCAAATGAGTTGTGGCCACTGGGAGGTAATTAGGGCATGAGGATGGAGCCCTCATGAATAGGATTAGAGACCTTCTAAAAGAGGCTCAAGAGAGTACATTCATCCCCTCTGCCACATAAGGCCACATGGAAGGTGCTGTCTATGAGGAACAAGCCCTCACCAGATACGGAATCTCCTGGCACCTTCATCTGAGACTTCTTGCCTCCAGAACTGTAAGCAATAAATTTCTGTTGTTTATAAATTACCCAGTCTAAAGTATTTTGTTATGGAAGCCCGAATGGTCTAAGACACTGAACTATAGCATAATTATGGATTTTTCACAGTTAGAACACACCTAAAATGGAGAGAGAATTAGAATTGTTCCCAAGAGCCCTGCAATTTGGGAACCCGAGCTAGCTGGTTTTCAAAAAATCCATGCCTTCCATAACTACCCTCTAACCTTCCTATTCCCTCACACAGAGACTCGGTCCATCAAGGGGAACGTTCATTCCCCACCCCCCACCTTTCGCACCCTTCTCCACTCCCTGGAAATCATCCGAGGCTTCTCTTCTGATCCCATGCTGACAATGCCGTTCCTTTTCATCTTAGTTCATCTGCACACAAATGCTGGGACAACCCAGCAGTTTCTCCCAGAACTTTGAAAAAAAAAAAAAAAGATACACATGCACGGTGATTAGTCACTGCCTCACCAGACAGTGAGGCTCTGGATGGAAGGTACAGAATGAGATGTTTTTCTGTCTCTGCTTTGGCCAAGGAGTCTTTCTAACTCTTTTAAAAGTCAGGCTTCTAACTCACCAGTTGACAGGCATGCTTGATCCTCTCCACAATCCCATCAAGTCCCAAGTATTGTAAAGACAACCACAGAGGCAGGGCACGGAGTTTGTCTGCGGGCTTATTTGATGTAAGACCAGCAACTAAAGTCTAAAAAAGCCAAAAGAGGTTAAAGCCATTGCAATCTCAAAATAGAACCAGACAGCTCCACTTGCTACAAACTTAGTATGAGCTAGATCCCATACTAGTGACTTGGCTTGCATTACCCATTCGATCTTCCAGTAACTCTGAGTTAAGTATTCTATGTAACTTCACTCAGAGACCTTGGTTTGTCCAAGGATTCACAGCTCGGGAGTGGCAAAGCCAGGGTAAAACTCCGGATGGGTCACATCCCAGAACCTAGCCATTCAAGAGACTCCCCACTTCGATGGTACCTCTGCACATCCTCAAATAGCTGGCCATTATTGGCTGAGCAACATGGCAGAAATCACTTAAACCTGATTTTCACACTGACCTATTATCAAGAACCATGCTATGAGTTTGTTTGTTTGTTTTGTGACAGGGTTTCATTTCCGTTTGGTCACCCAGGCTGGAGTGCAGTGGTGCAATCACAGCTCACTATAGCCTTGCTCTCCAGGGCTCAGTCAGTCCTCCCACTTTAGCCTCCTGAGTAGCTGGGACTACAGGCTCACACCACCATGCCTGGCTAATTCTATTGTATTTTTTTGTAGAGATGGGGTTTCACCATGTTGCCCAGGCTGGTCTCAATCTCTTGGGCTCAAGTGATCTGCCAGCCTCATCCCTGCAAAGTGCTGGGATTACAGGCAAGGGCCACCACATACAGCCCACAACTATGATTAAAAAAAAAAAAAAAACAAAACGTGGCCAGGCGCAGTGGCTCAGGATGGAAGGTACAGAATGAGATGTTTTTCTGTCTCTGCTTTGGCCACTCCCTGGAAATCATCCGAGGAAATCCCAACACTTTGGGAGGACAAGGTGGGCAGATCAGGAGGTCGGGAGTTTGAGACCAACCAAACCAACATGGTGAAACCTTGGCTCTACTAAAAATACAAGATTAGCCAGGTGTGGTGGCACATGCCTGTAATCCCAGTTGCTTGGGAGGCTGAGGCAGAAGAATTGCTTGAACCCAGAAGGCAGAGGTTGCAGTGAACCAAGATCATCTCACCACTGCACTGCAGCTTGACCGACAGAGTGAGACTCCATATCCAAAAAAAACCTATTGGACAATGTGGATCAGGAGGCTTAAAATTCCCCCACTCAGTAATTCCATATCTGGGAACCTATTCTAAGGAAATACTCAGAAACACAGAAAGATGTTCACTGCCTCATTATTTCAATAACAAAAGTCTGAAAACATCCTAAAATTTCATAAATGGAAAATAAATTGTGACAGAATATTATACAATCATAAAATGTCACTAAAAAGTTTCACACTACAAATTTCTTTTTTAAAAATGAAACAGAAGTGAAACTAAGAATATTTTTCACTTTTTCCTGCATTTTTCTGTATTTGGCCCCCACAGCCAATTATATGTACTTAGCCACGTGTGCTCCCTCCCCAGTGAGGGGAAGCGTACCAAGGCGGGGTCATCGTGTTTATACAGTGTCACCGCAGGAACAGCTGGCAAACCCAGCCACGGACCTGGAGTCATCGTCATGCTATCACATTTGGTTGCAGCCTACCAAAACAAGAATAACTCTTCGTTAGATTATCAGAACACATAAACCCAACACCCTCCTCCATTCATAAAAACTGTGAAGAGCCACCATGGATTGAGTGATTTTAAATTCCTTCTTACAAACACCAGTATTCAGTAATCAACAACATACCAGCACGGACGAGGAGACATAACCTAGAGCCAGTGTTGCCAGATTCACGCTGGAAGAAAAACACAAGTCTAAGAACTAATTATTTACTGTTGCTTATTCACTATGTACTTAAAAAAATAAAGGCTGTGCTGTTGCAAGGTGACATTTAAGTATATTTTAAATGTGTTATTAGCTTTTATAACAGCAACAGAAGATGTGGTTTATACAAATTCAAGAAAATCTTGAAAATGCACTTTAATGAAAATGTGTTTCAGGAATTACCCCTGCTCATTTAGTATAAGGGGACTATTATTCTCTTTCACAGATCCTATTTTCCAGTCATCATTCTTTATTTAGGGATAAAAAACAAACCTCCCTGTGTGATGTGGTGGATATGGCCTACTCTGGCTGCCTCACTTCCGTTCCCCCTGCTTCTCTTAATGGCCCTCCAACAGCTTTCTGCGGCACCACCCCCATTTCCTCTAGCGGAACATGAGCTTTGTGGGGAGGAGACAGCGCTACCTGCTCCAGAGGAGGGCAAAGAACCTGAACTATCAGAGGATTCTTTCTCCCTGGCCACAGTGGCCAGTTCAGCATGAGCCTTCAGTTGGGACTTCCAGCTGATCATGAAGCTAGAAAGAAGACTGGAGTTTCTGCACCTATTTTGCACTGTAACAGGAAGGTCTGTCCACAGACAGAGGAAACAGTGCCTGTGACTGGGGGAGCAGAGGTGGGAGGAAGACACTGAATCCTGGCTGACATCATGCCTGAGGCCAGCCCTAACACTGGTCTTCGTAGTCATGTGAGCCAATAAAATCTCTTTGTGCTTAAGCCAATTTGGGTTATTTTGTAATCTGTGGCCCAAAGAGCCCTTTGTGACAAACATCACCACAAAGTGAGAGCCTCGCTGTCCAGTCCTCACGAGGACTCTGCAGGCCCGCCTGGAGCCACCACCCTCACCGCCGGCTTACCCCTCCACGTGAAGCCATATGCCATACTGCTCACAGAGTTCCTTCAATCGCCCGATCTTGTCTGTGTGTCCTACTGCTGCAGTTCCTAGGATAAAACAAATAAAAGGAACGAACATTTTCTAAGGTTTTATACCTTAAGCACTTTTATACATATTACCTACCTAGGAGGGAAGTGACTTATTATATCCCTATTTTACTGAGCTTTTCTTTGTGGAAGGACTTAAAATAAATGTTTGCAAGCTGATTTATTACAAGTTTTGAAGAGCATGTAAACTCTATTACATGTATCTAATTGTGTTATTGTAATCTTTTATATACTTTTCTATCTACTTGATCTGCTGACCCATGAGAAATATATTCTAATCTTCCACCAAGACTGTGAGTTTGTCAATCTATACTTGTATTCCACCAGACTTTGCCTTTAGCTTTCCTTTATATATTTCAAAGTTATGTTCACCAGCATTCTTAACTGTTATTTCTTTTAGGAGATTACATCTTTCATCAATATGAAGTCTATTTTATCCCACACTAATATTGCTATGGTACTTTCATTTTGTCAGCATTTGTTCAAGATAAACTTTTCTACCATTCTATTTTATTGTCACTTCCTGGATTATTTTGATTTAGATATGCCCTTTATAAAAACATACAGGTAAATTTGTTTTACTTCACCCAGGATTTCTGTAATACAGAACATGCAATCGTCTGAAGCCAGCTGACGCATATTAAGCCCTTTAAGCCACTCCCTTGGTAATTGACTGCACTGAAGATTTTGCTGGGGAGATCCCTTTACAGAGAAAGCTTAGGTGAAACGTGGAGTCATACATTTCCCCAACCGTCCTCAATTTTCAGTTAGCAGCAAGCCAACTAATAAAGATTTCAAACCCTCACCAACAACCTCAACAAACACAGGTAAACAAAGTGGTTCTTTTGTAAGGTCTATAACAGGAAAAGGGCTAAAACCTTTTCCCCCTCACACCTAAATCTACCTCAAATTAAAAAAAAAAAACCTTAACAGACGCATTTGGTTTAGGTGAAACAAGATCGAACGCCAATGCATGGGTTGTGCCCAAAGGCCCTTCCAGCAAAATAAAAGCGTGTACTGCTGTGCGTTACTGCCTCGACTGCATTCAGAGTCTCTTTTCATATTTCTGGGCAATGTCTGCTGACTAACCCTTGAGATGTGTCTTCTGGCACCTGCAGCATAATCATACTGGCAAGTCACTCGGTCACATGCCAACTGCAGCCCTCCAGTTTATCATGTTGACTGAATATGAGTGAATTTGTGTTTTTAAACAGTAGTAAGTCAGGCAGGAAGTGATGGTTTCCTGCTGGCAATAAACTGAATATCTACGTGGCTTTTTTTTTTTTTTGGAGACAGTCTCGCTCTATCGCCCAGGCTGGAATGCAGTGGCATGATTTCTGCTCACTACAATCTCCACCTCCTGGGTTCAACCTATTTTCCTGCCTCAGCCTCCTAAGTAGCTGGTATTATAGGCACCTGCCACCACACTGGCTAAATAAATACACACACACACACACACACACACACACACACACGCATTTTTTGTTTGTTTTTTTTTTTTGAGATGGAGTCTCGCTCTGTCGCCAGGCTGGGGTGCAGTGGCACAATCTCAGCTCACTGCAACCTCTGCCTCCTGGGTTTGAGCAATTCTCCTGCCTCAGCCTCCCCAGTAGCTGGGATTACAGGCGCAGGCCACCATGCCCAGCTAATTGTTGTATTTTTTAGTAGAGACAAAGTTTCACCATGTTGGTCAGATGGTCTCGATCTCTTGACCTTGTGATCCGCCCATCTCAGTCTCCCAAAGTGCTGGGATTACAGGTGTGAGCCACCATGCCTGGACTAATTTTTAAATTTTTAGCAGAGACAGGATTTCACCATTTTGAACGGGCTTGTCTCGAACTCCTGACCTCAAGTGATCCTTCCGCCTTGGCCTCTCAAAGTGCTGGGATTACAGGCATGAGCAACCAGGGCCAGACTAAATAAGCAGTTTTACTGTAGTGATTTACATGCAATAAAACTCACTTAAGTGTACAGTCCAATGAGTTTTGACAAATATATCAAGCATGTAACCACCAACATAATCAAGATTCAGAATACTGCCATCACCTCTCAAATACTTCCATCAACCCCCAAATCCCTCATCCCCACTCCAATTACCCTTTTCCTGACGCCTCACTGGCCCCAGAAAATCCTGATGTGCTTGTCACTGTAGTTTTGCCTTTTCTAGAATTTCTTATCACTGGAATCATATATTACGTAACTTTTTGTCTGGCTTTTTGTTTTTAAAATTCATCGATGCTAATCTGTGTATCAGTAGTTCTATTTACTGCCTGGCTAATGTTTAGTATTTTTTTGTAAGACTTCCTAAGGGTTTTGCCACATTGCCCAGGCCAGTCTCGAACACCTGAAAGCAAGTGATCTTGCCGTCTCAATCTCCCAAAGTATTGGGATGACAGGAATGAGTCACCTTTAATTTCTCCATTCTAACAGGCATGTAGTAGTACCTCACTTCGATCTTGATTTGCATTTCTCTAATGGCTAGCAATGTTAAGCATCTTTTCAAGTGCTTACACATTTTCATCTTCTTTAGTGAAGTATCTGCTCAAATCTTCTGTTCATTTAAAAAACCGTAAAGTGTGCCAGGCACAGTGGCTTGTGCCTGTAATCCTGGCATTTTGGGAGGATGAGGTGGATGGATACCTGAGATCATGAGTTCAAGACCAGCCTGGCCAACATGGTGAAACCTCATCTCTACTAAAAATACAAAAAAACTAGCTAGGTGTGGTGGTGCATGCCTGTAATCCCAGTTACTTGGGAGGCTAATGCAGGAGAATCGCTTGAACTTGGGAGGCAGAAGTTGCAGTGAGCCGAAACTGGGCTACTGCACTCCAGTCTGGGCAACAGAATGAGACTCAATCTCAAAAAAAAAAAAAATTTGTATTGCTAGTCTCCTTATTGAGTTATTAACAGTTCTTTATGTATTTTAGATACAAGTTGTCAAAAAATGTTTTGTAGCTTCTCAGGGAAAGACTGAAAATGAAATTTAAAACAGGCCTGGCACAGTGGCTGGCTGGGTGTGGTGGTGTGGTAGCTCACCCCTGTAATCCCATCACTTTGGGAGGTCAAGGCAGGTGAATCAGCTGAGGTCAGAAGTTCGAGACCAGTCTGACCAACATGGTGAAACCCCATCTCTACCAAAAATATAAATATTAGCCAGGCATGGCCTGTAATCCCAGCTACTCAGGAGGGTGAGGCAGGTGAATTGCTTGATTCTGGGAGGTGGAGGCTGCAGTGAGCCAAGGTTACCCAACTGTGCTCCATCCTGGAAGAGCAAGACTCCATCTCAAAAAATAAAAGTAAAAAATAAAAATTTAAAAAGAAAAAAAAAAAAAAAAACAAGAAAAAATGTTTTGCAAATATTTCTCCCAGTCTTTAACTTGCCTTTCATTTTCTTAATAGGGGCTTTCAAACAGCAAATGCTTTTAATTTTTGATAAAGTACAATTTATGGTTCACAGGTTTTGTGTCCTAAGAAATGTAACCTAAGGTCACAAACATCTCCTGTATTTTCTTTGAGACATTTTATTGTCTTAGGTCTATGCTTAGGTTGAGGAACCATTTATACTTAATTTTTATATATACAAAGAATGAGATAAGGGTTAAGATTCAGTTTTTTCCCATATGAATATCAAATTGCTGTAAGACCGCTGATGGAAAAAGACTGTCCTTTCTCCCTTGAATTACCTTGGTATCTGTAAAAAACTGAAGTGACCATAGATGTCATATGAGTCTAATTCCGAATTCTCTATTTTCTTTGATTACTCACAGAGTCTTACTTGTAGCTTTATAAAAAGTCTTGAAGTATGACAGGATAAGTCTTCCAATTTTGTTCTTTTTCAAAATTCTTTGAGCTATTCCTAGATCCCTTGTATTTCTATAAAGCTTTAGAATTAGCTCATCAATTTCTACAATAAATTGTAGCCTGCGGCCGGGCGCAGTGGCTCAAGCCTGTAATCCCAGCACTTTGGGAGGCCAGGCGGGTGGATCACGAGGTCAAGAAATCAAGACCATCCTGGTCAACATGGTGAAACCCCGTCTCTACTAAAAACACAAAAAATTAGCTAGGCATGGTGGCACGTGCCTGTAATCCCAGCTACTCAGGAGGCTGAGGCAGGAGAATTGCCTGAACCCAGGAGGCGGAGGTTGCGGCGAGCCGCGATTGCACCATTGCACTCCAGCCTGGGTAACAAGAGTGAAACTCCGTCTCAAAAAAAAAAAAAAAGAAAATCTAATGGGCCAACTTTACTATTATAGTTTTTACTGCAATGTAGATACAGACTATCTTAAACATGTGGCACACAAACATACCTTAAGACTTTTTGTTTTCTGGTTAAGAAGTCTTGTTCTATTGCCAAGCTGAAATACAGTGGCACAATCTCAGCTCAATGCAACCTCCACCACCCAGGTTCAAGGGATTCCCCTCCCTCAGCCTCCCAAGTAGCTGGGATTACAGGTGAACGACACCATGCCTGGCTAATTTTTTTGTTTGTTTTAGAAGAGACAGGGTTTCACCATGTTGGCCAAGATGGTCTTGATCTCCTGACCTCGTGATCTTCCTGCTTCAACCTCCCAAAGTGCTGGGATTACAGGTGTGAGCCACCCCCGCCCGGCTAAGACTTTATCTTTTATTGGCTAAGGACATAGCCTCACTCCTATATATTCAAAATGGTAGATTCAGCATCATGCTACCTACCCGCATTTGCAACAAGCAACAGGGGCAGTCTTCCTCGTTCTACATCATCTTTAATCAGTTTCTCCAGGAAGGCAACATCCTGGAACCAAAACGAACCATTAAAAAATGAGGTGCCCAGTATAAAAGCTATAAAATGAAAAACTATGACTTACAAAAGAAGCAGATAACTCTCAAAAGTAATCAGTCAAATCAATTCTTACTCTTGACAATTTTTCTGTTTTCTGTCATCATAGATGTGAAAATCAATTTTCCTTGAAGACTAGAAAAATCAGTTAAACAAGATTAAACGTAAAAACCGTACAGATGCAGGAACATTTCTTTGTTTTTTTGTTTTTTGAGATGGAGTTTCACTTGTTACCCAGACTGGAGTGCAATGGCACGATCTCAGCTCACCACAACCTCCGCCTTCTGGGTTCAGGCAATTCTCCTGCCTCAGCCTCCCAAATAGCTGGGACTACAGACACGCACCACCATGCCCAGCTAATTTTTGTATTTTTAGTAGAGACGGGGTTTCACCTTGTTGACCAGGATGGTTTTGATCTCTGGACCTCGTGATCCACCCGCCTCGGCCTCCCAAAGTGCTGGGATTATAGGCGTGAGCCACCGCGCCCGGCCCATATCTTTGGTTTTAAACAGTGACATTTAAATGAAATGTTCTCTCAACTCCCCTAAAACAGCCAAGAATATATCTCTACTATTACTCACTGATGCACCTCAACTAGAAAATATAACGACCTTGACAAAAGAAATATAAAACTCTAAAATCCATCTCTTCCTTTTCCTTCTACAATTACTACAGAGAGATTTATCATCTACATGTCAAATATAAGCAGAAGTCAATCTCATGATTACAATGAAGAACCTCATTTTCAAAATCTGCCCATTCATAAATCCAGGCAACAGTGCTAACTCATTAAAAGTACGAGGTTTAGAAGAAACTTCTGGTGCTTAATTGAGTTGCCATGTTTCTACTTAAAGCAGGTGATACAGTAATTACAAGACTCCTTAAAAGCCAGGTGCTCCTGACCTATATACCAGCCAACCTTCATGGACATTCACGTATTAATAGCAGCATATATTACACACTGGAAAGACCCCAGCAATAAATGAATAAGCTACTAATTATCTGGAGGCCAGCAAACAGAACTTCATTTGAAAAAAAGGTAGTTTCAAAACACAATCCCACATTATTTTACAAACCAAAAGCAGAACTCACCATCTGATGCTGGGATCCAAACATAGTGTTACAGGGTACACGGCACAGGCAGGGGAAGGGCAAGCCGAGCTGCAAGAAGAAACACGCGACCTGACAAGAAAGTTCTCTGCACCATTCACTTCGGATTGCAAAAAGCTGTGGCTCTAAGACAGCCATGATTATTCTTCTCAAAAATCTCTCTCCTTAGGAACTCTTAATATTATAAATAGATCTTAAAATACATTTAGAAAGCCAAGCCAAAAAAGAAAGGGTGAATTTCCAAGTGCCTCATAAGAGGATATAACGTAAAATTTTCTAAATGAGACAAGTAACTATCTTTGGTATATTCTAGAATATAACAGAAACACTTTTGCAAACAGAGAAACAACTGAGTTGTATTTCAGCGGGGGTAGTTTTGGATTCTTTCTCCACGCATTACTGGTAAATAACACCAGCTAAAGGCATTCAAAGAACAGTATCTTATTTGTGGGTCCACCCACCCCTAAAAAGTAATAAATATGCATTAGCAGATGTACATTTCTCAAGAGAAGTGAAGTCAGTGTTATGCACGGAGACAATGACAGTCAACTTAATTTCATATTCTTCATTTTTAGCTTCCAAGTCCTTGAGGAGTTTCTAGATTTAGAAATGGTAAACAGTTGCAGCATATTGTGCAGTGTGACTAAGACTTGGTATCATTCAAAGACCAAAAATTTAACAAGCACATTTTGCTCCTTAAAGAATTTTTAAAAAATTATGAACGTGACATCCAAGTAAAACAAATTATAAAAAAAATACAGGTATTAAAAGTGAAAATGCCTAGCCTCCTACCCTATAAGCCACCAATCCACCCCTGTTAACAGTTTAATACACAACCTTTCTGGTATTTTCTAGGTATAAATGTATATATTTTTCTAGGTACAAAAACAGGTATAAAGGGTATACACACTTTAAGAAACATGAACATAACCATCTTACATATGCTGCTCTGCCGGCTGCCTTTCTCAACACAACACTCTCACACATCTTTTGAAGGTTAGACTGTTCTCCCCAAACAGCCTTGGGTCCACGAGAGCCTGGCTTGCAGTAGACACTAAGTGATTTATTTCATGTTTCATAGGATTATTATTAAACTCCCCATTTTGTACACTCTCAAGAAGACATGATTTCTTGCCACCAGTGATCACAGCTCGGAATCAATTTAAAAGTCACCAAGTGTCTCCCATACATCCCACTGGGACTCCTACAGCTTACAAAAGAGGAACCCTCCAACCCTATGGGTTTTGCTTTCGAATGTTCTAGGTAAAGAGGGTTAACAATGTCTTATCTCAATGTAGTCCCCGCACTTGGTCTAGAAGCACCATGAACTTTAAAAATGGTCATGCTCTTTGATCCAGCAATTCTAGATTGACTCTGAAAATCCATCTGAGGACCATAACTCTAAATAAAATATGGAAGAGGAAGATCCAAGATGGTTCTTTAGGAGCAGCTCAGGATTGCAGCTCCCAGTGAAAGTGCAGAGGGTGAGTGAACACCACATTTCCAGATGGATCTTTATTGCCCAGAGACCAGGAGATTCCCAGGCGGAGGGTCGCCAGCACAGCTGTTTTGGCCAGTGCAGCTGTTTCAGCCAGCGTGGCTGTTTTGCTGGTGCCCTGGCACGGCGGTTCTCTGTACAAAATACACTGGTCTGGTTGCCCTTTTAAGCTGGCAATTGGAGCTCCAAGAAGGCAGATTCACCCATTCATCTGATTAAACAGGGGTCTGAAACAGGGAGCCAGGCCAGGAGATTCCCGAGCAGCGCAGTTGTTTCAGCCGGCACAGTGGGTTGCCGCACGGGAAATCACACAGATCCCAGCGCCCTTTCAGCAAGCGACTGGAACACTTGGGAGAGAGTCAACCGTTCAACTTAAAAAAAAAAAGGCTCTGAGGCAGGGAGCCAGGTGATCAGGCTCGGCAGGTCTCACCCCCACAAAAACAAACAAAAAAAACGAGCAATTGGAAACGCTCGGTGTTGAGAGTTTCACAGCAAGCACAACTGAACCGGGAACCACCCAGCTCAGTGGGGGAGGGACGTCCACCATTACCGAGGCACTCCACCCCTACGGAGGTAGTCTGCCATTGCTGAGGCAGCCTGCTGTTGCCGAGGCAACCCACCATAACAGAGAGTCCAACATTACAGAGGCGGAGCCACCATTTGCCGAGGCAGTTCTAACCACACTCATATAAACAGGACTACTGGGAAGTTCACACGGCAGCAGGGCGGACTTAAAGAAAAGAAATTTCATCCTTAAAGAAAAGAAATTTCAACCCAGAATTTCATATCCAGCCAAACTAAGCTTCATAAGTGAAGGAAAAATAAAATCCTTTGCAAACAAGCAAGTACTCAGATATTTTGTCACCACCAGGCCTGCCTTACAAGAGCTCCTGAAAGAGGCACTACACATAGAGGAACAAGTACCAGCCACTCCAAAAACATACCAAATGATAAAGAGCATCAACAAAATGAAGAATCTGCATCAACTAACAGGCAAAACAGCCAGCTAGCATCAAAATGGCAGTATCAAATTCACACATAACAATATTAACCCTAAATGTAAATGGGCTAAACGCACCAATCAAAAGACACAGACTGGCAAATTGGATAAAAAACCAAAACCCATCAGTGTGCTGTATCCAGGAAACCCATCTCACATGCAAGGATACACAAAGGCTCAAAATAAAGGGATGGAGGAAGATTTACCAAGCAAATGGAGAGCAAAAAAAAGCAGGAGTTGCAATTCTCATCTCTGATAAAATAGACTTTAAAGCAACAAAGATCAAAAGAGACACGAAGGGCATTACATAATGGTAAAAGGATTGATACAGCAAGAAGAGCTAATGATCCTAAATATATACAGACCCAATACAGGAGCACCCAGATACATAAGGCAAGTTCTTAATGACTTACAAAGAGACTTAGACTCCCACACAATAATAGTGGGAGACTAACACTCCACTGTCAATATTAGATAGATCAACCAGACAGAAAATCAACAAGGATATCCAGGACTTGAACTCAGAACTGGAACAAGCAAACCTGACAGACATTTACAGAACTCTCCACCCCAAATCCACAGAATATACATTCTTCTCAGCACCACATCACACCTACTCTAAAACTGACCACATAATTGGAAGTAAATCAAAATCAGCAAATGCAAAAGAACAGAAATCATAACAGTCTCTCAGACCACAGTGCAATCAAGTTAGAAATCAGAATTTAGAAACTGACTCAGAACCGCACAGCTTCATGGAAACTGAACAACTGGCTCTTGAATGTTGACTGGATAGACAATGAAATGAAGGCAGAAATTAAGTTCTTCGAAACCAATGAGAACAAAGACACAACATACCAGAATCTCTGGGACACATTTAAAGCAGTCTCTAGAGGAAAATATATAGCAATAAGTGCCCACATGCGAAGAAAGGAGAGATCCAAAATTGACACCCTGTCATCAAAATTGAAAGAGCTAGAGGAGCAAGATCAAAAAAACTCAAAACCTAGCAGAAGACAACAAATAACTAAGATCAGAGCAGAACTGAAGGAGATAGAGACATGAAAAACCCTTCAAAAAAATCAATAAATCCAGGAGCTGGTTTTTCAAAAAGATCAAAAAAATAGACCACTAGCCAGATTAATAAAAAAGAAAAGAGAGAATAACCAAATCGATGCAATAAAAAATGATAAATCACCACAGATCCCACAGAAACTCAAACCATCATCAGAGAATATTACAAACAACTCTATGCACATAAACTAGTAAACCTGGAATAAATGGATAAGTTCCTGGACACCTGTGTCCTCCCAAGCCTAAACCAGGAAGAAGTCGAAACCATGAATAGACCAATAACAAGATCTGAAGTTGAGGCAGCAATTAAGAGCCTACCACACAAAAAAAGCCCAGGTCCAGATGGGTTCACAGCCGAATTCTACCAGACACACAAAGAGGAACTGTTACCATTCCTTCTGAAACTATTCCAAATAATCCAAAAAGAGGGAATCCTTCCCAAATCATTTTATGAGACCAACATCATCCTGATACCAAAACCCGGCAGAGACTCAACAAGAAAAGAAAACTTCAGGCCAATATCCATGATGAACATAGATGCAAAAATCTTCAATAAAATACTGGCTAGCCGATTGCAACAGCACATCAAAAAGCTTATCCATCATGATCAAGTAGGATTCATCCTGGGGATGCAAGGCTGGTTCAACATATACAAGTCTATAAACGTAATTCACCACATAAACAGAACCAAAAACAAAAACCACATGATTATCTCAATTGATGCAGAGAAGGCCTTTGACAAAATTCAACAGCCCTTTATGCTAAAAACCCTCAATAAGCTCGGTATTGATGGAACGTATCTCAAAATAATAAAAGCTATTTACAACAAACCAACAGCCAATATCATACTGAATGGGCAAAAACTGGAAGCATTCCCTTTGAAATCCGGCACTAGACAAGGATGCCCTGTCTCACCACTCCTATTCAATATAGTACTGGAAGTTCTAGCCAGAGCAATCAGGCAAGAAAAAGAAATAAAGGGTATTCAAATAGGGAAGGAGGAAGTCAAATTGTCTCTATTTGCAGATGACATGATAGTATATCTAAAAGACCCCATCATCTCAGCCCAAAATGTCCTGAAACTGATAAGCAACTTCAGCAAAGTCTCAGGATACAAAATCAATGTGCAAAAATCACAAGCATTCCTATACATCAATAACAGACTTAAAGAGAGCCAAATCAAGAACGAACTGCCATTCACAATTGCTACAAAGAGAATAAAATACCTAGGAATACAACTAACAAGGAATATAAATGACCTCTTCAAGGAGAACTACAAACCACTGCTCAACGAAATAAGAGAGGACACAAACAGATGGAGAAACATTCCACGTTCATGGTTAGGAAGAATCAATATCGTGAAAATGGCCATACTGCCCAAAGTAATTTACAGATTCAACGCTATCCCCCCCCATCAAGCTACCAATGACCTTCTTCACAGAACTGGAAAAATCCACCTTAAACTTCATATGGAACCAAAAGAGGGCCCGCATAGCCAAGTCAATTCTAAGTAAAAAGAACACAGCGGGAGGTATCACACTACCAGACTTCAAACTATACTACAAGGCTACAGCAATCAAAACACCATGGTACTGGTACCAAAACAGAGATACAGACCAATGGAACAGAACAGAGGCCTCGGAGGCATCACAACATATCTACAACCATACAATCTTTGATAAACCTGACAAAAACAAGCAGTGGGGAAAGGATTCCCTGTTTAATAAATGGTGTTGGGAAAACTGGCTAGCTATGTGCAGAAGGCAGAAACTGTACCCCTTCCTGACACCTTACACTAAAATTAACTCCAAATGGATTAAAGACTTAAACACAAGACCTAACACCATAAAAACCATAGAAGAAAATCTAGGCAAAACCATTCAGGACATAGGAGTAGGCAAGGACTTCATGACCAAAACACCAAAAGCATTGGCAACAAAAGCCAAAATAGACAAATGGGATCCAATCAAACTCCACGGCTTTTGCACGGCAAAAGAAACAGTCATTAGATTGAATCGGCAGCCAACAGAATGGGAAAAAATTTTTGCAGTTTACCCATCTGACAAAGGGCTGATACCCAGAATTTACAAAGAACTAAAACAGATTTACAGGAAAAAAACAAGCCCATTCAAAAATGGGCAAAGGATATGAACAGATACTTTACAAAAGAAGACATACATGAGGCCAACAACCATATGAAAAAAATGCCCATCATCACTGGTCATTAGATAAATGCAAATCAAAACTGCATTGAGATACCATCTCACGCCAGTTAGAATGGCGATCATTAAAAAGTCTGGAGACAACAGATGCTGGAGAGGATGTGGAGAAATAGGAACACTTTTACACTGCTGGTGGGAGTGTAAATTAGTTCAACCATTGTGGAAGACAGTGTGGCTATTCCTCAAGGATCTAGAAATAGAAATTCCATTTGATCCAGCAATCCATTACTGGGTATATATCCAAAGGACTATAAATTGTTCTACTATAAGGACACATGTACACGAATGTTCACTGCAGCACTGTTTATGATAGCAAAGACCTGGAATCAACCCAAATGCCCATTGATAATAGACTGGATTGGGAAAATGTGGCACATATACACCATGGAATATTATGCAGCCCTCAAAAATGATGAGTTCGTGTCCTTTGCAGGGACATGGATGAACCTGGAGAACATCATTCTCAGCAAACTGACACAAGAACAGAAAATGAAATACTGCATGTTCTCACTCATAGGCAGGTGTTGAACAATGAGAACACATGGACACAGGGAGGGGAGCACTACATACTGGGATCTGTTGGGGGGAATAGGGGAGGGATAGCAGGGGGAGAAATGCCAGATATAGGTGAAGGGGAGGAAGGCAGCAAATCACACTGCCACATGTGTACCTATGCAACTATCTTGCATGTTCTTCACATGTACCCCCAAACCTAAAATGCAATAAAACTAAAATATGGAAAGAGCTTTATGCACAGAGAAGTCCGTAACAGCACTACACAAAGAGCTATTTTGTGACCTGAAAATGGTCACAAAAAGCAAAAGAATGCAAACACTCTTAATTATCCAAAAGGGAAACAGTTAAATTACTATATATTCACTTGAAGAAATACCATGAAAGCGTTAAAAATAAACGATACTCTGAATAATTATTAAAATATGATATATTCCTGTTTTAGTGTCAGTGAAAAGAGCCAAATACAACCATATAAACACAAACGCTTTGATTAAAGTCTGGGAAAAAAGAAAGAAAATGTTGGCCGTGGTTGCCCTTGGGTAATCTATCACATATTCTTTATTTCTAAATTCAGTAATTTTTAAAAATATGACAAAAGCATGTAAGACCATCTTTCACTCAAAAAGAACAGCAACTAGAGAAACAGGTCAACTTTAAAATTTTCAGGATAAAACAAGACATTATGTCTTTAAAATAGCCACCTTATACCACATTACCTGATTACAAAGGTATTGGCCCAGGCCAGGTCTAGCAGCAGCACTAAGATATATGACAGGCTTTTTGTTATATAACACATTGAACCCATCCACTACGAAGTCTTCATATCGAGAATGAATGGCAAGCCTGCATATCTTTGCAAGTCCTTCTCTTTCCTCTTCGTGGAAATAAGCACAGCCATTTTCATATCTGTTAAGAGAGACACACATATTAATATGTTCTTATTTCTAGTTAAGAATTGTATAAGTCAATCTTAGAATCAAGGAAACAATTCTTTTCTCAAGCTAGGAATTGTCACCTAGATCAGGCAAAGAGGACAGGAATGTGAGACATCCTCATCATAGATGACTGACAACTCATTACACCTGGGGTTACCAAGCAGCGAGACAATAACTCTCCACCCATACCCAATTCCATAAAGAGCAGAAACTAGGAAAACAAGTAGAGACCAGGAGTTCCCACATACAAAAAGCCTGAAGATCATGGTTCTGGGCTTATTACGAACTAAGGCCAGCACTGGGTATGGGTAACACAGGTCCGGTTCGTAGCAGAGTTTCAGCCCTAAAACATCCAAAGTAAATAAAACTGTCAAAAATGCTAGTTAGAGGCCGGGTGTGGTGGCTCAGCACTTTGGGAGGCCAAGGCCAGGGTATCACCTGAGGTCAGGAGTTCGAGACCAGCCTGGCCAACATGGTGAAACCCTGTCTCTTTTTGTAATTTTGCAAAAATATAAAAATTTGTTGGTTGTGATGGTGGGCACTTGTATTCCCAGCTCAGAAAACTGAGGCAGGAGAACCGCTTGAACTTGGGAGTAGAGGCTGCAGTGAGCCAAGATCATGCCAACGTACTCCAGCATGACCAAGACTCTGTCACCAAAAAAAAAAAAAAAAGCTAGTCAGGCTAACTTTTTGCTTTTACTATAATCTGCTGAGGCTTAATCTTCTAGAAGAACGGAGACAATTTCAATCACAAGCGTTAGATTTTCACTAGAACAACAGAACATTGCTCCCTTAATAAAGTTAGGCAAACATACTTCTGCTCAGGGGACAATTTCAATCACAAGCGTTAGATTTTCACTAGAACAACAGAACATTGCTCCCTTAATAAAGTTAGGCAAACATACTCCTGCTCAGCCGAGTTCTTTCCCAACACTGAAAGTGAAGGTCTCTCAAATGATTCAAGTTAGGCAAAGAATCCTTCTCCATAAAGTCACAGCATAAACCCAATACCACTGGTCCTATGTCTCCTACTGAATCCTTAATCTGCTCTAATTCCTTAATATTGCCAGGATTGGGGCTGAGTGTTGGCTACGCGGGGCTACCGGATCCTTCGGAAATGGCAGAGGTAGAGGAGACACTGAAGCGACTTCAGAGCCAGAAGGGAGTGCAGGGAATCATCGTGGTGAACACAGAAGGCATTTCCATTAAGAGCACCATGGACAACCCCACCACCACCCAGTATGCCAGCCTCATGCACAGCTTCATCCTGAAGGCACGGAGCACCATGCGTGAAATCGACCCCCAGAACGATCTCACCTTCCTTCGAATTCGCTCCAAGAAAAATGAGATTATGGTTGCACCAGATAAAGACTATTTCCTGATTGTGATTCAGAATCCAACCGAATAGGCCACTCTCCTGACTCCCTGTGTCATTCCTTAATTTAATGCCCCCCAAGAATGTCAATGTCGATCATGTTAGCAGACTGGCACGTGACAGTCACCTTGGAGCCCACTCAGACCAATCCAGTGACCACGTGTGGGCTGGTGGCTCTTCCTCCCCAACCAAAGGAACCCCTGTGCTGTGCCAACCTTCCCCAGAGCTCCGGGAGGGCCCTCTTGCCTCACTTCCAGGTTTTGGAGCAAGAACTTGTGAGAAGCCCGTACCCAGCTTCCTTCTGACCTTCAGTTCATTTTGTTGCCCTTGGAGAAGGCTGTTTTTCTTTAAAAATAACCAAAATGCTTAAAAAAAAAAAAAATTGCCAGGATTATCACAGAATAAAACAGATTCCAATTTCATAACACATATTCATCTTATGACAGAAATTCCTTTCTAATAAAACACAAGCTAATATTTTCTGTTTTTCTTTTTTCTTTTGAGACTGAGGCTCACCCTGTTGCTGGAGTGCAATGGTGCAATCTTGGCTCACTGCAACCTCCACCTCCTGTGTTCAAGAGATTCTCGCGTCTTACCCTCCCGAGTAGCTGGGATTACAGGCACATGCCACCACGCCCGGCTCATTTTTTGTATGTTTAGTAGAGAAGGATTTCACCATGTTGGCCAGGCTGGTCTGAAATTCCTGACCCTGTGATTCTCCTGCCTTGGCCTCTCAAAGTGCTGGGATTACAGGCGTGAGCCACTGCGCCCAGCCACAAGCTATTGTTTTTGAAGCACAGCTGGCCCTCCGAACCTGTGGGTTCTGCATCTGTGGATTCAACCAATCACAAGTAAAAAAATCTTCAGAAATTTAAAAAGATGGCTGCATCTGTACTGAACATCTACAGATTTTCTTGTCATTATTCCCTAAACAATAAAGTGTAACAACTATTTACACAGCATTTATATTGTATTAGGTATTATATATAACCAGAAAATTTAAAGTATATGGGAAGATGTGCCTAAGTTATATGCAAATACTGTGCCATTTTATATAGGGGATTTGAGCAACAATGATTTTTTTTAACCATGGGGTGAGGGTGGGAGGTCCAGAACCAATCCCCCAAGGACACCCAATTATAAGGGACAAATGTACTTGAATCCAGATCATTGCTCTATCTTCTACTGACATGTACCAATTAGCTCAAAAATAAATAGCTGCTGACACTATCAAACATGTATGTGCTTATTTTCTCCACCTTTAACATGTACTAGTCCATTAGCTCCTTTAATCCTCACAACATTTCTATGAAATAGATATTAGGGTTTCCGCCAAGATGGCCGAATAGGAACAGCTCTGGGGTGCAGTTCCCAGTGAGAGCGACGCAGAAGGTGGATCTGATCTCCACATTTCCCCTGAAGTACCTGGTTCATCTCATTGGGCCTGGTTACACAGTGGGTGCAGCCTAAGGAGGAAGAGCCAAAGTAGGGTGGGGTGTTGCTTCACCCGGGAAGCACAAGGGGCCAGAGAACTCCCTCTCCTAGCCGAGGGAAGCCAGTAGGGACTTTTCCTATCACTCTGGCTCAGATACTGCACTTTTCCCATGGTCTACACAACCCAAAGACCAGGAGATTCCCTCCAGTGCCTACAACACCAGAGCCCCAGGTTTCCAGCACAAAACTGGGCAGCCGGACGGGCGTGGTGGCTCACGCTTGTAATTCAAGCACTTTAGAGGCCAAGGCAGGCAGATCACCTGAGGTCAAGAGTTCAAGACCAGCCTGATCAACATGGTGAAACCCCTTTTTAAAAAAAAACAAAACTGGGCAGCCATTTTAGCCACAGCAGTTTTTTCCCCCCTCATACCCCAGTGGTTCCTGACAGACAGAACTGTTCATTCCCCTGGAAAAAGGGGCTGAAGCCAGGGACCCAAGTGATCTGGCTTGTGGGATCCCACCCCCAGGAAGACCAGCAAGCTAAGATCCACTGGCTTGAAATTCTCTCAGCCAGCACACACAGCAGTCTCAGCTCCACCTGGAATGTTTGAGCTCAGGGCAGGGAGGGGCATCTGCCATTGCTCAGGCTTGGGCAGGTGGTTTTAACCTCGCCTGTGTAAACAAAGTCACTGGGAAGTTTACACAGCAACTGGGCAGAGGTGACAGCAGCTCAGCAAGGCCTCTGCAGGTAGACTTTGTCACTGGACTCCCTTCTTGCTGGGCAGGGCATCTCTGAAAAAAGGCAGCAGCCCATCAGGGACTTAAATATAGAGGCCCCACCTTCCTGGGACAGAGCACCTGGGAAAAGGAGCGGTTATGGGTTCAGCTTCAGCAGACTTAAACCTCCCGGCCCAGCAGCTCTGAAGGGAGCCACAATCTCCTGCCACAGCTCTTGAGCTCTGATAAGGGACACACTGCCTCCTCAAGGGGCTCCCTGACCCCTGTGTATCCAAACTGAGAGATAACTCCCAGTAGAGGTTGACAGACACCTCATACAGGAGAGCTCTGGCTGGCATGTGGTGGGTACCCCTCTGAGATAAAGCTACCAGAGGAAGGAACAGGCAGCATCTTTGATATTCTGCAGCCCTGGCTAGTGATTCCCAGGCAAGCAGGGTCTGGAGTGGATGTCCAGCAAACTCCAGCAGACCTGCAGCAGAAGGGCCTGTTAGAAAGAAAACTAAAAGAAAGAAATGGTTTCAACAACAACAGAAAGGACGTCCACTCAGAGACCCAATCCAAAGTTACCAACTTCAAAGACCAAAGGTAGATAAATCCATAAAGATGGGAAGAAGCCAGCACAAAAAGGCTGATATGTGCAAAAACCAGAATGCCTCTCCTCCTCCAAGGGATCACAACTGCTCACTAGCAAGGGAACAAAACTGGACGGAGAATGAGTTTGACAAATTGACAGAAGCAGGCTTCAGAAGGTAGGTAATAACAAATTTCTCTGAACTAAAGGAGCATGTTCTAACCCAATGCAAGGATGCTAAGAACTGTGAAAAAAGGTTAGATGAAATGCTAACTAGAATAACCAGCGCAGAGACAAACAAACGACTTGATGGAGCTGAATAACACAGCACAAGAACTTCATGAAGCATATGCAAGTTTCAACAGCTGAATTGATCAAGCAGAAGAAAGGATATCAGAGATCGCAGATCACTCAATGAAATAAAGCAAGAAGGCAAGATTAGAGAAAAAATAGTGAAATGAACAAAGCCTCCAAGAAATATGGGATTATGTGAAAAAACCTAATCTATGTTTGATTGGTGCACCTGAAAGTGACTGGGAGAATGAAACCAAGTTGGAAAACACTCTTCAGGGTATTATCCAGGAGAACTTCCCCAACCTAGCAAGGCAGGCCAACATTCAAATTCAGAAAATACAAAAACCACCACAAAGATATTCCTCGAGAAAAGCAACCTCAAGATACATAATCCTCAGATTCACTAGGATTAAAATGAAGGAAAAATTGCTAAGGGCAGCCAGAGAGAAAGGTCGGGTTACCCACAAAGGGAAGCCCATCAGACTCACAGCAGATTTCTCAGCAGAAACCCTACAAGCCAGAACAGAGTACAGGCCAATATTCAACATCCTTAAAGAAAAGAATTTTCAAGCCAGAATTTCATATCCAGCCAAACTAAGCTTTATAAGCGAATGAGAAATAAAATCCTTTACCAACAAACAAATGCTGAGAGATTTTATCACCATCAGGACTGCCTTACAAGAGCTCCTAAAGGAAGCACTGAACATGGAAAGGAACAACCAGCACCAGCCTCTGCAAAAACATACCAAACTATAAAGACCATTGACACTATGAAGAAACTGCATTAACTAACAGGCAGAACAACCAGCTAGCATCAACATAGCAGGATCAAATTCACACATATTACCGTAAATATAAATAGGCTTAATGCCCCAATCAAAAGACACAGACTGGCAAATTGGATAAAGAGTCAAGATCCATCAGTGTGTTGTATTCAGGAGACCCGCCTCATGTACAAAGACACATGTCAAGCTCAAAATAAAGGGATGGAGGAAGATTTACCAAGGAAATGGAGAGCAAAAAAAGCAGGGGTTGCAATCCCAGTCCTGATAAAACGGACTTTAAACCAACAAAGATCAAAAGAGATAAAGAAAGGCATTACATAATGGTAAAGGGATCAATGCAACAAGAAGAGCTAACTACCCTAAATATACACACAGCCAATACAGGAGCACCCAGTACATAAAGCAAGCTCTTAATGACCTACAAAGAGACTCAGACTCCCACACAATAATAGTGGGAGACTTTAACACCCCATTGTCAATATTAGACAGATCAGCAAGACAGAAAATTAAAAAGGAAATCTAGAACTTGAACTTAGATCTGGACCAAGCAGACCTAATAGACATCTACAGAACTTCCCACCCCAAATCCCCAGAATATGCATTCTTCTCAGCACCACATCCCACTTATTCTAAAATGGACCATATAACTGGAAGTAAAACACACCTCAGCAAATGTTAAAAAATGGAAATCATAATGGTCTCTCAGACCACAGTGCAATCAAATTAGAACTCGGGATTAAGAAACTCACTCAAAACCACACAACTACATGGAAACTGAACAACCTGCTCCTGAATGAGTACTGGATAAATAATAAAATGAAGGCAGAAATAAAGATGTTCTTTGAAACCACTAAGAATGAAGACACAACATACCAGAATCTCTGGGACACATCTAAAGCAGTGTCTAGAGGGAAATTTATAGCACTAAATGCCCAAAAGAGAAATGAGGAAAAATCTAAAATCAACACCCTAACGTCATGATTAAAAGAACTAGAGGAGCAAGAGCAAACAAATTCACGCTAGCAGAAGACAGGAAATAACTAAGATCAGAGCAGAACTGAAGGAGACAGACACACAAAAAAAACCCTTCAAAAAAAAAAAACAAAAAACAAAATCAGTGAATCCAAGAGCTGGTTTTTCAAAACATCAAAAAAAAATAGATGAACTGCTAGCCAGAGACTAATAGAGAAGAAAAGAGAGATGAATCAAATAGATGCAATAAAAAACAATAAAGGGGTTATCACTATTGATCCCACAGAAATACAAACTACCATCAGAGAATACTACAAACACCTCTATGCACATAAACCAGTAAATCTAGAGGAAACTGATAAATTCCTGGACACTTACACCCTACCAAGACTAAACCAGAAAGAAGTTGAATCCCTGAATAGACCAATAACAAGGTCTGAAATTGAGGCAGCAGTTAATAGCCTACCAACCAAAAAAAGTCCAGGACCAGACAGGTTCACAGCCAAATTCTACCAGAGGTACAAAGAGGAGCTACTATCACTCCTTCTGAAACTATTCCAAACAATACAAAAAGGGAATCCTCCGTAACTCATTTTATGAGGCCAACATCATCCTGATACCAAAACCTGGCAGAGACACAAATAAAAAAAAAAAACTACAGGCCAATATCCATGATGAACTGATGTGAAAATCCTCAGTAAAATACAGGCAAACCGAATCCAACAGCACATCAAAAAGCTTATCCACCACGACCAAGCTGGCTTCATCCCTCAGATGCTAGGTTAGTTCAACATATGCAAATCTATAAATGTAATCCATCACATAAACAGAACCCAAGACAAAAACCACGATTATCTCAATAGATACAGACAAGGCCTTCGACAAAATTCAACAGCCCTTTATGCTAAAAACTCTCAATAAACTAGGTATCAGTGGAACATATCTCAGAATAATAAGAGCTATTTATGACAAACCCACAGCCAATATCATACTGAACAGGCAAAACTAGAAGCATTCCCTTAGAAAACTGGCACAAGACAAGGGTGCCCTCTCTCACCACTCCTATTCAACATAGTATTTGAAGTTCTGGCCAGGGCAATCAGGCCAGAAAAAGAAATAAAGGATATTCAATTAGGAAAAGAGAAAGTCAAATTGTCTCTATTTGCAGATGACGTGACTGTATATTTAGAAGACCCCATCATCTCAGCCCAAAATCTCCTTAAGCTGATAAGCAACTTCAGCAAAGTCTCAGAATACAAAATCAATGTGCAAAAATCACAAGCATTCCTATACACCAGTAACAGAGAGTCAAATCATGAGTGAATTGCCATTCACAATTGCTACAAAGAGAAAAAATACCTAAGAATACAACTAACAAGGGATGTGAAGGACCTCTTCAAGAACTACAAACCACTGCTCAATGAAATACAAGAGGACACAAACAGATGGAAAAACATTCCATGTTCATGTTTAGGAAGAATCAATATCATGAAGATGGCCATACTGCCCAAAGTAATGTATAGATTCAATGCTACCATTGACTTTCTTAACAGAATTGGAAAAAAAAAAACACCTTAAACTTCATATGCAACCAAAAAGAGGCCCGCACAGTCAAGACAATCCTAAGCAAAAAAAACAAAGCTGGAGGCATCATGCCACCTGACTTCAAACTATACTACAAGGCTACAGTAATCAAAACAGCATGGTACTGGTATCAAAACAGAGATACAGACCAATCGAATAGAACAAAGGCCTCAGAAATAACACCACACATCTACAACCATCTAATCTTTGACAAATCTGACAAAAGCAAGCAATGGGGAAAGGATTTCCTATGTAATTTTGGGAAAACTGGCTAGCCATAAGCAGAAAGTTGAAACTGGATCCCTTCCTAACTCCAAATGAATTAAAGATTTAAACATAAGACCTAATACCATAAAAACCCCAGAAGGAAACCTAGGCAATACCATTCAGGACATAGGCATGGGTAAGGACTTCCTGACTAAAACACCAAAAGCATGCCAATGAAAGCCAAAATACACAAATGGGATCTAATTAAACTAAAGAGCTTCTGCACAGTGAAAGAAACTATCCTTAGAGTGAACCAGCAACCAACAGAACGGAAAAAATTTTTTGCAATCTACCTATCTGACAAAGAGCTAATACCCAGAATCTATAAAGAACCTGAACAAATTTACAAGAAAAAAACAGCGCCATCAAAAAGCAGATGAAGAATATGAACAGACACTTCTTAAAAGAAGGCATTGGCCGGGTGCGGTGGCTCATGCCTGTAATCCCAGCACTTTGGGAGGCCGAGGCGGGTGGATCATGAGGTCAAGAGATCGAGACCATCTTGGTCAACATGGTGAGACTCCGTCTCTACTAAAGATACAAAAAATTAGCTGGGCATGGTGGCACGTGCCTGTAATCCCAGCTACTCGGGAGGCTGAGGCAGGAGAATTGCCTGAACCCAGGAGGCGGAGGTTGCGGTGAGCCGAGATTGCGCCATTGCACTCCAGCCTGGGTCACAAGAGCGAAACTCCGTCTCAAAAAAAAAAAAGAAGGCATCTATGCAGGAAATAAACATGTGAAAAAAAGCTCATCATTACTGATCATTAAGAGAAATGCAAATCAAAACCACATTGAGATACCATCTCACTTCATTTAGAATGGCAATCACTAAAACAATCAGGAGACAACAGATGCTGGAGAGGATGTAGAGAAACAAAAGCTTTTACACTGTTGGTGGGAGTGTAAATTAGTTCGACCACTGTGGAAGACACTGTGGCAATTCCTCAAGGATCTAGAAACAGAAATACCATTTGACCCAAGAATCCCAATACTGGGTACATACCCAAAGGATTATAAGTCATTCTATAGACACATGCACACCTATGTTTATTGCAGCACCGTTCACAATAGCAAAGACTTGGAACCAACCCAAATGCCCATCAATGATAGACTGGATAAAGAAAACATGGCACATATACACCATGGAATACTATGCAGCCATAAAAAGGAATGAGATCATGTTCTTTGCAGGGACATGGATAAAGCTGGAAATCATCATTCTCAGTAAGCTGACACAACAACAGAAAACCAAACACCACATGTTCTCACTCATAAGTGGGTGTTGAACAATGAGAACACATGGACACAGGGAGAGGAACATCACACACTGGGGCCTGTCAGCAGGTGGGGGATAGGGGAGGGATAGCATTAGGAGAAATACCTAATGTAGATGACGGAGTGATGGACGCAGCAAACCACCATGGCATGTGTATACCTATGGAACAAACCTGCTTGTTCTGCACCTGTACTCCAGAACTTAAAGCATTAAAAAAAAAAAAAAGAAAGAAAGAAATTGAAATTAATACTATCCCCATCTAACAGACAGTGAAACAGGCATGGAGAGGTTAAGCACCTCTTCCAAGAAGGAGGATATCTGAACCCAAGTAGTACAGCTCCAGAAAAAAGACCTTTCAGCCTATACCCAACTCATAGTAGTCTTCACTGGAAACTAAAAACTCTTCATGTCTTTACCTGAAAATTCTGCATAGCCATAAGGTGGTATCTGAAAGTATCCTAGTTGTAAGTTTTCTCAGCTTCTCCTTGTCCAGAGTTGAAATATAAGCTCCCAGACTATGTCCCAACAAAGCCATATGACCTTGTTCTCCAATATTTTGGATTCTGTTAAGCAAAATTAGTTTAAAGAAAGAATTAGAGTCAAACCATAAAAAAGTACACAGAACATAGAGATGGTATTCCACAGAAATTTCTGTCAGACTTGAAATCTACTTAATGGCCCAGAAGGCAGAAATTCAGATACATTTAGAAAATTCAAAGCATATACGGTATAGATAGTTTGGTGAAAATTTTGAGACAGATATATATATATATATATTTTTTTTTTTTTTTAGGATGGAGCCTCACTCTTGCCCAGGCTGGAATGCAATGGTGTGATCTTGGCTGACTGCAACCTCCACGTCCTGGGTTCAAGTGATTCTTCTGCCTCAGCCCCCCAAGTAGCTGGGATTACAGGTGGCTGCCACCAAACCCAGCCAATCTTTTGTACTTTTAGTAGAGACGGAGTTTCACCATGTTGGTTAGGCAGCTCTCAAACTCCTCACCTCAGGTGACCCACCCACCTCGGCCTCCCAAAGTGCTGGGATCACAGACATGAGCCACTACGCCCGGCCAGAAAAATATTTTCATAATTTAGGTTCCAGGAGGTAAATATCCCTTCTTAAATTGAGTACCTATACAAACTGTTTTAAAATAATTTCCTATTAAAATTTTTTTTTCAGGCCAGGCGCGGTGGCTCACGCCTGTAATCCCGGCACTTTGGGAGGCCAAGGTGGGCGGATCACGAGGTCAACAGATCGAGACCATCCTGACCAACATGGTGAAACCCCGTCTCTACTAAAAAATACAAAAATTAGCTGGGCAAGGTGGCGAGCACCTGTAGTCCTAGCTACTTGGGAGGCTGAGGCAGGAGAATTGCCTCCCTGGTCCCAGTTCAAGCAATTCTATCTCAGCGTCCCAACTAGTTGGGATTACAGGCACGAGCCACCATGCCCAGCTGATTTTTGTATTTTTTAGTAGCGACAGGGTTTCACCATGTTGGCCAGTCTAGTCTTGAACTCCTCACCTTGTGATCCGCCCACCTTGGCCTTCCAAAGTGCTGGGATTACAGGCGTGAGCCACACCACCAGCCCTGTTAAAATATTTTTAAGATTAAATACCAGCCTTAAGAATTACGGAGGGTAGGCTAAGGTAAAATGAACCAAAAACATTTTTTAAAGAATTAAATCCCAAGTCTCTGCATTAAATAAAAATTAATTGTTTACTGCAATAATACAGCAAATTCAAGGGGGACTAGGTATTGATTCATACAGAATTAAAATTGATTTTATAAAATGTTTTGTATATAATTGAAACTAATTTCCCTTATAAAGAAAAACTGTAAATAAGGAGGAAAAAGTTTACAATTGTTAACTGTAAGTAATAAGGAAAAGAAACAGACTAATAGGATTGCAGGCAACAGCCAGTTCCTAGAAAGGGAAATATAAATGGGTCTTAAAACATATAAAAAGACACTTCACTTGGTTCATAATAAAAACTTATCAAATTTCTCATGAGAATATCACTTATCAAAGATCATTTAGTCTGACAACGCCTTTGCAGGCGAAGGTATGGGAATAAAGTCCTCTCATACATTGCTGGTGGGACTGCTGAATGCCGTAACTCCACGGAGGGAAATTTGGCAGGATGATCCAAATTACAAAGTACACACTGTCTGAGACAGCAATCCCACTTCAGGACTTTGTCCTCGAAACACACTTGCTTCTGTGAGAAGGAACACATGTCAAAAGTGACAGTGAAACATGGCAGGGACCAATAAAATAAAATATGGCTCATCAGTTCCAAGTAAAATACACAGCTCTAACAAAGGAGAAAGCTCCTGTGCATGAATATGCAATGAGCTCCAAGACTTCAGTGAAAAAATGCAAGGTGCAGAACATGTGCGTAGTAATTACGTCTTAGAGAGGGTGGGCATGGACACTTTCCTTGTGTATAATATATATAAAATCTCCCGGTAAGAATACACAAGAAACTGGTAATGTCTTCCTCTAGAGAAGAAAACCAGGTAGGGACAAACGGTAGCAAGGAAAATTCCCTTTGTATATTGTTTTTTATTGTCAGAATTTTGAACCAAGAGAACATCTTACTTATTTCAAAACATTAAAATTAAAATAATTAGAGAAAACTAATACAGGTGCAGCAATTCCTAGGAAGCAGAAGCACAGCAGCAGAACAGTGCTTACTCTTTAGTCCTTCTGCCAGCCCCTCTCTAAGACACGAGACCATAAAAACTATGGGTTCTAATTTCAGTAAATGCCTTCAATTCACAAAATATATCTTATACATAAATGTCTTTATGAAAAAAATATTTTAGTATCATATGAAACTCAATGAAATATAGCTTCTTATTTGAGCCACTTGTCAGAGTGCAATCACTACTGAAATCAAGAACACATACACTCGAAAAGAAAAGCTGCCAGGTTCATTACCTGGGGCTCTGGGGTTCCTCATCTTCATCTCCATGCATCAGATTCTGAACCAGCTGGAGGATGCTCACCATATCTTGTCCACTGCAGAATAAAAGGAGTTGATAGGCCGGTGGGAACCACACAAATACCCCACCACTCTCCTGTTACTGCTCTCATCTGACTAGACTTGCTAAAAAGTTTTTTTTTCCTTAATTAAATAACTATAAGAGAAAGAATGTGGTACATATTTTATGCTTTTTAAAAAACAAAGCTCAAATTATAAACTAAATTCTGATATTAACTTACTTGTGGCTAAATAAGTCTTCTACCTAAATATGAGTTTCATTTTAACAAATGTAACCAGTCTTTTTATTTATTTTTTTGAGATAGGGTCTCACTCTGTCACCCAGGCTTGAGTGCAGTGACATGATCTTGGCTCACTGCAACCTCTGCCTCCCGGGTTCAAGCAATTCTCCTGCCTCAGCCTCCTGAGTAGCTGGGATTTACACACATGCACCACAGCACCTGGCTAATTTTTATATTTTTAGTAGAGATGGGGTTTCACCATGTTGCCCAGGCTGGTCTTGAATTCTGGCCTCAAGTGATTCACCCACCTCAGCCTCCCAAAGTGCTGGGTTTACAGGTATCAGCCACCGTGCTCGGCCTTTTTGTAGTTTTGGCAGACCATGTTGCTCAGGCTGGTCTCAAACCACTAAGCTCAAGCGATCCTCCTGCCTCAGCTTCCCAAAGTGCTCAGATTATAGGCATGAGCCACTTTGCTCAGCCACCCAGTCTTGCTCTACATTTCTACACATTTCATTTGAATCTTGGAGTATAAGACAGAGAGTATTTAATAAGCATGTAAGAAGACCCAGAAGTCCTTATAATATGTACCTATAATATATAATAAGCGTACTCCTTATTATATTATAATGCCAGTCAGACTATTCCAATGGCACTGGCATATCTAATTTCCTCCACTTATGGATCTTGTCTGTTTGGACTAACAGCCTTTAACAATGTAAGCTTCATTTATTACCAGCTCTTCCCCAAGCTGGAAAACTTGAGATCTGATTAAAGTGTAAAAATATTTTACTTCTATCCAAGATACGTTGCTATGAAATGCTCATTACACGAGGAGGTGGAAAGTTATGAAAAGAATTAAAATGGCTGAAGTAGCAACCAATGGCAAGGCAACTTGCAACAGGAATAACATAAAGCTATCCCTCCATTAACAAGAACAGACTAATAAAATGCGTCCTCTTTCAACAAAGGAAGCACCATCAAAACGATGTCCCCAAACCAACTGTCCCCAAGGTGCTGCCCTTCAAGTGAGAGGAGCTCTGGGCCCTGGACACTGTAGAGAGTAGGGCAGGCAGAGGCCCTCGGCTACCCGCCACATGACCCTGAACATGCTATTCCAACTCGTCAAGCTGGACGTTATGGACTTGAGAGGCTTCACACAGTGAAAGTGTGGTACTCAGTCGTGCCTGGCAGGTTACCAGTCTTGAATGCATTCCTAAGTGTGATTCCTCCTAGTGAGTAGCTTAACGTGCTGTCATTTTGAGAATTACAGATGCTGTTGGGAGTATCTCTCCTGGGGAAACGTGGGTGGAATCAGGAGACTAAAACATTAAAGCCTTTTGTTTCCATCCGTAGGCCTGGAGGGAGATTTTATAGGCCCTGCTTCCTGTTCTGACCTGAGAAAGCATTTCCTGCCTCGCTTCACGCTGCATTATTTATGCTATGAATAGGAGTGACTGTTTTAAATAAAGTATTAGTAGTCTCTCAGTGTGTTAGATGTGACATTTACTGGCACACTGTGATCCTTCCTCCATACTTTTCTTTTGCAACCTAGTTCAATTTATATTCAGGTCAAAGGATATTTAAGGGAGTTGTACTGTTTACTTATGTGCAGTTTCCTGGTTATAAAAAGAAAAAAAAAATAAGTTGTATCAGGGAAGGTGGGCTGGGTCATCAATCCCAGATTAACTGCTAATATCTTTGGAACATTTTAGTCAGCTACTTACTTTTTTGCTATTTTTCCTGCTAGCTCAAACGACGAAGACATGACAGATTTGCTTCAATTGCCAAACAATAAGTGATTAAATTTGACATTTTCCTTTTCTTTACTGTATTATGAAAACGATAAATCTTATCAAATTAAAATACCTCTTACACTAAAACTCAGTCTACCAAATAGATTACAGGTTTTGAGAATGAACTAAGTATGATATACCAGTCATAATGATGAATTTTTATATCACTTTTATTTTACTTCAGGGATAGGGTCTCATGATGTCATCAGGGTTGCTTCAAATTCGACTCAAGCGATCCCCCTGCCTCAGCCTCCCAGGCAGCTGGGAATACAGGTGTGCACCACTGTGCCTGGCTCCATGTATCATTTCTGAGTCATGAGGTTGCATGAAATTGTTGGTTTAAAAAAAAATTCTTTTTTAAGAGTATCTCTATCACTCAGGCTGGAGTGCAGTGGCACAATGACAGATCACTGTAACACTGAACTCCTGGGCTCAAGTGATCCTCCTCCCTTGGCCTCCCAAAGTGGTGGGATTACAGGTATTACCCACTGTACCCAGCCTGTATTGAATTCCAAATGGGACAGGGAGAAAAGCCAGCAGGTGCAGCAATATCACCAACCAGCCAATGGTACTTCACTTTTCTAATGTTACACTGCACAGAAGTCTATTTAAATTTGTTACGTGTTCATTAAAACTGAAACCGTAAATCAATGATGGTAAGATATTGGTTTAAGTAGGCCAGGTGTGGTGGCTCACACCTGTAATCCCAGCACTTTGGGAGGCCGAGGCGGGTGGATCACCTGCAGTCAAGGTCAGGAGTTAGAAACCAGCCTGGCCAACATGGCGAAATCCCGTCTCTACTGAGAATACAAAAATTAGCCAGGTGTGGCAGCACACGCCTGTAATCCCAGCTACTCAGGGGGCTGAGGCATGAGAACCGCTTGAACAGGGGAGGCAGAGGTTGCAGTGAGCCCACATCGTGCCGCCGCACTCCAGCCTGGACAACAGAGCAAGACTTCATCTCAAAAACAAACAAAAATTTACACCTTAACTAAAGGTATGGATCCTCATTGTCACCTACCTGCCCTGGAGTGGCCCCGGAATATCCCCTGACACAAGCTTCTTTCCATTTTCCTCTTCTGTTCTTCTAATTTAAAGAAAAGAAAAAGCTATTCATTTGTTTCATCATATCAAATTTCTAACTCCTAAACATGCAAATGTGACTATGTTGCCTATAATCTCTTAGTGATTGAGGCAGGATTTGAAACACATTGATCATATCTCCCTGCCTCTAGTTATAGGTGCAGTTTGAGTTTTTGGAAAAGATGAGAATACGCAACAAAAAGTTCCACCCACTTCTTATTTACTTGGTGCTTTGCATGACCTGAATATATAACAAATAATTATAGAGTCAAATCGATATATTAAGTAAATGAAACTCTTAACAGATTTAAACATTTTAAGTCCTTCCTCTCAATTTCAAAATCCTTTAATTACAAGGCACCTTTTACTCAAGACAAATGCCAATTTTCAAGTCAGTTAGAAGCTATGTGTGACACTGTGAAGACAAGATGTATCTTTAACAGGAGGAAACCAGAGCCATCAACTTCACAGCAGGCTGAACTCGATGAACAGGTCACTTCTGTAGTGCTCACCTCTGACTGTCCTCCAACATCTTCATTGCCTCCTTCAAGTTTTTTCCCATTTCAGCTAGCGTGGGGTCTGCTATCTGGGAAACAAAGAAAAAGGAGAAATGTAAATAATTCTCTATTGCCTCTACAACACAATTCACCCAGAAAAATTAAGTGTATAATTTCTTGTGGATTTACTGTAAAATACATGCATGATCTTAAAACTTCCATCAGTACTAAAGTGTAACATAAAAAGTAAACGTCCTTCAGCCCCACTTGCTGCCATTTTTTTTTTAATTTTTATTTTTTGAGATGGAGTCTCACTCTGTCACTCAGGCTGGGTGCAGTGGCACAATCTCAGCTCACTGCAACCTCTGCCTCCCAGGTACAAGCAATTCTCCTGCCTGAGCCTCCTGAGTAGCAGGAATTACAGACACATGCAACCATGCCTGGCTAATTTTTGTATTTTTAGTAGAGACAGGGTTTCACCATGTTGGCCAGGCTGGTCTCGAACTCCTGACCTCAAGTGATCCGCCCACCTCGGCCTCCTAAAGTGCTGGGATTGCAGGTGTGAGCCACCACACCCAGTCTCCATTTGTTACTTTTGAATTTTACCATGCATACACCTATCTCCCATCCAAAAAGTAAACAAAATTAAGAATTTAAAGTTTTTCCCAGAATTATTATTTTTTCACCATTCATTCTGGAAAGAACCAGGTGAGTACAAAAAGGAGATAAGTTCCTTCCCCCTTGATAAGTTATTAGTCTCATGGGGGTAACCACAAGATCCCCTCAGCCTGGCTTTTGTACACAGCTCCAAGGTACTGGCAACACATGACCCACAGTCCAAGGCAGCTGGACAGCTTGGTCTTTGATGAGATCACACTTCTGATAATAAAGTGAGTCAGTTTCACCTCATACAAGCAATGTGGCAGTTATACAAAGACATGCTATTCTAACAAATATTATTTTTGAGACAGTCACTCTGTTACATAGGCTAGGGGTACAGTGGTGTGATCGGGGCTCACTGCAGCCTTGACCTCCAGAGATAAAGTGATCTCCCGACCTCAGCCTCCTGAGTACCTGGGAGTACATGCGCTCATCACCATGCCTGGCTAATTTAAAAATCTTTTTTGTAGATACAAGGACTCATTATGCTGCCCAGGCTGGTCTTGAACTCCTGAGCTCAAGTTATCCTTCTGTCTGGCCCTTCCAAAGTGCTGGAATTACAGGCCTAAGCCAGCGCACCCGCCTTTTTGCAGAATTAAAACACACATATTCGTTTCCCTTTCTCTCTTCATAATCTCTGTAATTATTTTTAGGGAATAAATTCTTGTTGACTTCAATCTCTGTGTACTATGAGTTGTGTTACGAAAGTTATAGCTCTTTTGTTCCCCTCTTACTCTTCTTCCAAGAATGCTGCTTAAAGCAAGAGATGTGTTTATCTTTTCCTGTTCCTCACTGTATCTAGCAGATCACTGCCTCCTCAAAATTGTTTTTAAGAAATTCCACTCTGCTTATCAATATAAGATTCACAAAATATTAAATTCTAGACAGGACCTAAGGGATATAGTCCAGGGATTTTCCCCACTGTGTTCTCCTGAGCCTAAGGCCCCTGGGAGAACTGAAAAGGAAGAGTTAGGTAAGCAGCTGGGGCTTCTAGCTCCCTACCCTCCACTGGGCAGATCAGCTCTGTTTTATATAACAGGGTTTTTTTTTTTTTTTTTTGGGTTTGTCTGTTTTGTTTCATTTTTTAGATGGAGTATCATTCTGTTGCCCAGGCTGGAATGCAGCAGCACAATCTCAGCTCACTACAACCTCCGCCTCCTGGGTTCAAGCAATTCTCCTACCTCAGTCTCCTGAGTAGCTGGAAGTACAGGCATGCGCCACTATGGCCACCTAAGTTTTGTATTTTTAGTAGAGATGGGGTTTTGCCATGTTGGCCAGGATGGTCTCAATCTATTGACCTCCTGATCTGCCTGACTCGGCCTCCCAAAGGGCTGGGATCACAGGCGTGACCCACTGCCTCAGGCCCATAACAAGGTTTTGAGTAAAGTTTCATTTATAAAAAATTTCATTGAAAAAAAAAAAATGCTTTGGGAGGCCATGGCAGAAGAATCACTTGAGGCCAGGAATTCCAGATCAGCCTGGGCAACACAGTGAGATTCCATTTTTACAAAAAAAAAAAAAAAAAAGCTGGGTGTGGTACAGTATGCCTATAGTCCTAGCTACTTAGAAGGCAGAGGTAGGAGGATCACATGAGCCTGGGAATTTGAGGCTGCAGTAAGCTATGATCACACCACTGCATTCCAGCCTGGAACAGAGTAAAACCCTGTCTCAAAAAAACAAAAAACAAAAGAAAAAAGAAAAAAAAAAGGATAGCATAAAAACGTCTGATTCAGGTCTAACATTTTGGAGGTGATGCAGAGGTTACACAACTTGCCTACAGTCATGGAGCTAACAAATGACAGCGAGGTGCCAGAACCTGGGGTCCCTGACTCCCGTTTCTGGCCTCTATTACATCACGCTGGCTCCCACAAGGGCTTACAAGGTAATCATTTAGCCACAACCACTCCAATTTTTAGATAAAAAAACACAAATTTTAAAACAGATATTTTCAATAAAATTCATCATTTTAACCATAAGAAAACACTGGAAAAAGGCCTCAGGGCTGACAGTGAAGAGAATGCGGAATAGATGATGGTCAAGAGAATTTATCATCATCCCTGAGTCAGCTGGTGATGCTCCTGATGATCCTCACTCCTGTGACACTCCCGTAAGTCCCCTACCATCTGGCCAGAGGAAAAGAGATAAACAGTTTGGCTTGATCATTCACACCTTCATCCTCCCAACAACCGCCTGTCTGAAACACCCTTGTGCTTTTTATCTCTCGCCACCTATTCAATTACAAGTCAATAATTCCAGGAAACCTTTGGGACAAAGCCATCTTTGCTCTTTCACATACCCTCTAATGATACTGATGCCTTTTTTCCTAAACCAAAAATCTAGACTTGTTGCCTGACAACGTTGGTTGTATTCGTGGGGACAACAGGACAGAATGCCTGCAGCTGAGGCCGTTATGATGTGCAACTACCATTTAGCCTCATGATTCCTTACATTCTTCACTGTGAACAGTTTTATAGATGTGCTTTCCAGTATAAATGTGCTCTCCAATTAGATTATAAGCTTCCTGAAGGAAGGGATTCAGATTCCTACTAATTTTGACTTCTCTTTAGACCAAGGGTCTAAAGTTGGCTCAATTCTCTGATTGTCATATTACTCTGAAAATCCCTTAGGAAGGCATGCCAGACTGGATATAAGCATACTGTTTCCTATGTAAGTACAACACAGCTATTTCTTTCTACAGAATTATAATGAATATTTCAGTTAAGAATAGATACAATACACCAGGCGTGGTGGCTCATGCCTGTAATCCCAGCACTTTGGGAAGTCAAGGCAAGAGGATCACTTGAGTCCAGGAGTTCGAGAGCAGCCCAGGCAACATGGCAAAACCCCATTTCTACAAAATATACAAAAAAAAAGTTAGTCGGGCATGGCAGCGCATGCCTGTGGTCTCAGCTACTCAGGAGGCTGAGGTGGGAGGATTGTTTGAGCCCAGAAGGTCAAGTGAGCCAAGATCGCGCCACTGCACTCCGGCCTGGGCAACACAGCAAGAACCCGCATTGATTAAAAAAAAAGAAAAAAAAATAGACAGACAAAATATAGCCTAGGCAATATGGCAAAACCTCATGTCTGCAAAAAGTACAAAAACCAGCCTGGCATGGTGATGCGTGCATATAGTACCCGGCTACTTGCGAGGTTTATGTGGGAGGATCACATAATCCCGGGAGGCTGAGGCTTTGGTGAGCCGTAATCACACTACTGCACTGCAGCCTGGACGAGAGTGAGAACCTGTCTCGACAACAACAACAAACACACACACACACACACACACACACACACACACACACGGTTGGTTCAGAAGCCATATTGTGTGAATACTCATTTAAAAACACTAAAATCCCAGGTAATGACAAGATGCTTAAACTGTGAAAGGCAGGAAGGAAATGCAGATTCATAATCCCCATGTGAATCTCTGACTCTGGAGTATATATGCACTGCATGGACTGGCTTACATTTAAATTGTTCTTGCTGGTTGCGTGTGGTGGCTCACACCTGTAATCCCAAGCACTCTGGGAGGCCAAGGTGGGCGGATCACCTAGGGTCAAGGAGTTTGAGACCAGCCTGACCAAGATGGCAAAATCCCTTCTCTACTAAAAATTAAAAAATTAGCCAGGTGTAGTGGTGGGCACCTGTAGTCCCAGGTACTCAGGAGGCTGAAGCAGGAAAAACTGATTGCACCGCTGCACTCCAGCCTGGGTGCCAGAGCAAGACTGTCTCAAAAAATAAAATTAAAATTAAAAAACAAATAAATAAATTGTTACTGCTCTTCAGGGGTAAGCCCAGTAGGAGAGGGTGGGTAGGAAAAGCAGCAGGGATAGTTAAGTTTGGGTGAATAAATGTGAACGTGCTTTGTTTCCAATGCTGTAGACCCATGTTTGTTGCATTAATTGGATAATCAAAAATATAAAGTATTATCCAGTTTCAGGATATTAGATCTAAACCAAGGAATGCGCTATGAAAAGTTGCAGATTTATTAACTGATCCCTTAAAACTAAAAACAATGCCTTCATAAGCTTCTACTGAGGGCAGCTACCACTTTCTTCACCACATTTCTTATCTTCAATAGCTGTGGGCAATGCCAAAGTAGTTGTATGATCAATATTTATAAACAGCAGAGCAACAGCCAGACACAAACCTAAATGAAGAATTAAATTCTATAAAGATGTCTATTATTCAGTACATAGAAGGAGACTGTTTGATAATGTTGACCAAAAAAAAAAAACCCAGCAGGCCAGGTGCAGTGGCTCACGCCTGTAATCCCAGCACTTTGGGAGGCTGAAGCAGGCAGAACACTTGAGGTCAGGTCCTTGAGACCAGCCTGGCCAACATGGCAAAACCCTGTCTCTACTGAAAACACAAAAATTAGCCAGGTGTGCTGACAGGAATCTGTAATCCCAGCTACTCTGGAGGTTGA